GAGGTCCAAAGGGTCCTAAATTAAACTTTTGTTTTATTTCATCAAACATTGAATTCTTTGGTTCTTTGATATGCTGATTCTAACAATGTTTGAGTGTTAAATCATATCTTATTTTAGAGAACTTAGTCATCACTGGTTGTTGTTATTATATTATTGATTATAATTTGAATAAAATGCTTCGCTGGGCGCAGCTTGATACGACCGCAGAGGTCGAACCCTGAACAGTTGGGGCAAGTATGGACACAACATTCAAGCTTGATACAGCTCTGAATTTGGATTGTGATTAAATATTTGACACAGCATAGGTTCTGACACAGAAAGAATGTGTTCAAAGAACTTCAATTTTTTTAATTTACCTATTATGGTCCAATGTCCAAAATCAAAATACATGGTTAGATTCAGCATATCAAAGAACCCCATATATTCAATTTTTGTTGAAATCTAACAAAGTTTAATTTAGGACCCCAACTTGAACAAACTTGAAAACTGGTCCCATAATCAAAAATCTAAACACATGTTTAGATTCAGCATATCAAAGTACCCCAAGAATTCAATTTTTGTTAAAATCAAACTAAGTTTAATTTTGGACCCTTTGGACCTTAATGTAGACCAATTTAAAAAAAAGGGACCCAAAATTAAAAATCTAAAAACACGGTTAGATTTGGCATATCAAAGAACCCCAATAATTCAATTTTTGATGAAATCAAACAAAGTTTAATTTTGGACCCTTTTGACCTCAATATGAACCAATTTGATAGCGGGCCCACAAAATAAAAAATCTAAATACATGGTAAGATTCAGCATATCAAAGAACCCCATATATTCAATATTTGTTGAAATCAAACAAAGTTTAATTTTAGACCCCAATTTAGACCAACTTGAAAAAGGGCCAAAAATCTAAAATCTAAATACATGTTGAGATTCAGCATATCAAAGAACCCCATATATTCAATTTTTGTTGAAATCAAACAAAGTTTAATTTTGGACCCCAACTTGGACCAACTTGAAAACTGGTCCCATAATAAAAAATCTAAACACATGTTTAGATTCAGCATATCAAAGAACCCCAAGAATTCAATATTTGTTAAAATCAAACTAAGTTTAATTTTGGACCCTTTGGACCTTAATGTAGACCAATTTAAAAACGGGACCCAAAATTAAAAACCTAAATACACGGTTAGATTTGGCATATCAAAGAACCCCAATAATTCAATTTTTGATGAAATCAAACAAAGTTTAATTTTGGACCCTTTTGACCTCAATATGAACCAATTTGATAGCGGGTCCACAAATAAAAAATCTAAATACATGGTTAGATTCAGCATATCAAAGAACCCCAAGAATTCAATTTTTGATGAAATCAAACAAAGTTTAATTTTGGACCCTTTTGACCTCAATGTGGACAAAGTTGATAACGGCGCCCAAAAATCAAAAATCTAAATACATGGTTAGATTCAGCATATCAAAGAACCCCATATATTCAATTTTTGTTGAAATCAAACAAAGTTTAATTTTGGACCCCGATTTGGACCAAATTGAAAACTGGGCCCATAATCAAAAATCTAAATACATGTTTAGATTCAGCATATCAAAGTACCCTAAAAATTCAATTTTTGTTAAAATCAAACTAAGTTTAATTTTGGACCCTTTTGACCTTAATGTAGACCAATTTGAAAACGGAACCAAAAATTAAGAATCTAAATACACGGTTAGATTTGACATATCAAAGAACCCCAATAATTTAATTTTTGATGAAATCAAACAAAGTTAAATTTTGGACCCTTTGGACCTCAATGTGGACCAATTTAAAAACGGGGCCCAAAATCCAAAAACTTAATACACGGTTAGATTCAGCATATTAAAGAACCCCAAGAATTCAAGAATAAAACCCCATTGAAATTGATCAAGAAATAAGCAATTTATACGAAGTATTTTCTTTTGCACAATACTGTGCAATTGAATATTTCTTGCTATTGTGCAATACTGTACAATTGACAATTTCTTGCTATTGCGCAATATTGTGCTATTGGATAGTTCTTGCTATTGCGCAATACTGTGCAATTGAAGATTTCTTGCTATTGCGCAATACTGTGCAATTGAAGATTTCTTGCAATTGTGCAATACTGTGCAATTGAAAATTTCTTGCTATTGCACAATACTTATTATATAATAATTTACACATCCTGTTTGGTGTGTATCTCCTACCATATCATTATTATTTGCTTTTAAATATTAATCAGAAATAACCAACTTAAAATGGAAAATTTTAAAAGAAAAAAAAAAGGAAAAAAATTAAAAAAAAGAAAAAAAAAAAATCCCCCCCCAAATTTTTTGAACCCCCTTATGATTCATCACCCCCAAACTCAATCCCAGCCTTTCCTTTGTGGTATGGTACCTTGCAGTACAATTTCAGAGAGATCCATACACTTGAACACAAGTTATTGTCTGGAAACTAGAAAAATGCTTATTTTTGGCCCCTTTTTGGCCCCCAATTCCTAAATGTTTCGGGCAATTACCCCCATACTCAATTCCAGCTTTCCCTTTGTGATATGGAACCTTGTAGTACAATTTCAGAAATATCCAAACACTTACACATAAGTTATTGTCATGAAACTAGAAAAATGCTTGTTTTTTGCCCCTTTTTTGGCCCCTAATTCCTAAAATTTTGAGGCAATTACCCCCAAAATCAATTACAGCCTTCCCTTTGTGATATGGAACCTTGTGGTACAATGTCAGAGAGATCCATACACTTACACACAAGTTATTGTCTGGAAGTTACAAAAATGCTTATTTTTGGCCCCTTTTTGGCCCCTAATTCCTTAACTGTTGGTACCATAACCCTCAAAATCAATCCCCACCTTCCTTTCGTGGTATTGAACCTTATGGTAAAATTTCATGGAGATCCATTCACTTAAACTAAAGTTAGAGTGCGAAAACCAATGTGTCTTCGGACGACGCCAGAGGACAACGACGACGACGACGACGCCAACGTCATACCAATATACGACCAAAAATTTTTTAATTTTTGCGGTCGTATAAAAATTGCATCATATCTTATTTTAGAGAACTATTTATCCAGTTTGAGTTATTTCCCTTTGCACAGAAAATATTATGGATAAAATTAACCTGTGTTTCATTTCAACATAAATTAAATATATATATAGGGTTCTTTCAAATGCTGAATCTAAACCTGTATTTAAATATTAGATTTTTGGGCCCAGTTTTCAAGTTGGTCCAAATCATGGTCCAAAATTAAACTTTTGTTTTATTCAACAATAATTGAATTTATGGGGTTCTTTGAAATGCTGAATCTAACCATGTATTGAGAGATTTTGGATTGTGGGCTCCTTTATCAAATTGGTCCACATTGAGGTCCAAAGGGTCCTAAATTAAACTGTTGTCTGTTTCATCAAAAATTGAATTCTTGGGGTTCTTTGATATTCTGATTCTAATATGTACTTAGATTTTGGATATTGGACCATAATAGGTATTTAAATGTCCAATTTAAAATATTTCAGTTCTTTGACCACTTGTATCTTGTGTCACAAACCTATGCTGTGTCAAATATTCAATCACAATCCAAATTCAGAGCTGTTTTAAGCTTAAATGTAGTGTCTATACTTGCTCAACTGTTCAGGGTTCGACCTCTGCAGGAAAATCCGGTTTGCTGTCACTCTGACAGCCTCTTGTTTTCTATTTTTCAAAATAGCAATAATAAATGCACAACACATTTTCTGAATTAACAGTATATTAAGATAAGACAATATTTTTATTGAGCCAATTTTGTAACCATTTTTGAGTATAGTGATATCATTCAAAACAAGATAAGTTCATATGAAACACAATAAAAATCTTTAATCAACAATGATTAGGTCTTTAACACAGACAAATTCCTAACGAACAATTAACATACTAAATATTGATTGATTGCTGTCTGTTAATGTCAAGTGGCAACTATTACATGACTATTTAGGATGATAACATACCGTGGATTCATCATTATTTGTGAGGTACCAATTTTAGAGGATTTTGTGGGCAATGGAGAACCACACATTTAAATGTTCAACAAAGTACAAATTTTCTACAGGACTGTATGCAGACTTTTGCACAACCACAAAATCAAATATCCATGAAAATGTTTCCCTCAATCCACAAAAATTGGTACCCACCAAAATAAATGAATCCACAGTATGAATAAAATACAAATACATCCTGCTTTGTACTAGACTGAAATTCTATGTCAGATTTAACATGCAAGTTCACAAGGTAACACTCCATGTCTTCCTATTCCGACTCTGAACTGATCAGTCTTTGCTCTTACTCCTGAATGTTTGGTGATGAAGCAGCAAATACCAAAATTTTAGTCTTTGGTTTGCACTCATTATATGGACCTTTCATGTATAGTTATTGAGGACTAGATCTAAACTTGAAAACTAAACCTGACATCTAGAGTGTGAAAGTCTGTTCAAGGCCATATGACATACATGTTAGATGCACATATACTTCTCCCAACAAATCTAAATGTCAAATGTTTTCGACTTGTCATGTAGTTTGTAATACTGAGGAACAGAACGTCTAAAAAACCAGATCACTGGATTATGAAATTGATGTCAAGGTCATATGACATATGTCAGACTGAAATATACTTCTTACAACCAAACACTGTTGACCTATCATGTATAGTTACTGAGGTGCAGACTTATCTTCAAAAACTTAAACTGCCACTGAAGTGTGAAACTGAGGTCATGGTCAGATAGCATTGACTGACTGACAAGATACATTGTATCACCATAAAATTCTTCCATACAATTATTGTCATCCTAGGTTAAAATTGAGATAATAAAGATATTGAGATTTATTGCAAAACATTAACACTGTGACTGCCAAAAAAGTAATAACTATACCTCCTCTACAGCAAACTTTGTAGCAGACAGGACAAAATGAGCAATCATATCAACTTGTATCATTACCATCCAAACAATTTCCTTTACAAATACTGGTTATCATAATGGTCTTCTTTATTTGATAAAAAATACAAAAGATTAATTGAACCTTACAACTTTTGATATATTACTAATTTAAAAAATACTGAGAGTAACAAAGTACACCATGTAGTAGGTAAATACCTCAATAATGTAAACACTGTTTGTATAGTGCAGTGTAATCTAAAGCATTAGTCATAAGTACTGCTTCAAAAGTCATTAAAATCCTCAGACTATACCTACAAGTGTATAATAATGCTTCCAGTGTAAATATCTGTTATACCAGTTTTCTATATTATATAATAAATAAAAGTTAAAATGTTATGACTAAAAACATTAAATAATCTGACACATATTATAATTGTCTCTCTGTCAATCACAGAACATTTTCTTTAAAATCATCCAAACATAGAATTATGCAGACTGTCAAGTTCAAACTCTCTCTGCTTTGCTCGAGCCTGCAACAATAAAGAGTTTAATAAAAAAACATTCAATCATTTACATGAAATCTTCTTTTTTGGGGTAAGGATTGTATCAGATGCTTTCAAAACTCTTATGCTACTGGCTTGATATCTATATCTTCAAGGTTTATCACTACCGTTGACAACATAGTGCAGTGAGGTGAACATTCTTTAGATCCTATCCAGCCAATGTAATGCAATTTAATAATGATATGGTATACTCATATATTTAAGTTACTGTAAATTCAGAAATTATTGTGAGGTTTTTATTAATGCAAATAATGTGACTGGGTGAGTATGGAGATTTTCCTGAAATTGTGATAATTAATCTTGCCTTTTTGTCCATTCTTTAAAAATCACAATAATTTCTGAATTTACAGTACTAAATAATGTGTATTTGAATAACCATACTTATCAAGAAAAATAACTTACTAAAATTACATAAGATGTGCATGGGGTATGAATTTGTAAAAAAAAAAGGTTAACTACAAATGTACAATTATGAACAAAGGAAGATAACTCCAATTCTAGATAAATAATTTGCCTGAATGTGTTCCATTGCTGAATACATTTCAATGTTTAATCTAAAATTCATAAATTCATAATGCACAATTAAAGCAATCTTTACGCTTCAGTGCTCACAAGCACTCTAAATAATAAAAGACTTTCAGAAAAGCTTTTTATACAACCACAAAACTGACAAGATATCACCATAAAATTCTTCCATACAATTATTGTCATCCTAGGTTAAAATTGAGATATTAAAGATATTGAGATTTATTGCAAAACATTAACACTGTGACTGCCAAAAAAGTAATAACTATACCTTCTAAAGTTAAACTTTTGTTTGATTTCATCAAAAATTGAATTCTTGTGGTTCTTTGATATGCTGAAACTTACCATGTATTTAGATTTTGGATATTGGACCATAATTGGTAAATGTTCAATTTCAAATTTTTAAGTTCTTAGACCACATTCATTCTGTGTCAGAAACCTATGCTGTGTCAACTATTTAATCAAAATCCAAATTCAGAGCTGTATCAAGCTTGAATGTTGTGTCCATACTTGCCTCAACTGTTCATGGTTCGACTTCTCAGAGCATTTTATTAAAAATACTGATATCAACAAAAGAAACAATTTTATGAGTTGGTCTTTGTAAATTTACTTATTGATGAGGGATACAATTATATTTCTGTTATATGCCCTGTATTTTTTGGATTGATTGATTGATTGATTGATGTTTTAACACCACTTTCAGCACTATTGTGTTATTTAATGACGGTCAGTTTTTATTGGCGAAGGAGGCCGGAGTCCCCAGAGAGAACCACCAACCTTCCTTAGAAAAACTGGAATCCTAGTCAATTAAGATTGGAGTCTGAGCACACCTGCCATGTGTGGGATGTATTTTTGAATATATATCAATTGCTGATTAACACTTTGATGCACCATAAAATACTTTATTATTTCTTTTTCATATTTGAATATTGTACACACATTCAGATTGTGCATTGAACAAGAACATAATTTTTCTAGTGCAGCTTATGATAATGCTAGATGCTTAATGTCTTGTGTCAAATATATCATGCATATTTAGAACTATAACTATTAACACAATAAATCGGAAAGGTTCTATAAAGTGTGTTTACCAGGATAAAAAATAAGGAAATATACTCAATATCCTTACAAAAATAGCATCTTTACAGATAACTGCTACATACCTTGTGTTTTTTAAATTCTTCATATTCAGGGTCATCTGTTGGCAGCTCATGGCGACAAACTGGACAACTGTTGACCTGTAAAATAACAAACAAATTCAATATCAAAGCAAACTTGACATCAGTTAACCTATAAAAGACACAACACCTGGATGATAGGCGGGAAATCTGAAATGCCACTGGAAAATGAGGGTATATTGGATAGGGACAGAAATTTACCTTTGCAACAGGCCATCTACAGACCCCTCAAAGAGCTGTTGCAAGGGTTTTTATTAAGGATGTATTCTTCTGACGTTTCAGTCTCGTTGAAATCTCGTTCTGGAATTTTTCCAAAACATGTAATACAAGTGGAAAATATCAATGAATTTAAAAAATATTATAATCAAACTTAACTCTGTGAAAAAATTGTGTATTTACAATAAGTACCGGTAGTTTTTGTGTAATAAAATTTTCAAATTTTATAACCAATCAAGTCAGTCTCATTAGCCAAAATGTTGAGAAAATAGGTGAGGAGTACAAGAAATGATTTTACCAGATACATGTACATCCCATATCAACTTTTTCTTTTCAAATTTCTTAGATATGTATTTTTTCAATCATTTATAATAAAGAAGTTGAAATAATATGCTTTTAGTTCTAAAAAAAGAGAAATATCCCAAATTTACAAAATTGACAACATCGTAAATTTGACACGAAAAGCAACAAAATTTCATAAAACTTTCTTATATGAACTCCTATCCATAGTTTTTTTAAGTTAAATTTATTTAGATTGGTCCACTTCATCTTTTAAATTAGTGAAAGTATGAAAAAAAGTTTAATTGTGAAACTGTGATTTTTTTCATGATAATAGCCAAAAAATGGGTAAAAATTGATGAAAAATGGAAAAATCATCAAAATTGGGTACTTTCAAATGGCTGTAGCAAAAAAGAAGTGCACCACCATATGATTTTTTCTTCACAAATTATTATTTTACAGTCATATAAACCCAAAAATCAGGTTAAGAAAAAAAGTTTAATTCTAGAAATTTTTGGCTCCTCAGAGGTGTACATCCTTAAGTAATACTAAAAATTGTCCCATGTCTAGATAAGTTGTGAATGAATTTAACATAGACTACCAAAGGTCTGCCATAAAGACCAAATTTCAATCATGTTGATGTATTTGTAGATCTTGTCCTGCTGTTCATTTTTGGCTATTTAAAGTTTCTATTATCTATTACAGTTTTTATAATACATGTATAAGACAAGAACACAAAAAATAGGTAAAAAATATCACTTTTCCTAATTAACGATTCTTTCTATCTATTATAGTTTTCAAAATAATTAGCAAAAATGACAAAAATTGGTAAAATTTGACATTTTAGGGCAATCACTCCATAAAAAGTCGTCTGACAATTTTGACTTAAATGGACAGCAGGTAGATCTCAACATTTTGAACATTTTTGCCCCTGTCAGATTTTCTCTATTCATAGATGTTTTCAAGATACAAAATGTAATAGACAAAACTTGCATTTTACCGCTATGTTCTATTTTAGCCATGTCCGCCATGTTTGTTGGCAGGCGAGATCATCGGACCCATTTTTCAAACTAGATACCCTAATGATGATTGCAGCCAAGTTTGGTTAAATTTGGATCAGCAGTTTTAGAGGAGAAGATTTTTGTAAAAGCAAACGGCACCGGACGCCAGACGGCAAGTGATGACAAAAGCAAACTTGGCTTTTGGCAATTTTTCCATTTGTAAAGAGACATAACTTGAAAACGGGGAAAGTTACACCACCCATATTCGAACAAGATTTGTGTTTGATGGAAATAAGCATTGTATATAAGTTTCATAACATTTGGTTGAGGCAAAGTAGTTAGATTGCAGAAACAGCAAAGTTGCCAATGTTTCCATTAATAAATGGATATAACTTAAGAACTGTAAAATGATGCCATCCATAATCTGTGTTTGGTGTTAAAGTAAGCATTGTGTGTATAAGGTTCATAATATTTGGTAAGGCAAACTTTAGTTTAGTTTTCCATTTATAAAGGGACATAACTCAAGAACGGTGGAAATAAGCATTGTGTATAAGTTTCATAAAATTTGGTTGTGATAAGCTCAAGTTAGGAAACGGAAAATAATTTTTGGACATACGTATGAGTTAAATACAGACAGATGTACATATGTACAGACAGACGTACAGACAGACAAGGGTAAAACTTTATGCCCCCTCCGCTGCAATGGGGGTATAAATATTATGTCAAGGAAACTTTATTTGAAGCTTGGCACAGTAAAATCAAGTTTTTACATAGGCCAAGCTTAATATACAATACAGTTATCTCCAATCTAACACAAATTATCAAAATGTTCCATTTTTATTATTACATTGGCTCAGAATTGTCATATATAAAAAATTCCACAAAACTTTGGCACCTTAACAGCGTGATATAATAGGCCAGACATTTTTGGGCTTTGCATACGCTTCAGAATGAAAAAAAAATCATTAAACTTTATACCACAAAAAAGTCAAGACTACAGAGTGACCGACATGTGGAACATTGTATGCCCCTGGCCTGCCCCTGAAAAAAAGGGAGATGAAAAACTCTTTGTATTAAAAGGTTGGTTCATTTAAAATTTTCTTTAAAACTTTTAACAGTTACTTACCTTTTGTAACCATGGTAATATACATTTTGAATGAAATATGTGTGAACAAGGCATCTTCTTGACTTCATCTTCTTCATCTAACAGAGACAAACATATAGGACACTTTTTTTCTAAAGCTGAAATTAATATTTAAGTCTAATAACAACAAATGAATAGACATTCCATATTTGAATATGATTGTTAGAGATATTATTAGAGGCTCCTATGAGGCTGCATTACTCATAAGAATTTATTTTACCTAAATAGTATTCATCCATGACACAAAAGCAGCACATGCACATTTGTTGATGAATTGATAAAAAGTAAGAACACTGACAAACCTTGTAAGGAAAATCCAATCAATTTCAATGCTGTAAGCTGCATAATTATGATCTTAGCCTTACTCCAAAAAATATTTTGCCATATTAACAGCTTAATGTATAAGAAATCTTGTATCAAAATATCTTCTGAGGTAAAGCTGTAGCTGATATATCTATGGTAAATATTAATGACGAGAACTCAAAATGAGACTATTTTGGCAGTTTTTGCAGTTTTACCTCAAGTTTGTAGATGTTAATCAATCATGAAGAAAAAGATAAAGTTCAAAAATATAAATACTAATATTTATATGTCTTGTGAACATCTAAAGAATTTTACTTGTTAGATTTATATGTTTTATTTTCAAATTCAAGGGGCTAATAAATTTTATCTTATTTCACAAATATAGAAAATGTATTGTAAAAGAAACTTTAATTTAACAGGGGAGATAATTCAGATATTTTATTTGAAAATAGAATGTTCCGGTACTGTAAAGTTGTAATGTACAGTGTACCTAGAAGATAACTACAATGAACCCAGGGCGGCAGGAGTATTTTTGTGAATGGATATATCATTTTCATCTGCTACTTGTACTGCTTATTCTTGTACACAACTAATTCCTGCATTGTCTTGCATTTTGTTAGGCTGAATATTCATTTGCATCCTGTTTTGGATTTTTTCTTGGAGTAGGAAAATATGCACCAAATGCTGCAGTTACAGTACTAGATTTTTTATAAGCAGTGGAAAAGTATTATTCATTTGTGGTGAGTAGATTAAATAAAATGAGCTCAAATCGGTTAAATGCAAAAGTTCATAAAATAAATGGGCTGACAATATGAGTATTAAGCATAAGTGTGTTAAAACTGAAACTTTTTAGTAAGGGAAACCCTCTGTGAACTGAATTTAAGTCATTTACTGTGTCCTGAAAATATGGGCACTAATTATGTTGTAATACTTTTTATGTCAAAATTACATGATAAACATGTCGATGCATGCTGTTTTACATTCTGATAAACCTATATCGGGTAGTGGTGGCAATAACTTATGAACGTACAAATTGGTCAAAGAAAATTTTGAACCCGAAGAATACTGTAAAATAGTCTTGCCTTTCAGTCACAGAAGTGCTTTGCCAAATTTAGATGTGGTGTAGCCCACTGAGGATTGAAACAGGGAAATGTGAAAATATTGTTATAGAAAACAGTGATGGTTTTATTGAAGACAAAGCACATGTTTTATTAAGATGTCCTCTTTATGACGACTTTAGAAACCATTTATATTATGTTTCTGAAACTATTAATGAAAATTTAGATACTTTGAATGACAACCAAAAATTAGTGTTTTTATTCTCAGATGTAAATATGATATATGTGTAGGGTCACCGCATTAAAAATATATGGGTTAATTTTTTTAAATAAATTACCTTGTTAATATAGTTATATATCCCCCCCCCCCACTTTTCCCAGAAAAAAAAACATGTCCAAATACAATATAATATTAGGAATGTTGATCATTATTTCACAGAAGTCACTATTCAGTGTTAGACTAACATCTATAAAATTTTACCTGCTTCTGTTGGTGTGACTAGATGTGTTTCTAAAGCCTCAACACTGGCCTTAGATGCTGGAGGAACTTTACGATCACCTCCAAATACACTACAAAAGGATTTATAATTCAGTTATTTGCTGCTATGCGATTTTTGTCAGTTTACATGCACAAAGAAATATTTTATAAGCTTGAAAGGTAATACCAATAATTATTATAAATATGCAATACATGTATGTAGATGAGTTGATATGCATGCCATTTCTCGTCTATTTGGTCTTGATATTTGAAAGAAATATATCAGCACAGATCCCTACAAGAATTCAACTTTCACTGCAGTCCATCTTAATAATAGCAAAGAGCAATCAATATACCTGTATGTGATAAATATAAATCAATTGATTGATAGATTGATAGCTACTAATTTTCCAGTTGCATGAATATTCAAGAAGAGACCTATTATTATGATATGAATGTACCGTGCTTTGGTCTAGTTTTCACTATACCAGCACACTGAGTCAGATTTTTAACATGCTTGCTAGTTCACAAGGAAATAGCCCACAGGTACAAAAGTAACCATATCCAGACACATTTTCTTAGCCCACAGGTACACAAGTAACCATATCCAGACAAATTTTCTTAGCCCACAGGTACACAAGTAACCATATCCAGACACATTTTCTTAGCCCACAGGTACACAAGTAACCATATCCAGACAAATTTTCTTAGCCCACAGGTATGCAAGTAACCATATCCAGACACATTTTCTTAGCCCACAGGTACACAAGTAACCATATCCAGACACATTTTCTGACTTTGAGCTGACTTATTCTTAAAAGCAGTATTCTTTGCAAAGAAGCAGCAAACACAATTCTAAAATGTTTTATTTAAATGAATGAAACAAGATGGGCGTATATGCTAGTGATGCAGCAATTCATCAACACACTGACATTACAAAGATAATCAAAAGGGACATTCTGAGCATGTCAAGTATATATGTTTACATCATAAGTATGCTGTAAATAAGGTGTTGTAATCAACAGATGACATAGACTTATTTTATTATTTCCAATCATGGTGCCCTAAATAGAGCAGTACAATCATACATAACTAAATAAACAGATTTATAAAATAAACTAGAAAAGTGATTTTTTTATAATTGAATATTTAACAGAATGGAGCAGAAAAAAACCAACATAACTACATTTGTGTAACTACAATTACAGTACAATATATATAGATGCATAGACACACACTTCATGGATTCACAGCAAACATTTGGATAATATACAAACTTTAACTCTAATTTAAACTTTCCATTACCCCTCATCACAGTACACATAAATAAAACGACACATAACTACTGTTTAGCAGTTTAGTTTTTAACATGTTCAATTTTTTGTGCTCAGATTGTTTATGGTCAGACCACTCACAGAAATGCACAGTATCATCACTATTTCAATAATATATTTCAAATGAATAATTACCTTCCATATTCCATATCCCATTCTGCTCCTAAGCCACTATCCAACAATAGCCTAAATAGATTAATAGATTAATTAATTATTTATCTAAAACTTTATGAAAAATAATGTTTAGGTATTTGCTTTAAGCCTAATTCTCACACAAATATCATTAACCAGTGTTTCCTGAACCTAGGCTGAACTGTTTCAACATATGTATATCTAAAGTTCATTTACATGGTACATGTACTTCTTTATGTTAGTTACATTAAAAGAATAAACACCATTTTTTTTTAATAAAATATAGCAGTCAGTGCTTTGTAAAATTGTTATGTGTATAAGGTTCTTTTGTGTGTGTTTATTAAAAGAAGTCTTAACAATTTCTATTTTCATGATCTTTTTCAATTATGAATTTGTGAAGAAATGAACTGCAAATTATTCTTTGTTTCTTGTTCCTAAATTAAAATAATTACAGGTACTTTGAATTCATCTAGATGTCATGGATAGAATATTGTTTAAGATAATTCTATTGTCTCAATCAATTCCCACTTATCTGTTCCATTGCCCATCAATATATTAAGTAATATTCTTGCTGAAAATGTCCAGGTTGTTGACATTTTGTTTTAACTTGGTTGGAATTCATGATCATTTCCAGTACATTTGTAACCATCATTGGGAGTCCGTAATGTATTAGTTCAGTAATTGATGAGGACACAAATAGTTTTTCTATAACTTTTAATTGTGTGAAATATTGCACCAAACCATGCAGGATTGATGTTTGTATCAGTTATAAAAGTGTACCAAAAATAAGGTGGGCTAAAAAGGATAGGATCCTTCCATATGAGCCCCACAACGATCTTACAGGTATCTTACAGGTAAATGAGTCGGAACAATTGAGAATGTTTGGGCTGATTATTAAATCTTTTACAAATACATTTGCTGTCTACTTTAGTTTAGGCTGACAATAGAGTTAATCAGTACAGCTGTTATGTCAAATCCTTAGAAACTTCCAATTCATCATTTTTGTTTTAATATTTTTCAAATGTTGTTCTGACATGAGATTTCAATAACTTAATAAAATTAATTTTAAGAGCTGATTCGTCATAACACTTCAGCAAAAATGGATGTGTTTTCACCACAAAATGTACTCTGAGCATAGTTTTATCTGTGCAACTTAAAAGGTTTTAAAGCTATGTAGGTCCTAGATATATACTGTATTAAAACCAACTAATTTTCCCCAATACTTTTTTTTCATTTTCTTTCAAGACAACTTGGAGACGATTTATTTTCGTGATCTTATAAATCATATAAAGGAAGATCAAAGTTTCACATTATTGCAACGATTTAAATTCATGTTATTTTTCTACTCACAACGGTTAGGATCATCAGTCGCTCGTGAAAAATAGTTGGTTTACAGTAAAAGCTACAAAATCGTAGCTCTTATGGTCCTATAATCTCTTTTATTTTTAGGATTCTATGTCCAGAGCAATTTTCTGATTTGGCCACCCTCAACAAGTATTATATAGACAATAAAAGCTATGATTACACAGCTACAGAAAATGTTTTTTTTTTGTGTTTCAAAAAATTAAAAATTTTCCGGGATTTTTGATGTACATTTTTTCAGGGCCATTTTTTTTCCAAAGTGTAATGATGAGAAACCAAATAGTATCATAGTGAAAAATTGTTAAGCTTCTGACATTTGATTAAAAGGCGAAATTCTTTTTAATAAATGATCTATTATTCAGTTATTATTTAATAAATCATCACCTAGCCATATGCAGTAAATGATTAGGTTGTTCCCCATCTTGAAGAGGCTCACAGTCATGTTCATCAAAATATGAAGCCATGGTGAAGTAGCTTATCGTCAATTTTGTGACAAAAAGAAGCTGAGTGAAATTATGTGTTTTGTCACCGTGACATGTGTACTTTCACTTTCACTTTGTGTTACCCCATATGACATTACAAAAATAGTAAACAAAGGAATTATGTAAACATAATATTGGGGGACAATATTGTTATTCTCATGTTTTCACCTAGAGAAAAAATATCAAGTTGACAAAAAGATATAAATTTTAGCTAAATGTAACGTAACAAGTGATTAATAAATCTTTTTTTTAATGAGGTAAGCAGGTGTAATAAATTCGGAGTCAAATACGGAAACTTTTTCAGAAATGAATCAGACAGAGGGTAAATAAAAACTCCCTAAATTACTGTACATAAATTTGTCATTCCGATTCCTCAGTTTAACCAGAACTAAAAATACATATTGTTATCAGTTAATCTCGACCATCGCCCTTTTCATAATATAATGAAATATATATCTCATAATATCAACATAAAAAATATGATAATATTGCACAGCACACCATTGTCACCAACACAGAAGTGATCAGTAGTCAATATTGTACAAACACTTACAATAAAACGCTTTCAACAGGTTAGGACCACCCACCAAATTAATTAAGCAGTGGCGGATCCAGAAATTTTCATAAGGGGAGGCCCACTGTCTGTCATGAGAAGGGGCCCTTCTTGGTCATGCTTCAGTGATTTCCTAAATAATCCACCATAATTTTTCCCACATAAGGGCCCCCCACCCCTTAAATCTGCCTCTGTTAAGATATAACCTGTTTGGGATATATTATCCCAAATGGGATAACACACCTTATCACTATTAATGTTCACCATTACTGGACATCACAGACATTCTCATCAAAGAAAAAAAATGTCTTAAAGCCACAAAAGAAAATGTTTGCTATATGACATCAATAGTTCAAGTTCACAAATTGTTGGTAAGGCAGCTAAGGCCTATATGATGCAGGTGTTACTTATTAAAGGGGACAAATATGTTGTCTTCCTCTCCATACATCATGTTCTTTTCCAATAACTTCTTTTGTTGTTGTTTATTGTGTGTGGAATCATGCTACTTCGTTTACTTACTGTTGCCAAACTTGAGTCTTCTATGGCATAAGTAATGACAAGTTTGTGTTAATATCTAGTCAGATGTTTACAAATTTTGCATAATAAAATTGAGAATGGAAATGGGGAATGTGTCAAAGAGACAACAACCCGACCATAGAACAGACAACAGCAGAAGGTCACCAACAGGTCTTCAATGCAGCGAGAAATTCCCGCACCCGGAGGCGTCCTTCAGCTGGCCCCTAAACAAATATATATACTAGTTCAGTGATAATGAATTATATATTTAACTTGGGCCAGAAATTAGCATTTATAAACTTTTGATTGGGCAAATACTATTAGTGTATATTTTAATACCCTGTTCTCTCAAATTTAGTTAAAATTACTGTTTTTACAGAACACTCATTTTGCAAAAAATATTTTATCCATATATAAGAAAACTATTTTGAGTGAAAAAGCTGCCATTTTAATATCTTTGATATATACATGTTATGAAGAGCTTAGACCAGAGTTTACAACTTAGACCTGTATAAAATTTAGCACTTGCCAAAAGCAGAGGGGAATATTTAGTCAAGATAGTATGAGTTCCAGCAGCACTCATTCTGACTGTAACTTTTAAAACTGAATTGAAAAAGGAAACCCCCTTAAAATCAAGAAGATACAAAAATTGGACATTGGAAGTCATAAGTCAAAAGAAGAATGGACATACCATGGCCAAGAGACAAACGAATAAAAATAGTCCACAAACATATCCCTAATTGTGAGCAACACAAAACCCAGGGTATGCATTCAGGTACTCTAGAAGGAAAGCACTTTTTGTCCTACCAGTGGCATTTGCCATCTACCTGTTGACAAGTAAAATTACAGTGATAATTCAAATTTCTTGATATATATATATTTGAGTCATAAATAGGGAATGGAGAACAGAATTGTTAACTTGAAAAAATAAAACATGTCCTTGGTCATAGATATAAGTAATGATCAATTAAGTCATGATGCAGCCATAAAACTCTCAAAAAGGTAACTTCAAATTATTTTAACTTACCTGTTAAGAACTTTTTAAAAAGTTGAGTAATTATTTATCTGCTGATTATGATTTTTATTTTTTAAGATTCAAAAGAGGCAGTTGAAGAGGTACCTGAAGATGTTGTTCAGTTATGTAGAGAAACATTTAAAAAGACGGCAGAATATTTACATGGAGAATTAGATGGTAAGATGTTGTTCGTTTTACATATGTAGATTGATTGATTGATTGATTGTTGTTAAACGCCACTTTCAACACTGTTGTGCTATTTCGGGGCTGTCAGTTTTTATTGGTGGAGGAAGCTGGAGTGCCCGAAGAGAACCACACGACCTTTGGTAGGAAAACTGACAATCCTAGTCAATTAAGATTGAAGTCGAGTGCACCTGCCCCGTGGGGGGTTCAAACTCACAACCTCAGTGTTGACTGGCTAGTGATACAGTAGTTCAACTACTTAGACCACTCGGCCACTGAGGCCCCTACATATGAAGAGAAAAACCAGCAAAATATTTACATAGAGGATTATGACCATTAACCCTTCTAAGAAATGGAATTCATAGGTTTAGGAGGGTAGTTGCAAACATCCTATTCTTCAAATGAAGAACTTGTTTAAAATGACATAGCCGTTAGCACTGATGCTCCTAAAGCAAACACGAAACGATCAAAACAAATGTAGAATGAAAGGAAGAAAAACCAAGACAAACAATGAATTGGTCACATATCTGGTGGCTATAATTTCACATGTATTGTCAATAGTAGATCCTCATTATGTACACTTAAAATTGAATGGCAAATTGTGAAACGGTTGAACTGACCAAAGTTCGAATAGTGTTTGTTAATCTTAAACTTTCATTCCTAGCAATTGTATCTCCTTTTTCTTATTTTCATAAACTGTATATTTCAAATCTTATACATGTATACCAAAAGCAACAATGACAAAAATTCTTATATGGTCAAATTATTATATGAGGAAATTCTGAATAATTTCAGGAACCATTGAAGATTATAAATTACTAGAGAATATGAACAGAATTACCATTAACAAATACTCTGAAATGAAATCCACAGCTGAAGATATTGCAGGAAGATTACAGACACTTAATGATAAATGTAAGTTCTTTGTAGAGGTTATTTCTAAACATGCACTTGCACTAAGCTCCCTATTTGGCCTTAACAAACCTGCGACTCTTTTCACAAAAAATCTAACAATTAAAATTGATCGTAAGTTATACTGAAATGTGTATGACTTACAAGTATTTTTCTCTTAAGATTTTTTGTGAAAAGATTCGCTGAAGTATTACACAATCACATTATTTTTTTTCATGAAAATAATTAACAGGAATGTGTGAAGTTGAAGCTGTAGGATCTTTAAAATATTTTGAATATGCACCAAGATTTGAATAATGAAAGATGACATAAAATTTAATTTTTATTTAAAAAATGACAAATTGAATAGTTTTGACATTTATTTTTGAGTCTGAAATATCAGCACAGACAAGAACTAAGTTAATATTCATAAGAGGAATGTTTTCATGTAAAAAAGACTTTTCTAAAAATATTTACAGGTAGTTGGTTTAAGCATGGGCTTTATGTTTTGCAAGTCTGAAAACTGTTTAAAAATCTACCAAAATCTTAAAAGATGCCATTCTATGACATCACAAAGGCATAAGGCTTTATACTATTTCAACTTTACAATAAATATAAATAAAAATCTTCAACTTGAAGTAGAAATTTCAGTGAAAAGGCCAAAGTAAGACCCTTACTGCATTCTGTCATTCAGTTTAAAACGATCCCATGTTTAATGAACTTCAGTGGTTTTCGTCGGTTCATGTCTGTCATATTTGTTTTTCGATAATTGTTTTATTATAAATCAGGCCGTTAGTTTTCTCAATTGAATTGTTTCATATTTTTCATGTCGGGGCCTTTTATAGCCGACTATACTGTATGGCTTTTTTTCATTGTTGAAGGCAGTACAGTTGCTTTTAGTTGCTTACATCCACTTTATTTGAACTTTGGTGGATAGTTGTCTCATTGGCAATCATACCTCCTCTCCTTATTTTTATATTTAAACTTTTTGTCATACATTTTTCCATAACTACTAAACACAATGACTTCATATTTGGTCAGAAGCTTAGCAGTGATGAGTTATAATGTGTGAGCCCTTTTCAGATCTGTCAGACACCTATATCCTGTTTTTAAAACGATCTTTACTAATAGATGTTTTCTCTTTTTTCAGTAGCTATCTGTTAATTTGTTTGAAATTATTTTGGAGAAGCTATGCATTTGAGTACTTTTTTAAAAGTGATATGTATTTAAGTCATTTGCACATTTCTTTTGTTTTTTATTTACTTAGACAAACAATTACAGCCATTCCTAGATCAGATTGATCAGATAGAAGAAAGTGTTAATACTTTAGAGCAGGCAGCATACAAACTGGATAACTACTCAAAACGTTTAGGTAAGGCCACCCTTAAAGAATTCAGGGATATTTTTTGTTTTGGCCAACAACATAAGTTAAATGTTTTAGACAAGAAAACAACATTACAACAGGAAAATAAAATTTTCAAAAAAATGGAAACAATTTGTGTCATAAAATTTTTCTGGTAGGGTTCTTTTTAGGTGGGTAGGTAGTCAACATCAAACAATTTAATTTTTATTTTTGGCCCAAGTACAAAAATGTACACAGACATAGAAAAAAAAGAATTATAAATGCATTAATCTGCCACCTAACTTGAACATGTTGAATGTCTGCTGAAAATGCATAGAAATCAGGTACAGATCCAGGAATTTTATCAAAAGGGTGTGATACATTTTTTGGTGTGTGTGGAGGGGGTCCTTTAGAAACATCACTTATGTTCAGCCTAAGTTATTTATTATAAAATAAAAATTTGGATGTAGGTACAATCTCTACAAGGTAGGGAAGAGGCCAGTTTGATCCAAGAAATTCAAGGTTTTAATTATATATGCCCTGTTACAAAAGTAGAATGGCATGAATCTTTCCCGTCTGTGCATCCCCCCTCTATCCTATATCAGAAAGTTTTGGTTTAAGGTAGATTTAAGATTTGTATTAAGGTAGTTAGTGGTCACATCACTATTGAATTTAGTACACATGTATGTTCATTAATGAAGTGAACTATTTGATATGTTTGCCAAAATAGGGTTTTGACTCTGATTTTACAGTTCATTTAACATGAAATTGTAATAGGTAAAAGTTTTGGTCTAAGGTAGTTTGTGGTCACATCAACTGGAAGCTTAGTACTAATGTGTTCATTTAATGAACTTCATTATCAAGTGAACTGTTTGGAAATGGATAGTGCCAGCATGGCATGGTGTCTTATTTTAATGTTAAATGATTATGCATATGTGCAAAATGGAAATAGCAAAGTGTTGCATATTTTAATGTAATTTCCTAACATTTTAAGGCAAAAACAGATTCAATTTGATTTTTTGTGTCTTATTTGTCAGATCCATCATTTGAATAATTTAGCCGAAGTGACACTTGAGTTGCATTTAGTAATGAATTATCTAGCAGATTGCTGGATGATCTAAGACATTACTGTATACCATACACAATCAGTAAATAGTCTAACTCTAATACATGCATCAGTTTGAAAATCCTGACTGTTTTTTTCAAGATAAGGCATATCATATTTTTTTTACTATGTTGTGATTTGCCACATATCTTCATTCATATCTTTTTTTCTTTTTCAGAAAACAGATTTAAGAATTTGGAAAGGCGATAGCAGACATTCCATTATGCTTTAATTTTGACTTATTATACATTTTGTATATTCATTATAAATAATTTGATTGTGCAATAGAATTTACATTAAATAAAGTATAATACCATATGACAAATGTAATTTTTCTTTATCTTAGCATTATTTTACCTCATGAACCTTTCTTAGACAAATGATTCCTAATTCATGCTTATTGGGTAGCACTTACAATGACATTTATAGAAGCAATCTTTTCTTCTTTGCAGCAATAATATGTAAATAAAATATCCTCTGAAGAATGGTTTTGTTTTGGTATTTTCAGTAATATTAAAGTAGGCCAGTTCATAGAATAAGGAATATAAATATTTATATGCCTGGTTGACAGACAGTTAATATATGGGAGTAATTTAAGTTGAAAAATATGATTTAAACTTATAAAGCTTTAAAATACTTTGACAAAAATAGTTTTATTTTACTTTCTCACATGTCTTTTCATCAAATTAAAGGGGCCTCGGTGGCCAAGTGGTCTAAGTAGTTCTACTACTGTAATCACTAGCCAGTCAACACTGAGGTTGTGAGTTCGAAACCCGCTCGTGCGGGTGCACTCCACTCCAATCTTAATTGACTAGGATTGTCAGTTTTCCTATCGAAGGTCGGTGGTTTTCTCCCGGCACTCCGGCTTCCTCCACCAATAGAAACTGGCCGCCACGAAATAGCCCAAATGTGGCGCTTAAAAGTGGCTTTAAAACACCAACAATCAATCAATCAATCATCAAATTAAAACATTTTTTATCCTGAAACATTGAACTTAATAATCGGGACCAAATAGGACCTTTATCCAACTTACCCCTTTTCCATTTGATTTGAAATGATATATGATGATTAGATATAAAATATCCACTGGATAATCTGTCAACCATGTTCCTGATAAGAACATGTTACTGTGAATCGATATGAACCGTGCTTTGTACTTCATCAAATTGTTAGGCATAGATAGTTTTGTATTGGATTTCTGTAAATTAAGAGTCAATTTAAGGAAGGACCAGAAGACCCTTTTCTTGTAAAAATATGCCATTTCAAATAAAGATGAATGATTATTGCAAGATTTCTCAATTTTTCTAACCCCCAAACAGTCTGTTAGATGCTAGAGCATTCTCTGACTAGTAATGAAAAAGTCTCAAGGCGAGCCTCCAGTTTACCTGATAAATGGTGTTATAGTTCAGCCACATTAATTTATATGGTACTTGAATATATTTCTATTTCTAACTTTGTCAATTAAAGACACACTGCTCATTTATTGTCAATTTTAAACTTCTCAATCTGAGATAGACAATTGATTGATTGTTATTTGCTTAATGTCCAGTACACTGAGTAGTAATAAGCGGAATGTTTTGCCATTGAAAGGAAAGATGGATAACTAGTTTGTATAATCAACTCCTCTAAACAGTTTTCAACCCTGATCACTGAAATGTCACAGAAAGGTTGCATGCATATTAAAGTTTAGCAACAGCTAATATGGAATTGTTTCAGGGCCATTTTTGTGTAATGAACTCCATTTTCAACCCAGGTCTTTGAAACTTCATGAACAGATTGTACAAATTTGAAGTTAAACAAATGCTATGACAGAATTATTTTCAGGATTTTTCCCACTTTTCTAGACTTTGAAAGCTTTTTTCAGCAAATTTCAAAAGATTGTACCAATCAACCCAGTTTTATTATACCCCACGTAACGAGTTGCGGAGGCGGAGGGTATAATGTTTTTGACCCGTCCGTCCGTCAGTCCTGTTTCTTGTCATCGCAACTCCTCTCAAACCACACAACAGAATTTCATGAAACCTTTTTAGATAATAAGGACATACTATGCAGATGTACATATCGACAGGAAATTAAGATTCAATTTTTTTTCTAGGAGTTACACCCCTTTGAACTTATTTGCTTCATTATACTACTGCAACAGTTTGTCATCGCAACTCCTCTGAAACCACACAACAGAATTTCATGAAACATTTTTAGATAATAAGGACATACTATGTAGATGTGCATATCGACAGGAAATTACGATTCAATTTTTTTTCTAGGAGTTATGCCCCTTTGAACTTATTTGCTTCAATATACTACTGCAACAGTTTGTCATCGCAACTCCTCTGAAACCACACAACAGAATTTCATGAAACCTTTTTAGATAATAAGGACATACTATGCAGATGTGCATATCGACAGGAAATTATGATTCAATTCTTTTTCTAGGAGTTATGCCCCTTTGAACTTATTTGCTTCAATATACTACTGCAACAGTGTGTCATCGCAACTCCTCCGAAACCACACAACAGAATTTCATGAAACTTTGTAGATAATAAGGACATACTACGTAGATGTGCATATCGACAGGAAATTATGATTAAATTTTTTTTTCTTATACAATTTTTTTTTCTTACTGTTATTTTATTTCTCCAGTGACAATGTGGGGACATGGGGTATGTGAGCGCGCTCACTAAGGTTCTTTAATATTTTCCATATATTTGAATGTTCTGTTTAACAAAGCCATTTGAGTCTTTACTTCCAAATTTAAAGTTTGCTGATAGCAGTTACATAATGGATTTTCCTAATAAATGAAAATTCTTTCAAGGCTTCTTATCTTTAAGCCAATGGTATATTACTAAAAGTGCTTAATTGAAAAAATGATCAAAGTTGTGTTTAAAGACCTTGTAACAAATCTCAACAAGAGGAAACAGATGCAAACAACTTAAAAGTAATTTTTTATGTACCCTTATGGCTTAGAAAATAAATTCCTATGCTAAAATTCACTGAAACTAGTTCAACATTGAGTCACTCACAAACAAGAGGCTGTCAGAGTGAACCCTGAACAGTTGAGCAAGTATGGACACTACATTTAAGCTTAAAACAGTTCTGAATTTGGGTTGTGATTGAATAATTGACACAGCATAGGTTTGTGACACAAAATGAATGTGGTCAAAGAACAGACAAATTTGAAATTGGACATTTACCTATTATGGTCCAATATCCAAAATTAAGTACATTGTTAGAATCAGCATATCAAAGAACCCCAAGAATTCAATTTTTGATGAAATCAAACAAAAGTTTTATTTAGGACCCTTTGGACATCAATGTGGACCAATTTGATAAAGGAGCCCAAAATCTCTAAACATGGTTAGATTCAGCATTTCAAAGAACCCCATAAATTCAATTTTCGTTGAAATCAAACAAAGTTTAATTTTGGACCCTGATTTGGACTACTTTGCCCAAAAATCCAATATTTTAATACAGGTTTAGATTCAGAAAGAACCCTATATATATTTAATTTATGTTGAAATGAAACACAGTTTAATTTTATCCATATACTTATTAATTTTCTGTTCAAAGGGAAATAACTCAAACTGAATAAATGATATACAAATAGTTCTCTAAAATTAGATATGATTTAACCACTAAAAAAATAGTTCTCTAAAATTAGATATGATGTTATATCTACTTTCAAATTATAATAAAAAATCTAAATACCACTTAGATTCAGCATATCAAAGAACACCAAGAATATTTTGGACCCTTTGGACCTAAATGTGGAGCAATTTGAAGACTGGCCTCAAAATTTAAAAAAAATCTAACAAGAGACCAAATGACAAAGAAATTAATTATTAATTTCTGTTCAAAGGGAAATAACTCAAATTCATATAATAATTAAATCCAAAATATTAAATATCTGCTTAGATTCAGCACATCAAAGAACCCAAACCATTGGACCCTTTGGACCTTTATGTGGACCAATTTGAAAACAGGCCCCAAAATTAAATATATAAATACATGATTAGATTCAGCATATCAAAGAACACCAATAATTCAATTTTTGAAGAAATCAAACAAACTTTAATTTTGGACCCTTTGAACCTTGATATGGACGGTAAAAGTGAAAATCATCAATATCAATCTTGACCTCCATTTTGTCATCAATAACAACATATTAAAATTTGAAAAGCTTTGGTTGAACAGTTCACGAGTTAAAGCACGGACACGACTGGAAACACCATTTTTCAATCTTTCAAGAACCATAACTCCTGAACAGTGAAAGTGAAAATCGTCACTATCGAACTTGACCTCCATTTTGTCATCAGTAACAACATATTAAAATTTGAATAGCTTTGGTTGAACAGTTCATGAGTTTAAGCAAGGACATGACTGGAAACACCATTTTTCAATCTTTCAAGAACCATAACTCCTGAACGGTGAAAGTGAAAATCGTCTATATTGTACTTGACCTCCATTTTGTCATCAGTAACAACATATTAAAATTTGAAAAGCTTTGGTTGAACAGTTCACGAGTAAATGCACGGACACTGTTTGGCAGCCCCCATCCGCCAGCGGGAAACAAATTTCAATAGGAATGATGTTGAAAGTTTTGTCAGAAATCAACTTTTAATGTTTGAATCAGTGTTTATATGGAACAGATTGAAAATATATTATTGGTATTGAATAAAAACAACATCACATGCAGTTTTGTGAGTTGATACATGTATTTTCATCTAGGTAAATTAATCAACGAGTGATGGATTTCTCTTAGAAGAAATTTAAAGGTCCCAGTGAATAAACTACATACACAAAACAATAGCTATTGTATTTATTCAATAGGACAAGTGAACTGACAAAAGTTTTAGTACCATGAACAAGAGGACATGACTATGTGGAAAAGTTTCATTTGATTCGCAATAATAACAAACTCAATGTTAATCACTGATTCATGAAATAAGGTCAATATCAGGTCAAACCTGGTCTGATGGACATAAATACCTTGTAAAGACTTCATTCCAAATACAGTTGTTTTATTACTCATATTATCTAAAATATAATGTGATAAAAAAACTATACATTTATAAAATTTGAAGCAGCCATTAAACTATGAAAATGATGTCGAGGACAATGGGTATATTGCAGATGGAAACTTCAGACCAAAAGGAATCTGTATATAAAATATGAAAAAGATCTTCAAAATTCTGAAATACACACAAAATTTTATACAATAATTTCCAGTTGCTGGATAAGCATTCTTTTGTAAATCTTGTAATGCATTCTGCAACAAAGGTTTGCCACATCCATTGCAGACAAAAACTCAGAAGAGAACTAGAATAATATGGTTTTCACCAAAAGAGTAATGACTAGTTTCTAGTATAAATCATTGAATAACACTGGGATTTATGTTCCATTTGATGGGTCTCATGAGAATCTAATTTTGATGCATATCATAACTTCATAACTGTTACCAGTGAATTACCTGCTTCATTATCTAAAATTCAAAAGCCAGAAGCCATTGAACCTAAAATGTTTGGTTGTGTGAATAATCCTTTGAAGGGTTTCTAACAAAACTAGAAACAAGACATTTATTATTTTGAATAATCCTTTGTAAAATAAACTGTTATCACAGAGATATGTCTCGCCTTTTTGTAATTTTGATAACTTACATGTTAAAGTATTGCTCTTTTAATTTCAACATTTGCATATGTAGAAATTAAAATAGCAATACATTAACATGTAAGTTATGCAAATATTCAAAGTTGATGAACCATGACTGAAGGTACATGGCTTAACAATCTCCATGGAATGAGATGTGCCAATGCTAATACAACTGCATACCAAATACCATTGACTTATTATAAGTCGTTCCCTTTAAACAAACCTAAACACAAACATTAACTTGTAAACTATGTAAAAGTTTCAAAGTCAATGAACCATGATCAGGGGTGGGGCTATATAATCTCCATGGAAACGAAACTTGCAAATGCCAATAGATTTGCATACCAAATATCATTGACTTAACATTAGCAGTTCATCTTAAACTGATCTAATCACAAACTAATACATGTAAACTCAGCAAAAGTTTCAAAGTCAATAGACCATGACTGAGGGGGCAGGGCCAAATATTCTCCATGGAAATGAGATGTGCTAATGCTTATACAACTGAACACCAATTAACATTGGCCTATAAGCTACCACTAATGGTTCCCCTTGAACTGACCTAATCACAAACTAATACGTGTTAACTAAGCAAAATTTTCAAAGTCTATAGACCATGACTAAGGAGGCGGAGCCAAATAATATCCATGGAAATGAGATATGCCAATGCTTATACAACTGCATACTAAATATCATTGACCTACCACTAGTGGTTCCCCATAAATTGACCTAATCGCAAACTTATACATGTAAACTATGAAAAGTTTCAAAGTCAATAGATCTTGACTGAGGGGGCGGGGCCAAATAAACTCCATTTTAATGAGATGTGCCAATGCTAATACAACTGCATACCAAATATCATTGACCTACCACTAGTGGTTCACCATGAACTAGACCTAATCACAAACTAATACATGTTGACGCCGCCGCTGCCGCTGTCGCCGGAAACAGCATACCTATGTCTCACTTTTTGACTCCGTCAAGGCGAGACAAAAACATTTCAAACTCAATATACAAGCAAAGAGCACAAAATTATACCTTCACCTCTTGTATCCATCTTAATATAAAAAGAAATGAATTTACAAGACATACAAACCTTAATTGTAGCACACTCTTTGGTTGAAGTCAACAATAATGTCAAGTATCATTAATATCCTTCAATACAATCAAAAGTTCTGAGTCAGGAAAAAACAATATTTGTTTATAAGGATGTTCAGTTGAACAAAGTTTTGTGTGGCATCCATTTCGCTGAACTAGTATACATTATTGTTAAGGGGCCAGCTGAAGCCCCCCTCTAGGTGTGGGATTTTCTCACTGCCTTGAAGACCGATTGGTGGCCTTGGGCTGTTTTCTGCTCTTTGGTTGGGTTGCTGTCTCTTTGACATATTCCCAGTTTCTATTCTCTATTCTATTTTGACCATGACCTTGCAGACATTCCTGACACATCCTCTTGTTGGGAATTATAGTACATGCGTATCCTTCAAGGCATTCAAAAGTTCTTTCAGACTTTGAAAGTATGATTAGGATCTGGACTTTGTAGAGAGACATTCCAATTTTATTCTTCTGATGGTGAGTAACAATAATATCAAGTATTATTTATATCTTTCACAGCATTCAAGAGAACCTGACATGACTTGCTGAGACAGACCATGTGATTCCTATATAATACCCCCCCCCCCCCCCCCCCCATTCTTATAACCTCTTAACAATTATTGTTACATCACCAAACTTTTAGAAACATAAAAGGCCTTGCACACAAATTAAAAACTAGGTCAACTTTCTTTTGTTATTAGATCCTCATTCCTTGTTAAGCATCCAAGCATACAAAACAACATGACCATAAATTGTTCTTAAGAATACAAATGGGATGAAAATAATACTCTAATAACCAATTGAAACTAATAGTTATGTTGAATGTGCTATAATGTATTAAATAAGTACAAATAGAGATAAAGACAACTCCACTCAAGATATTTTTATTGATACTCCAAAATCTATGAACCTAACACATACTTATAATAAGGAAAGGACTGCTTTTACTTATAATTGAAGCAGATGAGAGTTTGTTTTAGTCTTTCAAATATTTTTTCAACAATAGGAATTACCCAATTCAAAAACTATAACATTTAAAATCTCTAAAACTTAAAAAAATCTTATTGTCAATATGATGAAAACAGTGCTCTAATATATATCTAAGATTTTTAACTTTTCATGGACCTCTTAAAAATTTTAGCTGTTATTACAATTATAAAAAGAAAAATCCTGAAATAAATATTTGACCTTTTAACTAAGTTTTAAGCATTTTTCCCCAAAATGTTCAATCTAAAGTTACATTGTGTGCCCTTGAAAGCCCACAGATGATAATTTTTTGTTATAAAAGTTATGAGATTTCAAAAAAAACTGTTTCATTCATCATAACTATCAAACTGAAGAAAAACAATGAAACAAAAACAATAAAATGTTAAACAAATTTAGAAACTGTCCTTGGATGAATTTTTTTTTTTCAAAACATGCTTCAAAAAAATTTACTGTCAGTTCTATTTTTGTAAGACCCAGCATGGTCAATTAAATATTAAAATGATGAAAATACCCTCCCATATATATGTTTAAAATACCTATAAAGAGAACTGAATGAAACGATAGCTACTGGTACTTAGTTTTCAATGTTATTTTGATGTTTTCAACAAGATTTTTCTTCTCACTGCATTTTTTCAACTGAGAACACTGAAACAGTCCTAGATCCTTTGTCTTTCATAGATGCCATTTACAAAATGAAAATTGAATAATATGAGTTAGCATTGAGTTATAATAATGAAAGCAACAAAAATCAACTAATTTGTACATTACCAATACAACGAAATGAATAACAAAAAGTAGGAAAATTAGACAAATGTTCAGAAAAATTAAATTAATTGTAACTGATAAATTTAGTGGAACATAAAAAGAATCTGACACACATGATATGTGATAGTGCAATTTTCAAGTTAAGAGAGTGTTTAACAGGAAAGGATGTTATTAATTCTGCATATGGAATCACATTAAGCTATGAAAGCCTCTGTGATGGGGAGAAAAAAAAATTTCAGGCAGCTAAATTAATGATACTGTAAAAAATTCAAAAAATTTTGTAAGTTTTTTTATTGCTAAAAATTGTGACATGATTGGTTTGAAAAAATAAAAACTCACATTTTAAACTTTGAAAGCTTTGTTTTTATTCCGATTTAACAGAAATTGTAAAATTACTCTCATTTATGTCCAGTGTTTGAGATCACAATGGTAAATGCACACACAATTGCTTGAATTTACAGAAGATGGTCAGGTGATGATGGAAATATTAAAGTTTTCTTAATAAAAAACTTTTTTTTTCATTGAATACATTCAAATGTCTTTTTTTCATGGAAAATTTAGATTTCCATTTTTCAACAGATAAAAGTTTTAATTTGATCTTTATGAATGCAAATCAAAATTTGACCTTTCCTGTAAACTGTTTTTTGTTTGTTTTTGTGGCTGATGATAATGTAATGGGTTTTTCTGTCCACTTGTCAATAGAACTCTTAATACATGTTTTGAAAGATTGACTCTTTCATTCAATGGCTGTTTTGTTCCATATCATATTTAAATGTCCAATGGATTTCAAATTTTGATGAAAGGGTCTAACAATATTGCAGCTGGAAATGATCAAATTAATAATGTAAGATTGTCAGTAAAATGTTCTTTATCTTTTTTTTTGCATATCTTTGATTTGCATATAGTGTAAGATGTACAAATGGTTTTGGGTGATAAAATGTCAGATTTCTGCTAAAAAAAATAACATAATTAGTAATTCCGACTTCCTGTGTGAATGCACATGTTCTATGACTCATCATCTGAGTTATTATTACGACACTGATGCATTGAATATTTATTGTAACAATGTATATTTTATAAGCTGTATTGCTCCTCAATTGTAATACAGGTAAACAATAATTTTCCTGGTGAAAATTGGACCTAGATTGTAGCACATTCAAATTTAATAAAATGGATAAACCTTTTATGGCATAAAATGCAATAAGACAACAGATACATGTAATTCACTCTACGATTTCAAAACGTCTACAAACATGAAAATTATGATGCAGCAATTATTTCTGTATTATTACATAGATGAAATACCATGATTTCCCACCAATATAAAAACTGATACTTCACATGTAAAAAAATCCTGCAATTTCACTCCTCTCACACAACAATAGGTTTTGTCAAAAACACAGCATCAAAAAGGAGTAAAAACTTTCAAACTGACTATTTTTGTTTTCATTTCATATGAAGGTATTGTTTTCTTTTATTAAATTTTGAACTATTCTTTATCAATAGGAAGATGTAAAATTAAATCTGAATAAAGGTCAAACATTTTGACAGAAAACTTTTACTTGTTATATTAAGGTGGTACATAACACTACAGGGAGATAACTCTGTAAAAATCAAATGAACGTTTTAAAAACGTTCTATTTTTAAGGAAATATTAAGCTTCTCAATGATCAAAATTAGTGTTTGTCAAACTGCTATATATCCAATGAAGGTTTTCCGATAAAGTGTGTGGTTCAAGTTTTTTGAAATATTTGTCAAAGGGTCAAGGTAAATATTTTGTCAAAATTTTATGAAAATTAAACGAGCCAAATTAATTTTAGTCGAGGTGTTTGGTACCACCTTAAGCATGTACATTGTATGACTCTGATGTTCTAATCACAACACACTTGTTTTGTATATCAATGAATAAAAAATTACAAATGGTCAAATGACTGATATTAAATGAAAATATGCAGCTAAATTAAAACAAGACTGAAACTTTATATATAAATGGTTATCTTGTAACTATGAAGGTGTTCAGAGTTGAAGGAATTCATGAAAAATGAAACTATTGCTGAGTCAAAGAAAAAGCATTTGGTAAAAACACACATGTCCCACTACTTACATAATTACATCATGATAATTGGTTAAAGTTATGTCACAATACTAAACAAATTATGTCCCATAAAAAAGGGGAATTTTCAACATGATTTGACTTAATATTACCAAAACAATTTTAATTTCCTAGTTTAAGTGGAACACACAAAAACTGTGTCTGATTATATTTTGACAATGAAAAAAGACAAAAAAAACTTTATATAAATATAATTTTCTACGTTAGCTCAGCTAAAACTTGTAATGAGTACAAATTTGTTTAAATAATTAACAATTGTATAAAATTCAATTTATTAAGAAAAAAAAAACAAAAACAGGTTACTAGGTAACTATCCTTATAATTTCAACAGTTAGGGGTCATCTCAAAAGTTTACAAGAAATTTCTATACAAAATTTATTTGTATTTTTGCTTGTTTGTATCAACTGATCATTTCCACTTTGGTTTCACCAACACATGGCATGTTTTTAATTTCTTCCACTTAGTTAAGTGTTTCTTACAATAACAAAATCTTTAGAAACTCCCTTTTTTATATTTTCTTTTCTTGAGTAACTTTGTTAAGAAATTTAGAGAAAACAATTTGAGACAATCCCTTAAATTTTCATGGTATAGTCAAACTTAACCATCATCACAGAAGTTATATTAACAACACTATTATATTAAAATCTACAACAAATAAACAACTTAGTCAGATTAAAACTCAGGATTGTTTCACTAAAAAATATATAGTACCCAAGGAAGATAACCCTTACAATAGGAGTGTAAACTACTGTTTTCAAGAACTCATCTAAAATGTAATGGTATCTGAAGGAATCATTTAATGATACTGATGATGTTGTTTCATATCATGAAGTAACTATATCAATGAAGATGTTTTTATGAGCAGACCTGTATTAATGGAAACAAATTATATGAATGATTTTGTGGTCTGGAAAACTTATTTTATGAATAAACTTGTGGTCCATTTCAATACCATATCAATGACCTTATAAAATACTTAATCACAAATATCAATAACAATTGTTATCTTTTCTTTTCTTTCTGTCTATTTCAAGCATTTATTAATTTTGACTTAGGAGATATGACATTAAAGATAAACATCAACACCAGTGCATAATTTGTAAACATATCCGAACTTTGACCTGGAATTCTATAGTAGTACAACTCTTATAAACATATTCTGTTGAACAATCAACAATGAAACAATTCTTTCCATAAAAACAACATTCAAAAACATTTCTATAAACATCTATTACACCTATTTGTCCTTGAATGACCTTGTCCAACAGCCTACGTATCAAGCTTAGCTAATTCACTTGTATAAATAGCTACACTCTCTGAATCGTAGAGGCAAAAATAAACTTGTTTAATGGAGCTGCCCATGACTGAAACGAAGTAGTTGTTGATTGCTCTTAGTATGATCTGTGCTGCCGTCTGCTTGGGAAATCCAGCACTAAAATATATTAAGATAAAACATTTGTTCACAGAGGTTTGACATGAAGCTAATGAGATGCATCAACAGGACAACTGAAGCAATATTTAAAACATTTTTACCACAAAGAAATCATTAGTTTTTAGAAAACCTATCTAAATTTTACTTCACATGATATTTCATATTGATATAAACAACTTTTCCAAAACTAACATGTACAACTCTTAATTTACTAATCAGAAATATATTTTTTAATAAATGAAAGACATGAAAGTTCAAAGTAATTATCCCCGTTGAAGATATATGAATAAGCAAAGGCAGAGCTACTGAAACCAACAAAAATGGTTATTTTGTAGTTTCTTTCTATTGCTCTTACCGTCCACTGCCGACAGAAGGGAAAGCTATACTTTTCAAATTCTTTTCATCAGCTAATTTAAAAGCATTATGTATTGTCTTTTCTAACAGTTGTTGGGCATTGTCAGTTTTCCATGTTGGTCCATGACTATGTATTACAAACTTGGCTGGGAAGTTGTGACCAGGGCATATAGCAGCTAACAAATAGAAAAGTTTAATTACATCCCTGGCAAAAGCACTATACAGTAAAGTAAAATTCTCTAATCAGCAATTCATTTACTCAGAAGCAGATATTTCTTTGAACAAAAAAGGTCATGGTTTACTGACCAAAACAAATTAATTTATAGTTAATATCTTAAAACAGTTACCGTAAATAAAGATTTTTAATGTCAAAATAATACAAATAATTTACTTGTTGGCTTTATTTATGAATTTAGTAACCAACTCCTTTTACTCATTTCACAAAATATGTATGCTAATAATAATGGACAAATATCTACTGCTGAAGATATAATGGTACTACTAATTAGAGAAATTGTATATAAACCATATACCAGATATCTGTCAATCTTTTTATGCTTTGAAATCAAACAAAGGGCTATACCAATTGTAGCAAGATATGGCTGCAGCATGTCGACAAGAGGATGCTTAAGAAGCAACTTTGTACACAGTAATTTCTTTGACATAGTAATAAGCTATAAATAGTCCCTTAAATCAAGGAGAGCTAATCTGATAAACTTTTTATTTCAAAAAAGAAGGTAAAAAGACTCGTGTTTGGTACTTTGAGAATATTGTTTTGAAATTGATTTGGCAACAATCCCTATCTGCCATCTGAAAACTGCACTATTTAGCAAAGATATTGTTTTAAAATTTCAGAATTTCTAGTCAAGTAAAGCTAACAGTAACCTATAGAACATGTCAACTATTGAGGCTACAGATTTATGGCAATAACGACGACAGCTACAGCACCATACCATTAAAATAAGTTAAAAAGCAGTGAAAGATTGACAGATATATGCATTCAAAAATGACAACCAACGATCCCATGTCATAATGAATGATGTGTTGCCTTTAACTTTATTCTCTTCAAGCTCAAATTCCAGGTGAATGTTATTAAATCCTAAAGGATCTTTATATTATATCAAATGTGTCACACACAAGTTGGAATATTTTCCCTCTTAAAGTCAACACAATCATTATGATATAGGAAACTGGTTGTCATAAGAAACATAAAATAAAGAACTTACTTTCCACTACTAATAGATGGAATTGCAATAGACTTGATATTTTTTTCATCTGCTAATGCTAAAACATTCTTGGTAGCCTTCTCTAACAATTGTTGTGAATTATTAGCACCCCATGTTGGACTATTTACGTGTATGACAAATTTTGCTGGGAAATTATGTCCAGAACAAATGGCAGCTGAAATGATTTAACTAGATGAGTTACTACCCTGCTATAAATATGTTTTTTATATAAAGCAAATTTTTCATGTGTTCCAACACAATTTGGCAACTTCAGTAGTATATGCAAGTTAACAAAATTTATTCCAAATTTATTGTTTGGCAAAAGGGATACAATTTAGATGCACAAGACAAAAAATTACAGAGATATAATTACAAATAACAATATATCAATAGAAAAGAAACTGTATTGTTGGAAGGCTTCAAAAGAGTTTTTTTTAAGAAACTCTAATTCTTCCATGCACCCATGTCACTTTGCTCAGCTTTAAGATATCAGATGTTTTTGACTACCAGTAGGTGCTCATAAGTTTGACCAAGACTTATTACAAACATATATATATATATTCCTACAATAACTATAATCTTTAAAGTATGTGTTGTAGTCATCAATAAAGATTATATTATTCTGGTTATATGTATATTTGTTACAGTACATGTACCAATTGGAATTCAGATTTATACTAATAAAAAATCCATTTTTTTCTTGGTTGCAAACAGTTCCATTTTGTATTGTAACATATATAATTCATTTTATACTGCAACTGTGCTATTTGTGTGCAGTCAAATTGCATTGATCATATATTCATTTGTGATATACAGACACTGACCCTCATCACCTTGTTTATGACTTTGACAATTCAAATTTCATTTATGGCGTCAATATAGAATACAGGGACGTGATTTTTTTTTACGCCATCCACTTTAAATTCAAATTTGATGGTTTCTACCAAAAAATTTTCATTTGGAATAGCTGTATGGGTTGCAATATAGAGAGAACTATAATGGTTTACTTTTACAAATTGTGACTTGGATGGAGAGTTGTCTCATTGGCACTCATACCATATCTTCTTATATCTATATAAGATATACATTGTCTCAAAATTGTTCTTGCCTCGAAATAGGATAAAAATCTTCAGCACAGCCTTGCATTCTACCTGTTCTAAGCCTTGAACAAATAAATTTGATATTTCGAGACAAATGTCATGTTTCATTATGTAATATGCTAATTTATTTCCACTAACAATTACGTACTGATTTCCCAAAAAATAACAAACCGAAATGAATTCATCTTTTCAAAATATGAATTCAACTCTCAGGGCCCATTTAACTCTTAATAGTGCATTCCGCCAATCATGTTTTTTGGGATAAGATATAATGACCTACCACCAGCAGTATCAAGTGCACCATGAGATTTGTACAACTCATCTACTTCTTTTCTGAATTCTTTTCCTCCTGCCTTCTCTATGGCCGATCCTACTTCTCCACCCATATAAAATGAAGAACTGGTTGGATGTACAATAACGTCAGCTGCTATTTTAACTAAATCGCCTTGGATGACTGTCATCTGTAATAAATGGCTTCTTTGTAAAGTAAGTACCTCATATACTAAAAACATCAATTTTGTCATAAATTTTTTTTTTACTTTACCATAAATCAAATATACAAGACTGTAGAACTCTAGATATTATCCTAAAAAATTAAACATTAAAACACAATGATATGTTTGTCACCAAATAAAATATGTACAAACAGAGCCAATTGTGGAAACTGCTTTAAAATCTTTGATAAATATTTCACAACAGAATATAATAAATACCTTTTGTCCCAAAAACAGTTTTTTCTCTGAGAGAATTGTAAATCCACCTGCTGAGGTTGCTGCTACTGCTTCAGCTGATGGTGCAAAGCCCTATAATGTAAAAAAAGGTCTTTGTTGATATGAACTAAACACCTCATATCACGACAGTTCAGCATTTCCTTCCATTCTAAAACAAATTTGACCAATGCGCCTGGTTATCATGACCAAGATTGGCTCATTCAAAAAGATCAATAACCATTAAAACATAATAAAAAGCCCCATATGAATTGTTTTTATTACAAAAGAAAAGCTATCTTTCTAAGTAGTCTGTTTTTAAGGGAATTTATAAATAAAACCCAAACAGTTCTTGGTAAACTGAAAAAAACATACAAAGAGAACAAGGTTTGTTTTGAAAGGTGAAGACAGGCAATATCACATGTATCCAAGTGACTAGGACAGGCAATATCACATGTATCATACTGACTAGGACACGAAAAAAACACATGTATCTCACTGAATAGATCAGGCAATATCAAATGTATTCCCATTGACTAGTACAGGCAATATCACATGTATCCCAGTGACTAGGACTGTGGACAGGTAATATCACATGTATCCAAGTGACTAGGACTGTGGACAGGTAATATCACATGTATCCCAGTGACTAGGACAGGCAATATCACATGTATCCCAGTGACTAGGACTGTGGACAGGTAATATCACATGTATCCCAGTGACTAGGACGGGCAATATTACGTATCCCAGTGACTAGGACTGTGGACAGGTAATATCACATGTATCCCAGTGACTAGGACAGGCAATATAACATGTATTCAAGTGACTAAGACAGGTAATATCACATGTATCCCAGTGACTAGGACAGGTATTATCACATGTATCCCAGTGACTAGGACAGGCAATATCATATGAATCCCAGTGACTAGGACAGGTAATATCACATGTATCCCATTGACTAGGACAGGTAATATCACATGTATCCCAGTAACTAGGACAGGTAATATCACATGTATCCCAGTGACTAGGACAGGTAATATCACATGTATCCTAGTGACTAGGACAGGTTATATCACATGTATCCCAGTGACTAGGACAGGCAATATCATATGTATCCCAGTGACTAGGACTGTGGACAGGTAATATCACATGTATCCCAGTGACTAGGACAGGCAATATCACATGTATCCCAGTGACTAGGACTGTGGACAGGTAATATCACATGTATCCCAGTGACTAGGACAGGCAATATCAGGTATCCCAGTGACTAGGACTGTGGACAGGTAATATCACATGTATCCCAGTGACTAGGACAGGCAATATCACATGTATTCAAGTGACTAAGACAGGTAATATCACATGTATCCCAGTGACTAGGACAGGTAATATCACATGTATCCCAGTGACTCGGACAGGCAATATCATATGTATCCCAGTGACTAGGACAGGTAATATCACATGTATCCCAGTGACTAGGACAGGTAATATCACATGTATCCCATTGACTAGGACAGGTTATATCACATGTATCCCATTGACTAGGACAGGTAATATCACATGTATCCCAGTGACTAGGACAGGTAATATCACATGTATCCCAGTGACTAGGACAGGCAATATCATATGTATCCCAGTGACTAGGACAGGCAATACCACATGTATCCCAGTGACTAGGACAGGTAATATCACATGTATCCCAGTGACTTGGACAGGCAATATCATATGTATCCCAGTGACTAGGAGGCAATATCGCGTTTCCCAGTGACTAGGACAGGCAATATCATGTTTCCCTGTGACTAGGACAGACTAACTGAAATACTTTGGATATTTTCTATAATGACTTACAAAACTGATGTTATTCTGTGTATCATCAATGCTACATATATAATTAATCTGATTGGCCTGGTAGTCTCCTGCTCACCTTTAGTGAGGGAGTCTTAGGTTCAACCCTAGCCAGGTCAAGACAAAGATTTGAAAATTGGTAGCATCATTTAGAAGTAAGATCAAAGACTGGTCTGCTGGGGGTCAAAATAATGTGTCCAGGTCGGGCGACATGTCTTCTTGTGTACAGTCTGACTGTTACCTTGTGAACTAGCACGTTAAAAATCAGACTCAGTGTGTCAGTCTAATACAACCCAGGGTTTATATTCATATCAAATTATCATGTTCTCGTCCTTAATATGCATTTAATTTGCCACTGGATGTTAAACAGCCATCCATCATTATCATCTTATAATCAATCTGAGTCAAGTTAATTTATGCAAAGTCTGAAATGTTTGCTTTTAACAGCATTAAGCTGATACAGATCTAATCAGTTGTCAAGATCAAAGGCAAAATATCCCAATTTTTTCAATCGTACAGATATAGTTTTCACATTTCTTTAAAGCCCTAAAAAGTCTACAAACCACAAAGGTTCAATGACTTGGATAAAAAATATAGTTACTTGGACTTCTCCCTCTCTTTAAGATGTGCAAAGGTTACCTATTTCAGGACAAAATGTGAGCCTGTTTACCAACCCTTTTCCCAATGGCAGTCCACATTACCGTCTTTTTAACCAAGTACAGGTAACCAAGGTTTTTGTCATGATTCTGCCTTTAGATGATTTGGAAGTTTTTTGGGTTTTTTTTTGCTGTTGTTTTCTTGATGTATGCCATCTTTTCTTTTGCTTACATTATGTTTGTTTTTTCCGTTCTATTATTACCTTGGCTGGTTTAGGAGCTTTTGTTGCTTTCCCAGATTTGCCTTTAGCAGCAGGAGGTGATGGTGGAGTAGCTGATGCTTTAGCTTTAGTTTTAGTTTTTGTTGGAGTTGCTGCCACCTGTTTAGGGAGGACATTCTGGAACTTTGGTCCTTTTCTTCTTGTCAACAATTCAGGATGAATATGAGGTAGTACACCTCCACTTGAAATTGTTACATGCTTCAGTAACTACAAAATATATGTACAGCTCAATACATTTATACATCCTGAACATAAAATTCAACATCCAAAGTCAATATTTCCTGTATTTTATGTTAAATGTATTTCGTTTCATTGTGGATTTAAGTGGAATAATACAAGTAAGAAGTATGTGCAGTGTTAAATGAAAAACTTCTGTAAAATATTGCATTAAATATGATTTTGTTGGCTTTTATGACAGTTTAAACTAACTTCAATCTCTTAACAACTGAATTAAGTTCATAAGGGAAGGGATAACTTTACACATTTAATAAAACTCTGAAATAAAAATTGAGATTATTCTATCTGAATTATTCTTATTACAATAGCTTAAACATTGAAACAATGTAAAAGGCAGAAGTGGGTTTGACTACCAGTAAATTGGAAAAGACATCAAATTTTCAGTTTAAAATCTATTTCCCTGTATTTGTAAGAAAAAATATTTGCATTGCTTTCTGTCTCACCTCTTATACACATAATACCCCTTACTGAGGAGCACTTTGATGTGCATTTTATAACAAACACTTTGTATGCAGTTATTCTATAGCTGAAACGTAAGAGAAACTAAGTTTTTAAATGGAACACGAAATGCATATATATGAAAAAGTCAGTAATATTATTGGCAAAAGACAGTTTTTGGTCACAAAGTCTGCTTTGCATGCCAAATCAAGAGATACCCTATTAATTGAATGCTAATTTCACATTAAATTGTGACATACCCTATTCAATTCTTCATCATTAGCCACTGCTAGAAGAATATGCCGAGGAGTAACACGAGCCCTTTTATTATCTCTAGCAGCATTTCCTGCCAACTCTAATATCTCAGCTGAAAAAAATGTATGATAAATATGAATATGTATGGCCATTATTAATATAAATCAATAATTCTACATATTTTATAAGTCAACCATATTTGCAAACTTGAACAGTAATATTTTACTAAAGGTTATTTTAGGACTTTCAAGATGTTTTACTAGTTTCCTTACCAGCAATAAAATTATGTAGAAAACCAAACATAAACATGATAAATAAAGGGATACAATTCAGTTGTCATAGTTCTGCAGTGTGTCTATTTAAATTTTATATTCAGTGTCTCTGGGGGAATCAATACCCCTTATAAGACTAATAACTTATAAAGAAACAGATGAGGTCAGAAGTGCATTTGTTTTTGTTTTTTGTGTAGAAATTTAGTAGAAATAACTCATGCTGAGACACAGGTTTTTTTCTTTAAGAGTTTGCAGGACTTGTTTCAGAGATATGGATCTTTTTGTCAGTAGTGTGAGTTATATTTAAAGTGGGGACAAGTTGGCAGTGAGGTTAGAATATGTGGTGGGGTTTATACATAGGGGTGTTGAAAAAGTCTCCAAAAGTAAATTTATGATTGGAACGAGTTATACCTTTGTTTTAGTTAGAAATTATTTTTTTAAAAGTTTGGACAAGTATGTGATGAGTCAATTAAGCTTATCAAATAATACTCACATCATCTATGGGGTGAGTTTGTAGTTTCTATTGGTTGTGTGAGTTTGCAATTGTTTTATCAGTGGTGTGAGTTATTGTCAGTATTCAAAAATGTTTATTCTATATCATATAATAGGTGGGGCGAGTTTGTAGGAAATACACAGAAAGTATTATATTTTTCTAAATTAAACGGGAAACGGAGGGGGGTTGCATTTTTCGCAAGTGTGAGAAAAGTCTGTTAAACCTATTACATATTTCTTGTGTAATGGGTTGGGCAAGTGCACAAACACTCATGTAAAATGCAACATTTTTCTCAATGAGATCATGACTGAAAAATTATCTGAATAAAAAAAAAGTAGCCTTTAAAAATTTATTTTTTGGAGGGTGTTAACTTTTATTCAGTTCTAATTTGAACTATAGTCTCACAGGAAAAAATATTGCCACTTACAGGAATGTGTATGCACCATGACGACATTAGAATGACAATTGATACCTGAATTCTTGGTATAATACCCATTTATAAGGATCTGGGACAATTACACTTACATTAAACATTTTAGTCCTATAGTGAGGATGTGTCCCTACCAAAGGTTTACAGCATTGAGGATATTGTTAATTATAGCCAATGATTTGATGCACCTTTTCAAAATAATAATAATGCTTTACACTCTGGAACAGTATAGTATTTTTGGCATAAAATACTACCATACTAAATTTTAACTTTGATTATACATTTTCCTGTCATGTAGGTGTTAGTAGTCATGAGGGGGCATTTGACACTTGAAGTATTAAGACTAATGCGTTGTCATGAAATGTTAATGGTGTGCAGTACCGGTTAGATACTCTATGACTGCTGCCAAATAAACTGGAGCTCCAGAACCGATACGGAAATGATGTGTCACTCCCTTCAGGTACCGGCGCATCCTTGCAACTGGAAACAAAACACCTGCTTTCGCAGATTGCGATGTTATCTTTTTCTTCTTTGCACCGCGTGCGGACATACTGGTGCTTTATAATTGACCTAAAAATGCTGACATATACAATAATATTGTGTTGACACCGTAAACTTATTTGCAAGATCAGGCGAAGCTTTGCATCGACTTGCTGGTTGGTCCTAAATCCAACTTCCGGGTGGATTCTAAATTGGGACGAAAGCTCCGAACAGCAAAGATTAAAACGCGGGTGATTTCAATTTACAACAGACAAATCAAGGATTTGTATAGTAAGACTTACTATACAAATCCTTGGACAAATTAACTATATTATATCTAATTAAATCTATGTCATAATGCTTATGTTATTACCGAATACGTCACAGTATGAACCGACTGTTCGATGACGGCGTTTTAAACGACGATCTCAGCGCTGATTGACCTCGGGTCAACCGGTGTAACGTTCGAGATTGGTGTTTTACCGAAAATAACCCGTGACTTGGAAATTTTAAAGGATTTTATCAAACTATCTGTGCACAGGATTTATTTGTTTTTAAACAGTTTTGATTTAGAAGAAAAACCGACATGGTTAGAAAATACAAATAATTATGTACACCATTACTAACACAATTCTACATTAATATTCTTGTAATGGTTAGATAATACATCAAATAACACCATTACAAACTTAATCCCAATTTTTTATATTCTATTTTTAGAATTTTACCTGTGACGTCACTTTTTGTGGCCGTTTGATACATTCGTGTGACGTACAATTCATTATTCCATTGTGGTGTACTAGTGTTCTGTCGTAAATTAATGGAAGTTTGTCCATTATTATTCTGTGGTTTACATGTTGTAATGAACTATTATATTATTTATTCATGTATTTCTCTGTCTTGAGTGTTCTTGCGTTTATTTGTACTGTATTCCTGTCACGTAATGTTGTCATTTTATCGGTATTTTTAACATTGCCATATAAGCGGGAGGTTTGTCTAACCATTAAACCAGGTTCAACTCACCATTTTTTCTTAAAATGTCCTGTTCTAAGTCAGGAATATGGCAGTTGTTATCAACTAGTCCGTTTCTACGTATGTTTGTTTTTGTAGCAGTTCAGTGTTTCTGTTGTTCCGTTATTTTCCTCTTATAGTTAATGTGTTTCCCTCGGTTTTGGTTTGTGCCTCAGATTTGTTTTCGCTCAATCGATTTATGACTATTGAATAGCGGTATACTACTGTTGCCTTTATTTTTTATTCACCTGGATTAAGCAAGTTCAGTCTTGTCACCATACAAGAAAAAAGATATTGACAAGATAGAAGGAGTTCAAAGAAAAGTAACTAAACAGCTAGCCTCAAAGATCCAGAGAGACTCTATAAGTACTACACTTACCTACACTTTCAAATTGGAAATTAGGAGGGACTGGAATTTACAAAATTGTGTAAATGGCTACTATGATAAGGAAGCAAGTTCTTCTTAAAAATTGACGGAGGACTCACAACAAAGGGTTATAAATAGCGGAACAATAGTAATACAGTGGTTCCCCAAAGGTTTCAATAAAATATCCGAAAACGCTCATTCTCTGTAAGAATAGCCAAAACCTGGAACAAACTGCCAGATGTTGAAGTTGAAGGTCAACTTAGAGGATCTCCTATCACGTGGAAAATAAATAACGGAGCTAGAACCTTTATATATATTTATATATCAGAAGAAAGTCATTGGGATTGGAATATTTTTCCGATGAATAAGAACAGGGTAGACACTCGATCAAGGAGAGTAATTGGTTTAGAGACAACACTATTACCTGCTAAACATGAAATAGTAGTAAAATCGGGACTGACAAGAAATGTATAGTAGATACTTCATTAAGTTTTTATGGTTTTCTGTCTCCTGAGAGAAGTTTTAGGAAAAATAATGGACAAGCGCTAGCAAGAGTTCATGTGAATGCATATGAGGGAACAGGGAACAATTTGTGCCAGAATATTTAATGAAACCAATACAGATATCATACTGTATAAGGAAACGCATAATTATAGCTTTGTTTTTCCAGTTATGAATATCGGACAAAGTTGAGGTTTATAATGATAATGTTGACGTTAAACTTTGTCACATTGAAGAGAAAAGATACAAGACTGATGAATAGTTATACCTCAATATATGGACAATATGTTTCTTGAAAGAAAGAAGTTATAAACACAAGAAGAGACCGATCAATTTTGGAAGGTGTTATGCAGTACCAAGTGGTATTTGCTAATCTGAATGGAAAACATGGGAAAACTTTATTGGGAATGCATTCTATAAAATTACATGATGAAACACCAATAAAAAAACCCGAAAAGAGTAGCATTGCTCAAGAGGCAAATTTTGGAAAATGAACTGGAAAATTTATGAAGAAAAGTATCATAAAAAAATCACGAAGTTCATGGTCCGCTCCCAACCATTACAGAACTGAAATGTATGATGCAGATCTGCTGCAGGTTTGCTGCAAACACAAAGTTTGCAGGAAACATAAAATAAGGTTTACAGGTCTGCAGCAAACATTTATATGCAAATTAATAACTCTCCAGTGGCGGATCCAGAGGGGGGCGTAGATCGAGGGCGTACGCCCCCCCTTTGCTTGCACTTTTTTTTGTAAAATGATTAATCAGACTAGACTTCGTGAACTTTGCCATTTCCCGTGTATTTAATTTTTATGCGACAATTCTTTACTTATAAAGATTTTTTTCGCTCGTATTTAGTGTAATATATTATTGATTATGTCAAAGTCATGTGATTCTCTACGGTGGAGCTGACCAGTTCGTCGAAAGAAACGTCACTCAGTCATTTTGAAATTCAAATTACAGTAACACATTGCTTAGGCTGAGGATGACAAGCATGACACCTTCAAAGCGACAAAGTATTGAGCAACAACGTATTGAATTCTATTTCACAATTCCACCCAACAGAAAGTAATACTCTATATTACACTCTCATAAAAAAAAAGTTCCACAGCAATATTATTTACCTACGAAAACATGTTTAACCCCACACGCCCCAGCCCATTAATAATTAACATTGCTGAATAGTGATCCTTAGTCAGTAAGCTCTAGATATAGATTTAAAGTCTAAGGTACGGACCATTTGATCTGAGGGGGCAGTCTGAGATATTTTAGAGAAAAAATTCTGACCCTGATTTTTACCTTAAACAAAAATTCTGGCCGTATCTGGATTGAAAACAATAATCTTGTCCACTTTTTTGCTATTAGAAAAAAAATATTTTCAACAGAATTATTTAGCATTAAATGAACATGATGAATAAAAAACAGGCGTAATTTTTTTGGGGGGGGGGGGGGGGGGGTTTGCATGTGAATCCCATATCTGACCGGAATGTCTCTTTCGCCGAACTGATATACTGAATACTTTTTTCAAGGCCCGACTGCAACCTGCCTGCTGGTTGTGGCCTGTATGTCTTCATGTGTCGACCGTCATTCACAACTTCATTGTCATTTCCGACTTATTCGTAGCCTTTGGTTGATTTGGAACCCCTCACTTCCCTTGTTGGGTAAAACGTTTCAACCAAACATTTGGATGAAAATTGCTTGTTTGTCTTTCTTCGTGTCGGTCGTATTGTAAATTTAATTGAATAGCCGTATATCTTGTTTACAACAAAAAATCTGTGAGGTTATGCTTACCAACCATACAACAAACGATAATTTTCCATGTCCATTTTTTACTGACAAATCCCACATCAAATATATTAATTAGTACATAGCTTTGGATCCATCCAATCATTTCATAATAGACAATTGATGGAGAGAATACGGCACCAAAAATGTCCAACCCCTACACTTTAACTATAAAATGCATTTTACACTTATTTTATGTTTTTTATCCAAAAAAAGGTCCAAAAATGTTTTTTAATACTACGCCCCCCTTTCCAAAATCCTGGATCCGCCCCTGCTCTCCTGCGTGTTTGCTGCAAGTTTGCATCATGTAATTTTATAGAATGCAATTTTGCAGCAAACACTCAATTGGACGATAAACTGTTTTCGGTAGACTTGCAGCACATTTGAAACAAACATGCAACAAATACATATTCCATTAAAAAAACATTCTTGGGCTTTTGCAAGCTTTCTGCAAATGCACATTAAATGTTGCAGATTGTCAGCAAATGTTTGCAGTAGGCTGATTTTGTCATTAAGGGCATTGTCTCTGTACAAAAACAGAATCATCACGGCGGCTATGTGTGGATTACCGGAAATTCAATGAAACGACCATCAAAAATGTGTATCCGATACCGAGGATTAAAGATAACTCACTCTATGTGGACCTCATTGGTACTCATCACTGAACTTGGCTATGGCTCATCATCAACTACCAATGAAAACTTGTGACAAAGAAAAGACTGCATTTTTAACCACAACCCTAAATGATGTACTTTATCAATATATATCAATGCCATTCGGACTATGTAATGCGGCATTAAAAGTTCCAGATAATAATTGAAACAACATTAAAAAGTAAAATCACAAAAATACCGAACTCCGAGGAAAATTCAAAACGGAAAGTCCCTAATCAAATGGCAAAATAAAAAGCGCAAACACATCAAACGAATAGATAACAACTGTCATATTCCTGACTTGCGGACATCAGTGGCAATAAGCGGACATCAGTGGCATATTGCATAATTTTGTCTTGACGATATTATTGTTTATGGAAAATCCTCATGATTGCTCATTGAAGGGACCCCTGCAAGTACATCACATTCCTGTTAAATATACAATCGGATAAAATGTATTCTCGTATTAGGAAATAAACAGCAAACTAATGTGTTATAAATTTCTTCGTAATATCATTGCAAGCTAGAAATTTAATAGGCTACTGCAAAGAAAAATCGATCAAAGGCTTAAATGGCCCGGTTGCCCAGATTAAATGGAGAATGATCTTTACTGAACATTTAAATATAATGAAATGTAAAATGGGAAAAATGTATTTTTTTTTAAACAATTCCATAATAGAATTAAGGTGCACAACTGAATAGGTTATCAAACTTTCTGTGAAGTTCCAAAGATATAGGTTAAACACAAAAATTGATGCCATCTTTTTGGGCATAAGTTCCAAAGTCTTGAAAAAATGGAGAAAAACACCTCAAACAAATCAATAAAAAAAGATGCACAACTTCAACATTTGTGCAATCATTCCATAGAGTTTCAAGGATCTGGGTTGAAAACTGTAGGAGGATCTGATTACACAAAACTTGTACCCTCTTTCATAAATTTAGCTGAAAAATCACTAAATTCCCAAGTGTGGAAAAATGAGAAAAAGCATCCTCATACAATTCCATAATAGCAGGTGCACAATTTCAACAATAGGATTTGGGTTGATAACTAGAAGAGAGGCGAAATGTACCAAAGGGACTATCAAACTCACAAGTCGAATATAAACTGACAACACCACGGCTAAAAAGAAAAAAAAACAAACAACAGTACACAAAACACAACATAGAAAACCAAAGACTGAGCAAAACGAACCACAAAAAAACCTTGGGGAGATCTCAGGTGCTCCGGAAGGGTAAGCAGTCACAATCGGGAAAAAGGGGGCGCGATTGAAGTTACGACAATTGGAACATATCCGTTGTCATCTTTGAAACGGATATTCCATAACGGTCAACCAACTCGTGATGGCGTCCGTAAAATTTCAAGGGACGATTTCAACTTCACCATTTGGAACTCTTGGTTTAATAGCTTCCTGGTGAGCAGCAACCCTCTATCCAGGAAATCATGATAGGAAATACAAGCATATCGTATCAACTGGGAGATATATACTCTGTATGCAGGTGCTGCTGGAATGTTGCTACATAGAAATGGGAAGTTCACAATTGGGAAGCTGAAATCATCTCTTTTGTCGTTAAGTTTTGTTTTTACAAAATTGGTACCATCTTTTGTAAATTTTATGAAAAATGACCAAGTTCCCGTACAGGGAAAGGGACAGAAATTCATCTATAATAGCAGGTGCACACATGCAATGTGTACAATTATCCAGGGATCCGACTTAAAAACTGTGGGAGTTAACACAAATTAGGTATCAACTTTCCCCGCCCACATGGCTGCTTATCTGCCAGACAAAACCCTACTATGAGCCTGTTTTGGACTTTGTCCAAGTCAGCTAAAAATCACTACATGCACACGAAATAACTATAAGCTTTTATATCTGTTCTTTATCTCAAAGTCACAGTGAAGCCTTCAACATAAAGAGTAAAAACTCTCTCCTCACTGATTTAATTGCTAGATGTCCATCATGCTAATCTTGGCATTGAACTGCTTCAGGTTGATATCAACAAATTTGAAGTTATTAAGATATACAATAAATAGGTACTGAAAGCCAAAAGATTTTTTTTTCAATTCTTTAATTAAATGTTGGTTCATCTTCCTAATTTTCTCTAAATTTCTCAATTTGGTTGTTCTGATTCAGGTCCTTGAATAATAACATTCAGTATGTTGCAGTTCTGTAATATCATTACATGTTCTTGTAACTGAAAAACATCTGATAAATTTACTTAGGATTGACAAAAGTAACTAATTATTGCAATATTCCCACATAACCAAATCTTTAGTAATATCATCTGATGTTCATACAATAAATCTGGGGAATGAAGTCTCTGTGAAGTAAGTCAACAATCAAGCCTTGCCTTTACAAATGGCTGAAGAGAATCATGTTGGACAATGCCATTGTTCAAGCTACCATTGGTTATAACATACAAACCTTTCTTGTTTGTGTATGATAGTATAGAATTATAATTTTTACTTTGAAAAAATAAATACTACACATCAATATAAAAAAAATTGTATCTCATATGTTTGACTTAATAGTTACTTCATCATATGGGATAAGATTATTTTCAGATATCATGAACTAATAACATCAAGAACACCAAAATTATTTTAATGTATTTATTAATTATCAGAATAAATAAGACATTGTGCACCAATATTCCTTTGTCAGGCTGATAAACAAAAATATATAATTCATGTTAAAAATCTCACAAGTCTTTTAAACACCAAAATTATTATATTCATGCATTCAAGCAAACTATATGTGACTTTGGACTAGAATCTTACTATAGTTTCATTGTTAGTAGGATACTTAATGTTATGGAGATCAATGACATTACATAATGCTGGTAAAGGTTTTTTTTCAAGAGTTTTTGTCTACTTTTTATTTGATATATTTTGAGAATTACATAGACAAGTCAATTCCAGCCTAAGAGAAAAAAAATGTTCACTATCTCATCACTTTTTGATTTCACACTATCTCAAGCAAAGGACCTCCCTTTCCCAACCTCTTGTGATTGTGTATTAAATGAAACAGAAAAAGGATTAAGTTGCTTATCAGAAGAAAATGATATAACCCATCGTTGTAAATATAACGGAATTTGATGAGACTGTCGTACAAGTGAGAGGTTTAGCGCTATAAAACTAGGTTCAATCCACCATTTTCTACATTTGAAAATGCCTGTACCAAGTCAGGAATATGACAGTTGTTGTCCATTCGTTTGATGTGTTTTGTCATTTGATTAGGGACTTTCCGATTGACTTTTCCTCGGAGTTCAGTATTTTTGTGATTTTACTTTTTAGTGATCAGTCATTTATTTTCTTAACCAATGTAAATGGTAAATAACCAAATTGAACCCAAAATATTCCAGAACAATGTACAACATCCCCTTGTTATACAACTTTTTTAGTTACAAACAGAAAAGGTTAATTTATATACCGCTTCTATCATCATTTCTGCAACCTTTCCTTTAAATAATTCTATACGCTTTCCATTCACTTGTAATAGATTTTTTACTGAAAGATAAGGAATACTTCAAACCATACATTATCAAATGAATGTAATTCTAGGAAAATTAACTTTCACTAAAGAGTGATTTTTTTGGGGGAAAGTTATTTTCACAATTTTTTAAGTATAAAGTTATTAACAAATTTGAAAGAAAGAAGGTGGCACTGTTTATCACAGTTCAAATTCAAAGAGAGTACCAGGACAACTGTTTTCATTACTTACTGTCTGAAGAGAGGCTTTAAGGATGAGAGAGTGTAATATTATACCTTCCTAATAATAGAAGGAAGGTGCATTTAAGTAGAGAGTTCAAGGTCCAAAATTTGATATACAGTGTGTATTAATTTCACTCAAAAGTTTTACATAACCTAAACCATATTTCTTTAATTTGCATGACATTTGAAACTTAATGACCAGTTATTTATAAATAACTATAGGGTCAGCTGAGGCTGTATTACTCTCTTAGCAGTCATGCAATGATGTGAGATTTTTTTTTACAGTAACAAATAATCTTTCATTCTAAATCTTTTTTCAACCTCCCATCAGGTTTTTTTAATCTGTACTGGACAAATCATAGAAAACAACATTTTGAAAGTATTTTTTATCATTCAAAATTTTTCAAGAATTAAGGATTGTTCAGAAAATTTTGTGACTGTCAAATTTTGAGCTTTCAGCAAACATTAGCTAAACTCAAAATTACATTTTGTTCACCATGATAATTGATTCTGTTAAAATTTTTAAATTATACTCCATTTTTGTATTTTAATTTGTTAATTTAGAAAATAAACCAATGTTGAAATTGTATCACAAAATGATCTACAGCATCAGAAAAAAAAAGATACAACAAAACAGATGTAATTGTTGTAAAAATAGATTTCATATTCTGTAATATCCAAAAATTCAGACATATATAATTTCTTGGAGAGTGATGAATATGGCAATATTTGTATCTTTTTGTTTTTTTCATTATACATTGTTTATCACCCATTGCAGGAAAAAGATGTTCTAAAGATCTTGTGAAGTTTTTGTCCGTAGAAAGCAAAGCAATGACACTTGAAACGAGGTCATCAAAGGTCTCTGCTTAACCTGTCTATGGTAAGAAGTTCCAAGTGTTTATAAAGACAAATGGCAAGCCAAAGCAAAATGTTGGTGAGGACAGTAAATTATAATCATATATGTATATCAATATTTTAACTTTAATAGAAATTAGGTCCCTTAAAGAAGCAGTAATTCTATAAAAACAGTAGAGAAACCTCTAAAATAATTTTTACATTTTTGCAAGATCAGGATATGATTTTCATTGACTACAGAGAATGTATCTTTTATTCTTTGACAATAAAGAAGGCTATACAGTGCAGATAACTACAATCCAGTAATCACAATAAAAGTAATTTTCATAACAATTCAATAAACAACTTTTAATACACAGTACACTATAGTTGTCAAGGAGACTGAAAATAAACTACATCCCACATTCTATTTATTGGACTAAATATCAGGAAAGAAACTTTCAGATGACAAAATGCCATTGTTTTTCTGGTATTCTTAGAATATTCTTTGACGGAAATAGCACTTTAAGATTTCTGCTACAATGTATAATACTAATATTTATTGTTTGGGAAGTGAACACATATCACAATGGTCTTTATCTGTTGTGTTTATAAATGTACAATGTGCACACGTCCAACTTGAGCCTATAGGAGGTAATGGTGCAGCCTTGGGTCCAACGTAAGATGATGATGGCCTCCCTGGAGTTAGAGTGGGAACTGAAAAATAGAAAAATCCTTTATTAATTATTAGTAACTGTGCACACAAAATTCATTTTGATGTTTCAAAAGCAGCTGAGAGTGTTGGCACATACTAGAGTCTTTTATATTACAATACAGGAACTGTGTTACCATTTAAGGATATCAACATACTTTTATCCTTTGAAGGGTATCAACATACATTCAGCCTTTTGAGGATATCAACAAATTGTTTCAGAAAATATTGAGTATGCCAATGCACAGTTTGTTAAATACATTGAACAGTATTAAAAATGCAAGGTAAGTGCAATTAGTCAAAAGTATTTAGTATTCTTAAAAATACTTGAAAGCATTTACCAAAGGTGAAGACTAGCGGAAAAAAAAGATACTCTCCCAGATATTTGCCAAGTATTTCACATTGTTGCTACCTCAACAACATCCATCTCTTTCTCAAAGTTTAAGTTAAATAATGAATTTGAGTAATACACATAATTTGTGTTAACCAAATTCAATGTTCCTGTTAATTGATTATAGGTTTTTTTCATGAATGTCTCATGGTTATGTAATAAACCAATTTGTTGTAATGATTTAAAATCATAGCCTTTTATAATTCTGTATAGAATGGCTCTCTATTTTATACATTAAATGTAATGTTTTACTGTATATAATTGAGAGATGAAACATAAATAAAATATTGGATGTCTCATTATTTGGTTAAGGAGAGGATTTCTTGTTATAACTTATTAAGTTATATAGATACAATGAATAAGCGTTGATTCATGAAAAACAAACCATTCGCCCGGAATAAGTGTTGATTCTTGAAAAAGAAACCATGAGCCCGGAGGGCGAATGGTTTGTTTTTCATGAATCAACGCTTATCCATTGTATCTATAACTTAAACTATTGTGTTAATGTCTTTTCAAAATTAAAGCCTTTTCTTAATAAGAAGGTATGGTAAGTGAGTTTAAATATCTATTTTATCATGTTCAACGATGCATTAATAAATCTAAGATCACAATTAATTGGTTAGAAAAATACAAATATAACACAACACGTCTGCCTTTGAATTATCAGGCATCTGAATATTATCTGTGTTTACAAAATAAGACATATTCGAACTTATTTCTAATAAAATAGAGAATGGAAATGGGGAATGTGACAAAGAGAAAAAATCTGACCAAAGAGCATATATAAAGTATATATAATAAGTATGTTACCAAAATTTCTAGCAAGAAGCCTAATTCTAGGCACATCACGATTTACTCCCATAGGAATTTGTGAATAAACATTTGAAAATTATGTAGTAAAACAGATGAAATCATACTATATTTATAAAACAAAAATGGACAAATAGAATGTAATCATTTTAGTTTCAAATATGTGTTCTTGGTTTCAACAGACAATAATAATCCAAAAATATATGGTAAAACTTGCTATTATTACAAAAATATCCACAATAACATACATAATCAGAAAAAAAACAGGAAAACTAAAGAATAGGGACAACAAAGAGAATACAGGGATTCGAACCTAAACCAAAAAGTCCCTACCTTTAATTCATTGATCTTAACCATGCTAACCTTGCGGCTATCAACTTATAATATACGATTGCCTATTATGTGTATATATAAAGGTACAAGCCCTGTGTGTCCGTTGTACCGATGTATATCATATGTTCATTTATATATATAAAATAGACAATTTAATTGTAACCCATTGGTAGCCGAGAGGTTTCTTCGATATGTTGATGTCAATCACACATAACAGATTTCAAGGACGGGTTTGATTCCCAGTGAAGGCATATAAAAAATACAAAAATTAAAGGCAAGTTTTTAAATTAATTCCATTAGTGAACAGAAATCAGTAAATTAGCCAATTCAAACTTAATGAAAAAAGGCACACAAAGGAAACAACTGAATGTAATTTGGTGAGTCCATTTCAGCGACAGATTTAGGAAGCGTTGATTCTAGAAAAAGAATCCACGGTAAATGAATAGGTTGACGTCACAACAATGGTTTAAGTGTTAGAAAGGCCAGGGTATTTCTTAGTAGTATATTATTCATTTTTCCACTATCATCTCCATGTTATATATTTTTTTTTTTAACATTTCAAGCTTTATTTTAAAAATTATTTCAACAATTAATTAAGTACCAAACTTTGAACCGAATAATGAATTTCCACGTTCAGCTGAGACCTAACAAATATGTCAACAGACTTAGAGTACAACGATTACATGTATTTATCCCATGAACTCACCATGTGCTGCCATCATTTCTTCCACAGTTGCCCATTCTTCTGTCTTTTTAAATTGATGAGCAAGTTTCTCATCATTACTTTGCACTGCATCCAGTAATATGCATATTTTTTCCTGAAAGAAAATTAATCACAAATAAATATTTCTTTTTAGAAATATATCTTTTAAGAAGTAAAATATGTTTTTGCACTAAACAGATATGTCAGTAGATCTACATGTTTTAAGTAGAAAGTCATAATTTCAGTATAAATATATGTTGCTCGTCTTTTTTTTTGGCAATGGTGTTGTCTTTTTCTTAAACTTATAGTTTCTGGCCCCTTGGTATCTTCCTATTATTCTGATTGGCCCCTTGGTATCTTCCTATCATTCTGATTGGCCCCTTGGTATCTTCCTATTATTCTGATTGACCCCTTGGTATCTTCCTATTATTCTGATTGGCCCCTTGGTATCTTCCTATTATTCTGATTGACCCCTTGGTATCTTCCTATTATTCTGATTGGCCCCTTGGTATCTTCCTATTATTCTGATTGGCCCCTTGGTATCTTCCTATCATTCTGATTGGCCCCTTGGTATCTTTCTATTATTCTGATTGGCCCCTTGGTATCTTCCTATTACATTTTGGGGGCTGTTGTATGATTGAATGCAATCCTTAATATATTTATTTTCCCTCGAGAGCAGTACTTTGTCATTCATTTCTTTCAAAAGGGAAACAACTTTTTATGTCTTCAAAAGATCAATCTTACAAGACTTTATGTTCATTACATTGCATTTTAAGGAATTGTTAAAAATCTCGTTCAAGAAACACAACATCAAAATATGTGCAAAAATTCTTATTTTGATAAAACAAGAATATGCATCCAAAGGACGCCATGCTGGGTTCACTCTATCACACTTCTACGTTCATTGAACAAAAAGTCTGGATTAAAACCCTTATCTGACACGTATAAGGCAGTAATTCCAAACTAGGAAATGCGTAGCCTGACTACTGGGGTATGTGATAAAACTTTTTTGTTAGTTTGAGTTGATTATACAAAATATATATGCATCCTTTCAATCTGCCTGACATTAATGATTCTATAACACATATGTTCACTGTGTGTATCACATTCTGATAAATCATTTATAACTTTACCTTCAATGGTAATAGATCTGATGTGCTGAGATAAATCATTTATAACTTTACCTTCAATGGTAATAGATCTGATGTGCTGAGATAAATCATTTATAACTCTACCTTCAATGGTAATAGATCTGATGTGCTGAGATAAATCATTTATAACTTTACCTTCAATGGTAATAGATCTGATGTGCTGAGATAAATCATTTATAACTTTACCTTCAATGGTAATAGATCTGATGTGCTGAGATAAATCATTTATAACTTTATCTTCAATGGTAATAGATCTGATGTGCTGAGATAAATCATTTATAACTTTACCTTCAATGGTAATAGATCTGATGTGCTGAGATAAATCATTTATAACTTTACCTTTAATGGTAATAGATCTGATGTGCTGAGATAAATCAGTAAATGAAAGTTTGCCATAGCTTCTAAAAATCGGTTTGGTGGAAACTGTTGTAAATAGCTTGTCAATGCATTGAAATCCTGAAAAGTAACAATATTAAGTTAAAACAAAAGAAGAAGAAAAAGCTGCATTTAATTTGGATGCATACAAGATCATGCTAAATTTCTATATGTGATAGTCTTGTTGAATATAGTTATATTCACTTCAGAAAAAAATTTGATCCTGCAATTTCTTTATGTAAATAAAATATATTCATATTTACCATTTGTTACTGACCTGTAAAATTTGTTCTCTAAAGGGAAGGGAGTGATTTCTGTTTGTTTATTACCTGTATTCTTAATTTCAGTTTGCTACTTAACTGAAGTGATCCTAATACAGTTCTCTGAGGAAGTGTGTGTCGTCTGTATATAAATTACCTGTATTTAGTCTCTTTTTGCTACTTACATGTGGTTGTCCTAAAACATGTCTGTTCTCTACCGGGAAGGATGTGACTTCTGTATGCAGATGAGATCTAAATGTATACTGAGGTTCGACAGGGAATGCTGCTGGCATATCAAGTAAGAGATACTCCACAGGAAGAGGACGTGCAAGTTGTGTAACCTCATTTCCATAATTATCCTTCACCTGTTATAACAGTAACCATAGTAACATATACACAACAAATATAGAATTAAAGTTAACAGACTCACTAATTATACCACTGCTTACTGTTGTTGACTTATTGTGACTTATTTATTTTAAATCCATATATATGGGTCATTTCTAATTTGGTAGAATATTGAAGGTAATGAATATGTGTCACACTGTATGGCATAGCCAGATGAATATTATTGTCATTTATTAGGAAGCTAAGACGTGTAGTTACTGAGAAAAAAATTAACCCAAAAATGTTTTAAAGACGGATGTTCATATAGCTATTCAGGTGGTTAGGTCTTGCATATCTTTGGCTTTCAAAAGTTTGGGTTTGCATATGCTCAAGACAGTCTGACTTGGTAAAATTATTCATCTTTATCCTTACAGATATATAGTACAGTAAGAACTTGAATATCTCCTAGAAACTTTGAAAATTGTAAGCTGTTGATTCCCAAATTCTGGAAATGAAACTTTCTACTTAAAGGCTAATTACTTCATAATTAACAAATAAACATAGGCTTTAGTTTTATAATGAATTACTATATCAATTTTATAACAATCATTACCTTATAAAAGACATCAGGAACATACTGTGTTTCACTCGATTCCTTTACATAACCAAGTTCTGAAGCATCTATTGTTGGTATAAAACAATCATCCCTTACCAAAGCCATACACTGATCTGATACCTGGTATCCTTCAAAGTGAATCTGGTTTGTATCATCACCTATAATCAATGCTCAATCATTATAAGAAAGTATTATTAGACTGCAAGTAATTTATTTCATGATCTAAATCATTAAATTCAAAAGCATGGTTGAACTCTGTTGGAGAAGGGGTATAAGAAAGGGTATATACAGGAATTATTAAAGAAGAAACACAGTAAGGATAATACTGAATATGGTCAAATTATCCTGAGTACAAATCAAAGAGCTGATTGCTCTGAGGTGGAAGAAGATGCATAAAAGGTAACTTTTATTACAATAAAAGCAGCCCCCACCAACCCAGCCTGCTTTGTCCCAGTGTTGCTTTTGACAGATTTTTTTCTTCCAATAATAAAAATACTCATAACTCAACCAAAACTCACTTTACTTAACATAAAATCTGCAAATACTGTTGATTCAAATTAAATTTTCTATAACTAAATTCCATACATTCGTCTCAACATGGTCAACTTGATGCAACGCAATTTCGCCAAGCAATTATAACAGTAATTGATTTGATTTCACTTGAAAGTTTTCTGTCAAAGGCAGATAGTTAACTTTAAAAAAAACTGGCCACCAAGATTTTAGTCAACTTTGCTTAAACTAGGGTTTTTCATTATAAACATATATTGAAAAATTCTAAATATATCCAATGCAGATATGTGTCAGGCCAAGGATTGACTGGTCATGTCAGGTGATGACCTTGCAATGTTATAGCGATAATTTAGAGTCAAACGCACATGTGAATCTGCTGGTGTATTACACATCAAACAATGCACCGTCAGTTGACAGAATCACGACTGCGCTTGACACTTTAGCATTTCAAACCCGTTCATTTAAAGTGCTTGACCTATATATATCATATTTGTTTTTCGTCTAATATTTTTACACAAAAGTATGAGGGTAGGAATGGCATTTTCCGTCAGGAGTCACACAGCCCTTTTCTGAAATTTTTCATGAAAATAAAACTATTGACAGCAACGAATTACTGGTTTTGTACTCGAGCCTCGATAATGTGTGAACCTTAATAACGAATAACGGTAATGAGCTGGACTATTCAGTTGTTAAATCCAGTTTTTTATCACTTCTAAAACTTTGAAACGTATTAAGGCAATAAAAGGCAATCATTGGGGACATTCCGACAATGACCGACATGAAAACAAGGTACTTTAGAAATCCAGGAATCCGTCAACAGACATTAGTTTGTACATTGATATTTCTGTCAACAGACGGTGCATCGTTTGATGTGTAAAACACCAGCAGATTCACATGTGCGCTTGACTCTTTATTCTCGCAATAACATACTTAAATATTCTAACTTTCGTTTTAAAAAAACATGTTGTCTTAAACTGGAATATGATTTAATTGATTGCATTAAAGATCTGAATGCAGACGGAACAACTAAATCCGTGTATTTTTTCAAGCATCATTGAATTGAAGTCGTACTCTCCACGTATATACTTGACTTTAACTCAAGATGGATTGTATGAATATATGACAATTCTGTTTATCATTATTTTGAAACTTTCAGATGCACAATTATATTTCCCATTTGTGCACATGCGCAGATACGTAACCAACGTGGTTCTGAATTTCGAGAATTTATACCATATAAATATCCGAATAAGTTAATTAAACTTTAATACCCATAATATTATTATTGCAAAGACGTATAAAACGTCCTTGATAAAAGCAGTCAATATAATACTTCCACGATAAAAGTAAGGAGAAGGAACCCAGGGTGAATGTACTCTATGGGGACGAACTCAGGGCGAACGGACCAAGGGCGAACATGTAATCAGGGCGAAACGACCCGATACCAAATTCACGCATGCATACTACAAACTCTACTTTAAAGACATCCGGTTTATACAAGTAAATAAAAAACGTTCATGTAAGATGAGATGAAATCTAATAATTTACATAAATAAAAGGGTTGATATTAATACATTAAAACATGAGAAATTATAACACTAACGATAGTGATCGTTTTTCAAGCCTAACTAATAAATTAAATGATGCAGATTAGATCATGTGTAAACATCGGTGTCAAGATGTGGCACAGAAGTTGTTATGAAATTGTAAAGCACAGAAAGGGATACGGCATACGTCCTTGTGACAGTTCAATGATTTTACAGCCGGCAGTAAAGGCTTTCAGAAGACTTGAAGTCTTCTTCCACCAAAAATTGGATGAAGAAAAAAATAATTTCAGAACGTATTCTAAGTGTTTATGTCCATCAAATAAGAGTGAAAGAATCAATATTGTCAATAAAGCTACTGCATTCAAAAACAATTCATACAGTTATATTTGCTCTAAAATATGTCTTATGAAAGATCCCAACATGTTGTGAATATGTCAACTTTCTTACCTGTGACAACAACTGTGACAAACTTTGAACCAAAATGTCCCTCAGGAGAGAGTTTACATGGATTGGGATGTTTGTTCTGAAAGTGAGCTGCCTGGATACATTCTTCAGCACTCAGAAAATGTGAATTCTACAAATAATTACATTTCATGAGAGAACAATATAGACCTTATTCTTAAAACATAATCTTTAGCTAAACTGATTTGTAAATCGGTAAATATTTTATGTTCTTAAAGCATAATCTTTAGCTAAACTGATTTGTAAATCTGTAAATATTTTATGTTCTTAAAGCATAATCTTTAGCTAAATAGATTTGTAAATCTGTAAATATTTTATGTTCTTAAAGCATAATCTTTAGCTAAACTGATTTGTAAATCTGTAAATATTTTATGTTCTTAAAGCATAATCTTTAGCTAAATAGATTTGTAAATCTGTAAATATTTTATGTTCTTAAAGCATAATCTTTAGCTAAACTGATTTGTAAATCTGTAAATATTTTATGTTCTTAAAGCATAATCTTTAGTTAAATAGATTTGTAAATCTGTAAATATTTGATGTGAACAGCTCCATTATTTGACTTCTCCACCTAGTTATCTATACACATATAATACTTCTATATAAGACTTCTCCACCTAGTTATCTATACACATATAATACTTCTATATAAGACTTCTCCACCTAGTTATCTATACACATATAATACTTCTATATAAGACTTCTCCACCTAGTTATCTATACACATATAATACTTCTATATAAGACCTTTTAACATGCATGTCTCCATGATTTCAGCCCCAAAAAAGAAATTAAATTGAGTTTTTTTTTTGCTACCAAAATTCCCCCAAATGACTGGGAAGTTATTCCTTAGTAAACAGTGACTGTTTGGATGCTAAGCAATAACTTGTAAATATTGAAATAAAAAAAAAAAAATTGTTAAAAAGAAATAGGTTAATTGCTTAAAGGAAACAACTAGTAATAAATGGGGAATGTGTTCATGGGACACAGATGATGCCCCCGCTTGCATATAACATTATAAAGGGACATAACTCAAGAACCGTAGAAGTGAGGCTACCCAAATTTGTACTTGATAAGAGTTTTGTGGTAATAAGCATTGTGTATAAGTTTTATACCATTTGGTTGAGGCAAACTTAAGAGAACAGAAACGAAAAATTCAGCAATTTTTCCTTTTGTAAAGGGGCATAACTCTAGAACGGTAAAAGTGACGCTGCCAAAATTCAAACTTGATCTGTTTTTTGTGGTAATAAGCATTGTGTATAAGTTTCATAACATTTGGTAGAGGCAAACTAAAGTGAGAGAACAGAAACCAACTTTGGGACGTACCGACGTACGTACGTACGTACGTACGTACGTACGGACAAGGGTAAAACTTAATTTGTCCACCTTAAACAGATAAAAGGGTTCATCAAAATATTTTAGCCATTTACAAAATTGAAAAGATACAAAAATCCCTGTAACTATCTCAAAGGAGTAAGGCCTGTTTATTTACCATACACTTTTATTTTCCCAAACATAACTATGTTTGAGTTGTTCATATTAAAATAAAATCAGATGAAAAGTTACCATGGCAACAAGCCATGATTAAATTAGTTTAAATGTAAAGTTTCTTGTGTTCCTTGGTCTATATAAACCACTGAGTCTATTTTTTGGTTGAATAAGTATGGGCAAACCCAAATAACAAATTAATGTTGGGAGTATGGAAATAGCTATAAAATAAAGATAAACATATTCTTTTCTTGTCAAGAAATATTATTCACACAATTGATGGGAACATCCATGTCACTGGATGAATAAAACAGATAACAAAATTGCAATCTTCAACATCTGTCCAATATTTCCTGCAGTTTTAAAAAGATGATAGTGCAGTTAAATTTACAAATGTGCAGTATAAACTCAGTAATTTCCTTACAATATTTCCCCTGAAATGTTTGACAGTTCCTTTGGATAAATCATCAGCTATCAGATCTGTAAATATCCATCCAACAGGTCGTATTCTCAGCCTCTCTGCCACTTTATTAACCTCATGTTCTAATACATCCTCTAACAACTCTATATGACCTTTTGTATTGATCTGAAATAATACATGTGAACCACACCAATTAATATGTATTTCAACTGTCTAACAACTCTATATGACCTTTTGTATTGATCTGAATTAATACACATGAATCACACTAATTAATATGTATTTCAACTGTCTAACAACTCTATATGACCTTTTGTATTGATCTGAATTAATACACCAGAATCACACTAACTAATGTGTATTTCAACCCTCAAACAACTCTATATGACCTTTTCTATTGATCTGAAATACATGTGAATCACACTAAGTTTATATGTATTTCAACCCTTTAACAACTCTAAAGACCTTTTGTATTGATCTGAAATAGTACATGTGAATCACACTAATTAATATGTATTACAAAAATTCAATACAACCTTTGGTATTAATCTGCAATGATAAATGTAAATCATATTTCTGAGAATTCTATAACCCAAACCTGTGAACTGATCAGACATTTACGGGTCACACCCAGCAATTTAAAAGCTCAATGGATATTTTTCTATTTTTATACTTATGTTGTTTATCCAATAACCCAGATTTAGCATCAGACCCGTTTTTACCATATTTCAATAAGACTTTAATGTCTAAAATGCTAGATTTTCTTCTGAAATGCTGTCAAATATGAAATTTTTTAGCAGACAGGGAGTTTAATATTTGCTCTAAATTGAATATCTAACACCTATTAAAGCAATCTTTTGTAACTCCATTGATTTAAAGGTAACAATAAAGCTAATTTTCTTGTTAATTATACCTTAGAAAGGTGTAAGAAAGCCATCTCAGTTTGACAATATATTACAATATTTCTCTCTTTTCATGTTATCTACTTAAAAGTATAATTATATTCACTAACAGATGTACTGTTATGTTTTGTGATCATGCCCTCAATGGTCCCTTAACTGGTTTAATAAATGAATAGCAAGATTGATCTAATGATTCATCAAAAGTTTAATACCTCTATGTCCTTCAAACTTGAAAGAAATGGATTATTATAAAAAAATGTATAAATATTAAAAGTAAGAATATAAAATATATTCAATTAATGATGAATAAGAAACTGAAAATACCTGAGGAGGTTCGTAAATAGCTGACACAGTAGCCTTAATTCCTAATGGTGTGTCTTTATGCGGTTCATATCTACCATACATAATACCAACTCTTTGATTGCCAGTACTTCTCCAGAAGTTGAGGAAAGTGTCAACAATGGATGGATTCTCAAACATTATGTAATCAACATGGCGAAATTTCTGAAATCAAAATGTAAGACAATTTTTTTTAATCAATAATAACAGAATAGTTATTCCTAAAAAATCAACTAAAAGTACCAAAAGTCATTCTAAATACAACAATTCATAAAGAATGTTATATCTGTCTTTATTAGATATTCAATTTTCCTTCAGAAACAAAAATGCATAGGACAAATGCAAGTTAGACAAACTAGCACCAGACTATATTTGTCTTAAGTATGTTCAAACTTACCTGTCTATTGAGTGTCACTGCATTTGGTTGACATTTAGTACAAATCCCACCTGGCCATGGTGGATGCTCAGTACATCCTGGTTTGATTTTACAACTCAGATTCTCTAAATATGCAAATTTCCCTCTGAAAAAATAAATGTACCTTATAGAGCGAGGTATAATTAACTATATATAATGAGAAATTTTACAAAACTTGTTATCATATTTCTTTTTTCTATTGAGTTTATGTGTCCTTTGTGGATGATGCATGCATACCCTAACCTTTTCTACACACCCAGTCTTGCTCTGTTTGGAGTTGATGCAATTTTTCCTATATTTTTTTATTTTGGTAGATTTTTTCCACATGGACTTATCACATCCTAATTTTACGGTGATGTTGTTTACAAAGCTCATAAATATAGATACGAGCCATGTAAACTAATTGATCCTTTGAATACACTTATTCTTAAATGTTATCAATTTAGCAGTCGTGTAATCTTTAAATATTGCTTTTATTGATACTAACATTGATTTTGTAAATGTTGTATTTGAAAAATAAAACATAACTAAATATATATGGCTATATATTTACAGTTATGGGAACTCATTATCCTACATCCTGTCAATACTGTTTACTTATATTTTGGCATTGCACAAGGTCATGTGTATCTAAGACTGTTTATGACTAAATCTGTTGGATGTGTAATGATTGATACCTTTGTCTGGAAGAACATGATTTATCTATTAGTTGTAATTGGCTTTGAACTAGCTTTCAGTAACTGTGAGTACTCTTGTTTCGGTGCTTGATGTCTACTGTTTTTATGTTAGATGCTTATATGCCTCATACCAATCTTTTGAGTTAAGCCAAATGCTACTGATTTTTATAATTTGTTCTTATGTTGTACTGTTAAACCACTGTCCCAGGTTAGGGGAGGGTTGAGCGCTTACAAACATGTTTAACCCCGCCACATTCTTTATGTGTCTGTCCTAAGTCCGGAGCCTGTAGTTCAGTGGTTGTCATTGGTTCATGTTCATTATATTTGTTTTTACGTAAATTGTTTTGTTATAAATTAGGTAGTTAGTTTTCTTGTTTGAATTGTTTCATATTTTTCATGTCTGGGCCTTTTAAAGCCGACTATATGGTAAGGCTTTTTCTCATTGTTGAAGGCTGTAGGGTTGCCTATAATTGTTAACATCTACTTCATTTAAACTCTGGTGGATAGTTGTCTCATTGGCAATCATACCACATCACATTTCTTTTTAAATTATCTTCATGATTTTTGAACATTGATCAACTACTGTTGTCTCTTGCTAAAAATGTGTGACCTTTAAACTATATTTTTATTTACTGTTTAAGGATCAATAAACAGTAAATATGTTCACCATGATTCCAAATTTTGATAGTACGACAAAGCCTCCAAATAAATCAATAGAGTTATCAATAGTCTACCCCTATCGTCTATTTTTAATAAAAGTGATAAAAATAAAAAGCATGCAGATACATAAAATAGACTATTTATAACATCTGTCCAAAGAATCAGTTTAAGTTCTGTAAAGACAATTTAATTCAAGTCAAGTTTACTAAAGACTAGATATCATTAAATTAATTCTGAAAAATCCCAATTTTCTGTACCATCCATCCAATCAACATATAATCCAAGGTCTGTCTCATTTGTGCCGGGGCATTCCAAGAAGATGTAAACATACAATAATGTGAATAGCACATTAAACTAAGGATAGTTACTCTAGCTGATCTAATAATTTTCTATTTGAATAATTCATTCTTCAAACCTTGAAACATGTCAATGAATTATTAATGAATCCTAATGAGAGTTTGTAAAACTAAAAACATACTTATCCACCCCACTAGTCAGTTTTCTGATGTAGGAATGAAATGCTAAGAATTTTATTGGTGGATCACAGCTATTCAGGAACTCTTCGTCATATGGCTGAAATAATTATTAGTTTCATGATCAATATTCACTACATCATAACTGTTTGTGTTCACAATAAGGTTTATCAGTACAATATTTTAAAGTATTTTTCAAAGAGTGAATGTAAATAATATTTGCCTGCAACACTCTAAACCAATGCTCAACTTTGAAATTAAATGCAATGTATACTTAAAGACCTTATATCATTGTTTGGTACTTTTATCCAAATTATATCATTAATGGGATTATAAATATATTGGAAACTTTCAATTTAACAATCCATATTCTATATCTTATAAGCACTTATGAAAAATAAATGTGGATAGTGTCCACATGTGGACACAGATGATGCCCCCGCTTGCATATCATATAGTTATAAAGGGACATAACTGAAGAACGGTAAAAGTGACGCTACCCAAATTTGAACTTGAATAAGTTTTATAACATTTGGTTGAGACAAACTAAAGTTAGAGAACGGAAACGAAAAATTCAGCAATTTTTATGTTTATAAAGGGACATAACTCAAGAATGGTAAAAGTGTCGCAACCAAATTTCGTACTTAATCTGTATTATGTAGTAATAAGCATTGTGTATAAGTTTCATAACATTTGGTTGAGGCAAACTCAATTTTGGGACGTATGTACGTACAGACGGACAAGGGTAAAACTTAATGCCCCCAACCTCTATGGCGGGGGCATAAAAATATGTCAAGTACTAAGGAACCCCTGAAAATAGGTCCCTTTGTAAACTGGAATTTATCAAATATGAAACAATCATGTTTGATCTTGATTACTTCAAACAACTGTTTATGTTTCAAAACCTTCCAAAACCTATTATATATCTATTGGTGCACTCCAATCTCCCCCCTTTTATTTGGTGTAAGAAAAATAAAGGATAATTTTTCATTTAACATTACCTCTAATGGTACACAGTGAAGACATTTTCCATGAGGCCCATGTCTGCATCTGAAAGAAAAAACAAACATTTTAAAGTAACAATAGACTACACGTAATACCATTGACTTGACATAAGTGGTTCCCTTTAAACAGGTGGCAATAAGCATTGTGTATAAGATTCATAACATTTGGTTGAGGCAAACTTTAGAGAACGGAAACGAAAAATTCAGCAATTTTTCCATTTGTAAAGAGGCATAACTCTAGAAAGGTAAAAGTGACGCCACCCAAATTAAAAATTGATCTGTGTTTTGTGGTAATAAGCATTGTGTATAAGTTTCATTAACATTTGGTTGAGGCAAACTAAAGTTAGAGAACGGAAACCAATTTCGGGACGTACAGACGGACAAGGGCTAAAACGTAATGCCCCCTCCCCTACGACGGGGGCAAAAAAATATAATGTACACTTGAAAACAATTCTTCAGATAATATATTACATAATTAATATAAACATAAAGAAGATTATAGAAAGTTATTGAATTCTGAAATTGAGGTACATGTTGTATATGTAATGAGGAAACTGACATGCATATCATTTTGACATTTATAACGAAGAAAACAAATTCAAACTATAATAAATGCAAGAACATGTATATACAAAATATTGATCATTTGCACTCTCAAGCTTTGTAGAATGTATAGATATGCCTCTGCTGGATAAGCATATTTGTCATGTCTTCGTTGAAATTTGTAATAAACAAGACAAAAATGATCACAGCAATACTTACAACTGTTCATTTCTTTTCCTGTATATTTTCCCATCTTCTTTGTCTAATATTTGGTCAACTTCATCTTCCACAACCCCCTGTGCAGCACTCCCTGGAGAAGGTGCCATATTGTCTGCCTGTACAAGGTTTGATCCAAGGTCTTTACCATCAGTTGGTAATAAATACAACATGTCACCATGCCTGGAATAAAGGCAAATATATCTGTATTCTAAATATGAAATTAAATGCATACATTAATTAAGCTTATTTTTGTCTATATTCATAGGAAGTAGAAAAGCCCTGATTAACTACAAAACAATGGGCATGTTTAAAGTACTTATTATTATTAGCCAGAAAAAAAATCAAGTATTTAATAGGGGTAGATACAGTTTTAAATTGTAAAGTCATTTCTTTTAATTTGAGACATGTTGTAGTGCAAGAAATATCCCAAGATTCAAGCTATATAAAACCAACCTAGTTTTATAAGAATCAAATAGTCAAGCATTATAGGACCAAACTAATTTATATGAATCAATTATTCAAGCTCTGTAAAGCAAAATTTTTTGATGAATAAAGTATTCAAGCTCTACAAAACCTATCTAATATCATGTGAATCATGAATTTTTTTTAAAAGTTCTATAAAACCAATCTATTTTTTTATGAATAAGTATTCCAATCTGTTTGAAGTTCCCTAATTCATAATTTAATCAATTCAAGATCTATACATGATTACATGTATTCCAAAAGATGGTAAACCAAAACAATTTCTTAAGAATTGGAGACCTATTACTCTTCTAAATTCTACATATAAATTGGCATCAAGCTGTATAGCAGAGAGAATAAAATCTGTTTTGTCAAAATTAATAAGTTCTGATCAAACTGGTTTTGTTTCAGGTAGATATATAGGTGAAAACTGTCGATTAATATATGATATTCTACATTTTACTGAAGAAAATAATATCCCAGGAATTCTCTTGCTGATTGATTTTGAGAAGGCATTCGATTCCATTTCTTGGTCCTTTCTTTATGATACATTAAGATATTTTAATTTTGGTGAATCAGTTATATCCTGGGTTAAAACCTTCTATAACAATATAACAGCTGCAGTGACACAAAACTGTTTTCTGTCAGAATTCTTCACTGTAGAGAGAGGCTGTAGACAGGGAGATCCTTTATCTCCTTATGTTTTCTTGCTATGTGCAGAAATATTAGGCATTTTGGTAAGAAATAGTAAGGAGATAAAGGGTATTACTATAGATGATACAGAATTTGTACTTTCTCAATATGCAGATGATACATCATTGATATTAGATGGCTCGCCAGAATCGCTCGATGCATCTCTTCGTGTTCTCCAATTGTATGCTGAAATCTCGGGACTTAAGATTAATATAGAAAAAACAAGTGTTATTTGAATAGGTAGCAAAAAACATAGCCAGGATCAAATTTGTGTAAAGTGGGGATTGAAATGGGGCTCCAGTACATTTAAGCTCCTTGGAATTACTTTTTCAGTCGACCTAGATAGAATGATTAACTTAAATTATAGGCCAGTTTTAGATAATATAGACAACACTTTGAAAAAATGGTCAAAACAGTATCTCACCCCCTTTGGAGAGATTACCATTTTAAAAACTTTGGTCATATCTAAATTAAATCATCTGTTTCTATCTATCCCTAGTCCAGATGAGAACATGTTATGTAATTTAACAAATAAAATGTATGCTTTTATCTGGGATAATAAACCTGATAAGGTCAAGCGAGATCTTTTATGTCAAGATTATTATATGGGTGGTTTAAAAATGCTAAATTTAAAAGCATTTATACAGGGACTGAAACTTACATGGGTAAGACGGCTGTATAATTCGAATTCAAAGTGGGTGAGATTAGTCTCTATTGTGGAGCAAATAAATTTTAGTGAACTAAGTTATATTGGGCCTATTAAAAGGTCATCAAATAAATTTTGGCAAGAGGTTTTTGATGCATGGAAAACCCTTAATCAAATTAGAAAACCAAGATGTATTGATGAAATTCTATCTTATTCTTTATGGAAGGTAAAAAACTTTAAAATTGGTGGTTCAAGAGTCTACTATAAAAACTGGGCAAACGCTGGAATTTGGACAGTGCATGACTTGTTAGATTATCAGGGCAAAGTTATGTCATTTCAAAATTTCCAACAATTATATCAATTTAGGCCAAATATTTTACATTATTATGGAATAGCACACTCGCTTAATGAGTGGTTAAACACGATCAATATTGAAGTAAAGGAGAAAAAAATTCAAGCAATACTACCTTTTAACATAAGTATCTTCTTTGAATCAAAAAAAGGTTCAAAGGACATGTACAAAGTATTGAATGAGAAATATATATTACTTTTGCGGCAAAAGAAAAATGGGAGAACCATCTTAATATGACTGGCATTAACTGGAAAAATATACACACTTCGTGTACAAAATATACTAGAAGCACTAAGCTTTGCTGGTTCCAATATAGAATTATACATAGAATTTTAGGAACTAATTCACTACTTTACAAGATGAAAATAAATAGTAGCAACATATGTACATTTTGCAAAGAAGGACAAGAGACCATAGAACATTTATTTTGGAGTTGTCCGATGGTCACCACCCTCTGGCATGCACTAAATATCTGGATTTTTGAAATGACAAATATTGAACTGCCTTTGAATATAATGATTATTCTATTTGGTATCTACGAAAATGTTAAATTGAATTTTGTTAAAAATAAGATTATTCTGCTTTCAAAATACTATATTTACCGAACAAAATTACAAGAAGTTTTGCCAAATTTAAATGCTTTAAAAAACTATTTAAAGGAACACTTGAACTTAGAAAAATACATTTCAATTAAAAACCTCTCTGTAGATGAATATAACAAATACTGGAGTCCCTGGGCCCCTATTATAGAATAAATAATAAATGTTGAATTTTGATTGAAACACCACTAACAAATATTGCAAGAACAAATAAGATTTCAATGTTATAAGAAAATTATTTATTTTCAACCTATTGTTGCGCCATCATATATTCAATTGTTGTTTAATTATTTAATACTTCCTTTGTGTAAATATGCCATTCTGTATACCTTTTGTTCATACATGTTGTGCTAGTCTATTTGTTACAATAAAGAAAATTCATTATAAAAAAAAAAAATTCAAGATCTATATACTATTAAGTACATTAATTTTTTTTTTGAATCAAGTATTCAAATGCTATAAAACCTACTTAATTTTATATGAATCGATTGTTTTGGCTCTTGATGTTCTTATCCAGTCTTTTTTATCTCTATTTTTATAAATTCTCCAACCAGTATCTCCAAGCTGAAATTCATTCTGTATCTGTGGAAAAAAATGCAACATCATAAAATTGTATAAAATCTGAATAACTGACTAAACAATGTAGATTAACATACATGTGAAGTTTATACATTTGAATTTCATGTACTAAACTAAAGACATCAATCCGAAGCTTATGTAGGATTCTTAATAAAATGTTGCGCAACAGCTTCAAAGAAAAATCAAAGTGCTTGTGAGCACTGAAGAATGAAGATTGCTTTTATTTTGCAATTGTGTGAATTTAAAATAAAACATTGAATTGTATTTAGATAGACAAATTATAAATCTGAGTTGGAGTTATCTTCCTTTGTTCATGGATAAACCTATTTTTATCACAGATTCATACACCATGCATTACTTATGTAAATTTTAATAAAGAAAACTCTTCTTGATAAGTATGGTAATTTAAATACATATCATATTGTAACTTGAATATCCAAGTATAACACATCATTAATAAATTGCTTGACATTGACTGGATAGGATCAAAAGAATCACTGCACTATTTTGTTTGAACTATGAAATGTAGTGATAAACCTTGGAAGATTTAGATATCAAGTATGCAATCTTTACCCCAAAAACAATATTTTTATTTATTGAGGATAGTTTAATAAAATAAATGGAGAATGTGTCCATGGGACACAGATGATGCCCCCGCTTGCATATCATATAAAGTTATAAAGGGACATAACTGAAGAACAGTAAAAGTGACGCTACCCAAATTTAAATTTGTACAAATTTGTACTTGATCTGAGTTTTGTGGTAATAAGAATGGTGTATATGTTTCATAACATTTGGATGAGTCTAACTTAAGTAAGAGAACGGAAACGAAAAATTCAGCTATTTTTCCATTTGTAAAGGGGCATAACTCTAGAACAGTAAAAGTGACACCACCAAAATTCAAACTTGATCTGTATTTTGTGGTAATAAGCATTGTGTATAAGTTTTATAACATTTGGTTGAGGCAAACTAAAGTAACAGAATGGAAACGAAAAATTCAGCAATTTTTCCATTTGTAAAGGGGCATAACTCTAGAACATTTAAAGTGACACCGCCAAAATTCAAACTTGATCTGTGTTTTGTGGTAATAAGCATTGTGTATAAGTTTCCTAACATTTGGTTGAGGCAAACTAAAGTTAGAGAACGGAAACCAACTTTGGGACGTCAGGACGGACAAGAGTAAAACTTAATGCCACCTCTGCTACAGCGCAATAAAATCTCATGGTCAAATAAAACTTCAAACTCATGAACTGAATCAAAGCACGAAAGTGCTGGAAAAGGCATTTGCTGTATACTAAGAAATATGCATGTATGAAAGTGTTCCCCGTTTTAGATCAAGTACTAGATCAGTTCAGTTGTCACAAGTCACAAAATAATTTCATACTAAATATCACCAGTAAACATGGTGAAACAATTGGCAGTTAGGTTAAAACACTTTTATCTGTATTAAATATAAAATACAATGATCTACTGACACTTGATAATCAAAAGAAATGAGGCATCGTAAATCAGATTTTATTCATCATTCCTAATCATATTGAAATTTCCAGTATTCATTTATTGTCTTTGACTCTCACAGCATGGTCAAATCCTGAGGAATTGCATGTTTGTGTCATCAAAATCATTTCAATCTTAATATGTTGCATTTCACAAATCAATATTGCCATAAATAAGTGTTGCAATACCTATTCATATATAATCAGTACACCCTTTTTCAACACAGGCATTCAGGATAGAATGTTCAGTAATTTTATCTGACCAAACTAATAAGCAGTTAAAGATTATTGTGATTGATTGACCACGAAGATTTGATTTGTAAGTCCTATATATACATAATTACCATAACTAGAGGCTCTAAATAGCCTGTGTCGCTCAACATTGGTCTATGTGCATATTCAACAAAGGACACCCTCCATCATTGTAGACAAAGTAGAATTCATGACAAAAATCTCTGTTTTGTTGATCTTCTATTGCTGATCATTGAGATTGTTTAGTTTCTCTTTATCTTCTTCAGTTTTTGCTCAGAACACAAAAGAGGGTAAACAAAATCCTCATCTAAGGGCAATCACTGCTATAAAGAGTGGCAGTCTACTAACTATATCGGCAAAATTTGACTTGTTAGTAGATCTTGCCTTGATGATCACTTTTGTGATTTAAAGTGTCTATCTATTATAATTTTTTATCATAAAAGGCAAAATGCAAAAAAATGGTAAAAATTGTCATTAAATTAAAGAATAAGGAGTCATCAGACAATTTCCTCCATATTGTCTTCATTGTAGGTCTTGTCTTGCTGATCTTTTTTGCTTATTTAAATTTCTATCTATCTATTATAACTTTAAAGATATATAATAAGGCAAAAACGCAAAAAATTGTCATCAAAGGGCAATAACTCTAATAAGGAGTCGACTGACAATTTCAACTATGTTATACTTATTACTTATTTGTAGAACTTGTCTTGCTGATCATTTTTGCAATTTAAAGTTTCTTTCTATCTATTTTAGTTTTCAACATAATAGGCAAAATTGTAAAATCGAAGTGCTTGTAAGCACTGAAGGGTAAAGAATAAAAGATAGCTTTAATTTATCAGTGGGAAGTAAAATCAAACAATGCATTGTATAAAGCATTGGTTGTAGTTGATTCAACTACAATTATGGTCAAAGGAAGATAACTCCAATTTTAAAGATTACTTAAACAATGACATCATTTATATTTTTAGAACAAATATAAGATTCCTGCACCTTGCACAAGTTACAACAAATGGAAGTTTTTAACGACCTTGACTGGCTATACAGCCCTTGCACGGTCGGTGCACAAGTTATGTAATTTTCTTGACAAGTACAACATCATTTTGTAACTTGAATATCTGAGCATATATTTCATTGATAAATTTTCTGGAACTGTTCATGGATAGGATGTTTAGAATGTTATGATCAATGCACTTTATTTTGTGTATCTCAATAGTGACAAACCTTGGAAGATTTAGATATCAAGTCAGTACCATAGGGTTTTGATTGCATTTGATGCAATCTTTACACAAAAAATGGTAAAATTTGTCATTTAAGGGCAATAACTTCTCTAAGAAGTCGTCTGACAGTTTTGAAGTATATGGACAATTGGTAGAGCTCAACATTCTGAACATTTTTGCCCATGTCAGATTTTCCCTATTTATAACGGTTTTCAAATTAATAGACAAAACTTGCATTTTACCCCTATGTTCTATTTTAAGCCATGTCGGCCATCTTGGTTGGCAGGCGTTGTCATTGGACACATTTTTTAAACTAGATACCCCAATGATGATTGTGGCCAAGTTCGGATAAATTTGGTCCAGTAGTTTCAGAGGAGAAGATTTTTGTAAAAGTTAACCAACGACGACAGACGCCAAGTGATGAGAAAAGCTTTTGGCCAGGTGAGCTAAAAAGGGGACGCCTATTGTTGAAATTTATCAACAGTCAAAAGTCAAGCTGAGATGAAACAGCCAAGATCAAAAACTTGTAAACATAGTGTAGACATTTAGAGTTTTGCAATTTTTCATAGAACTTACTATAAATGACCAACATGAAGTGGAGGAATTTCAATTGTTCTTGAAATTCTTAAGTTGAAAATAAAGACAGTATTAACTTTCTTCCCCAATAACATCCATTTATATCATTTGGGGTAAGTTTTTATGCATTAGATCTATATTTACACTCACCTTATTTAAGAAATCTGCAACAGATTCTGATGGTTTAGCTTCTACTCTCTTTGTACCATGCTCAGGAGATTGAATACGAACAACCTACAACAAAAAGTATAACTCAAGTATTACAGTTTATGTTTGCACAGAAATCAGAGGGCATGTGACCTTACATTAATTACATTAGTGTGGTAATTTAACCTTACATGATCCAGAAAGAAGAGAGGTCAAACTGGTCATAAAATCAAAGACATATTTAAAACATTTTCTCCATTTTGCAAAATAAAATGTTGAAATAATATAGTTTAATAAAATAGATCAGTTTTAGTTTAAAATATATGGTTTATATATTTAGCAAGAAACGCTATAAATTCAATAAATTTATTAAATTGCATAAAATCTTGACTGTTTGACTCATACATTACGTATTGATTCACTCATAGGATCTTTGCATCGGAAATAAACACATTTATTCTAAAACCAGTTGTTGGCATGATACAGGTTATGTTCTACTCATATATTTTATGATGGTATGATACTAAACCCCTAACGGGAGGGATTGTGCTTGATTTTCATATGATGAAGACATAATCTTTCAATCAGTTTAATTGAGGTCTGGAGCTGGCAAGTCAGTAACTGCTAGTAGTCCTTTGTTAATTTATGTATCATTGTCATTTTGCTTAGTTTCTTTTGTTACCTATTCTGACATCGGAATCGGACTTCTTTTAAACTGAGTTTTACTGTGTGTATTGCTGTGTGTTTGTTTATTCTACATTGGCTAGAGGTATAGGGGGAGGGTTGAAATCTCATAAAATATGTTTAACCCCTACGCATTTTGGGGCCTGTCCAAAGTCAGGAGCCTCTGGCCTTTGTAAGTCTTGTATGTTTTTTATTTTTAGTTCAATTATATGTTTTGGAGTTCAGTGTGACATCCATTGAACTAGTACACATTTTTGTTTAGGGGCCAGCTGAAGCCCGCCTCCGGGTGCGGGATTTTTTCGCTGTGTTGAAGACCCATAGGTGGCCTTCGGCTGTTTTCTGCTCATTGGTCGGGTTGTTGTCTCTTTGACACATTCCCCATTTCCATTCTCAATTTTATGTTGGGAAATAATATAGAGCATTACCCTTACCCCAAATTGAAAAATGTTTACACAAAGGAGTGTTTTGTGTTTATCTAAAAGCATGGGGGTGGGGGTGTCTCTGACAACATACAAATTTGGGTACAGACGTCTGGCTGAGGCTTAAAAACCACCCCCTATTCATATATTGTTGTTTGAGAAAATCACTACCCATTCATATGTTTCACAGGAAATCATAACCCATTAATATATGAGGGGGGCCTCATCCCGATTTAGCGGTTTTAAAATTAGAAAATCACGGAATCACAGAATATTTTGTGAAAAATCCTGATCCCAATAAATTTGACAATTTGAGAGCTTGATGGTTCAATGCGTATGATTTAAACGTCTCAGGTATGATTGATGTTCTTAGTCTGTCAGCCGTAACCAATCCGACTTTTAATTATCAATATAACAGTGACGTCATGCTGCATATAAGCATTTTTTTTCTCATAAATCTTCGTTAGCCAGTCAGAGAATTGTTCAAAATCCAGTCCAAGTCAATACAAGAACCTATAAGACAATAACTGGAATTGTTTTGCAACGGAGATGAATTTGAAAATGTAGTCACCATTTGGAAAAGCACTGAACCAAGTTACAGACATGAAAAGAACTACAAATGTCACTTGAAAGATTTATAAAGTAGTTGAAACACTGGTTTTTACATTATCAAAATAAAAAAATACCTGATTTCAAGACAGTCACTTAAATTGGAAACTAGTCTTCCACAAGTAATGACTATCTTACAATAGCAAAAACCTAGTTTGACTCCCCTTACTGTTATTCTTATGGTGTGCATTGGCTGATTAAATAGGGTGTGCTTTATTCAACACCAACCTCTTTGAAGGGAAACTTGAACTTATGTTGACTTAAGTGGCAATAGTGTGATAATCTCGTTGTATACTACTAGAAGATAAAAAGCAACGATTAAAGTGTTTGCTTGATTCTTGTTTGATATCAGTCATATCATGATACTTTACATACATACTGCACTAAAGAGAAACACATTGATAGGAACACTTCAGTAAAGAAAAAATGTTTGGAAATGGAATATTCAATTACCTATACACTTGTCGTTTTCTGTTACCAGATGCTGATTAAATGTGCACATATCATGGGGAAATCAATTTCCCATGGCTAAAAATATGGCTTTCCCGTATCCCAATGTATTTCTATCCCTAATTCCCTACCTTTAAACAATGCAATCCCTATTTCCCCTTGTTTCAATTGGCAATCCCGGCGTCCCGAAAATGGTCTTGCCCCCCTCGTCACGTCTGTGAATACCTTTATATAGGAAGAGACCCTCCCTCAGAGTCTATAAGCTGGTAAGAACTATTTAGGGGCAAATTGAGTGTTATGTAGATGTATTTATGCTCTATAATTTACAGGTAGTCAAAATGTGCATGACATTTGCCTAGTTTTGCATTTAACTGTTCAAGGACCTGACAAATCTGCCTTAAAGTAAGATTTATGGCTGATTTTTCTAGTGCCTAGGGTCAGTGGGCTTACAGTTTAACGTGAAAACTTATTGTTTGTACAATAGTCCCAGATACTGTATATAGTGTTTCCTACAGTAGGAAATAGGAGAGCGCAGTGCCTTGCCTCATTTTCATTGAAATTTTTGGCATCCTGGCCTTTTCCTGTCATATTTTATACATGTATCTCCATACTGTACTTAATTATCAGTCCTGAAATTCATCTATTAAGTTAATTTCCCTTTGGACCCAAATTGCAATAGCCACCATTTTTATGAATTTTTACAGTCTAATTCACACACTTTTTTAAGCAACCAAGTACAAGTACTGTTGATTTAAGACCCTGGTTCTAACTACATGAACTAAGAGCAGTCCTGGAGTCCAATGATGCATAAAGATTGTTAAATGTTGTATTTAACTTAGTACATACTGTATATCATTTTACATCAAAAGTTTATAAAAATAAATCTAAACTGGATGTCATTTCCATGCTTTTTTTTGTCATGGAGACTAAAATAATAAATTATATAGCATAAAAAATTTCATCCCACTGTTGGACTACTATGGCCAAAAATGATTGCTCACTTCGTAAGTCGAAAACAAACTGACAAGCCCTAGGCCATGGCATAAAATTAATAAAATGCTCCGCAGGGCGCAGCTTGATACGACCGCAGAGGTCGAACCCTGAACAGTTGGGGCAAGTATGGACACAACATTCAAGCTTGATACAGCTCTGAATTTGGATTGTGATTAAATATTTGACACAGCATAGGTTTCTGACACAGAATGAATGTGGTCAAAGAACTTAAAAATTTTAAATTGGACATTCACCTATTATGGTCCAATATCCAAAATCTAAATACATGGTTAGATTCAGCATATCAAAGAACCCCAAGAATTAAATTTTTGATGAAATCAAACAAAGTTTAATTTTGGACCCTTTTGACCTCAATGTGGACAAAGTTGATAACGGGGCCCAAAAATCAAAAATCTAAATACATGGTTAGATTCAGCATATCAAAGAACCCCATATATTCAATTTTTGTTGAAATCAAACAAAGTTTAATTTTGGACCCCGATTTGGACCAACTTGAAAACTGGGCCCATAATCAAAAATCTAAATACATGTTTAGAATCAGCATATCAAAGAACCCTAAGAATTCAATTTTTGTTAAAATCAAACTTAGTTTAATTTTGGACCCTTTGGACCTTAATGTAGACCAATTTGAAAACGGAACCAAAAACTAAGAATCTAAATACACAGTTAGATTCGGCATATCAAAGAACCCCAATAATTCAATTTTTGATGAAATCAAACAAAGTTTAATTTTGGACCCTTTGGACCTCAATGTGGACCAATTTAAAAACGGGGCCCAAAATCCAAAAACTTAATACACGGTTAGATTCAGCATATTAAAGAACCCCAAGAATTCAAGAATAAAACCCCATTGAAATTGGTCAAGAAATAAGCAATTTATACCAAGTATCTTCTTTTGCACAATACTGTGCAATTGAATATTTCTTGCTATTGCGCAATACTGCACAATTGACAATTTCTTGCTATTGCGCAATATTGTGCTATTGGATATTTCTTGCAATTGCGCAATACTGTGCAATTGAAGATTTCTTGCTATTGCGCAATACTGTGCAATTGAAGATTTCTTGCTATTGTGCAATACTGTGCAATTGAAAATTTCTTCCTATTGCACAATACTAATTATATATAAATTTACACATCCTGTTTGGTGTGTATCTTCTACCATATCATTATTATTTGCTTTTAAATATTAATCAGAAATAACCAACTTAAAATGGAAAATTTTAAAAGAAAAAAAAAAGGAAAAAAAAAAAAAATCCCCCCCCCCCAATTTTTTTTAACCCCCTTATGATTCATCATCCCACTACTCAATCCCAGCCTTCCCTTTGTGGTATGGTACCTTGCAGTACAATTTCAGAGAGATCCATACACTTGAACACAAGTTATTGTCTGGAAACTAGAAAAATGTGTTTTTTGGCCCCTTTTTGGCCCCCAATTCCCAACCGTTTCGGGCAATTACCCCCAAACTCAATTCCAGCTTTCCCTTTGTGATATGGAACCTTGTAGTACAATTTCAGAAATATCCAAACACTTACACACAAGTTATTGTCATGAAACTAGAAAAATGCTTGTTTTTTGCCCCTTTTTTGGCCCCTAATTCCTAAAATTTTCAGGCAATTACCCCCAAAATCAATCCCAGCATTCCCTGTGTGATATGGAACCTTGTGGTACAATTTCAGAGAGATCCATACACTTGAACACAAGTTATTGTCTGGAAACTAGAAAAATGCTTATTTTTGGCCCCTTTTTCCTAAACGTTTCGGGCAATTACCCCCAAACTCAATTCCAGCTTTCCCTTTGTGATATGGAACCTTGTAGTACAATTTCAGAAAGATCCATACACTTTCACACAAGTTATTGTCATGAAACTAGAAAAATGCTTGTTTTTTGCCCTTTTTGGCCCCTAATTCCTAATATTTTGAGGCCATTACCCCCAAAATCAATCCCAGCATTCCCTTTGTGATATGGAACCTTGTGGTACAATGTCAGAGAGATCCATACACTAACACACAAGTTATGTCTGGAAGTTACAAAAATGCTTATTTTTGGCCCCTTTTTGGCCCCTAATTCCTTAACTGTGGGTACCATAACCCCCAAAATCAATCCCAACCTTCCTTTTGTGGTATTGAACCTTATGGTAAAATTTCATAGAGATCCATTAACTTAAACTAAAGTTAGAGTGCGAAAACCAATGTGTCTTCGGACGACGCCGGACGACGCCAGACGACGACGACGACGCCAACATCATACCAATATACGACCGCAAAAATTTTTGCGGTCGTATAAAAACGAACGAAAGGTGAATCAACAGTACACAAAACATTAAACAGAAAACTAAAGACTGAACAACACAAACAATGAGAACTATGAAGACAACAATGCCTTTGTACCTTCACAGATTTTTAAATTTATATGCATTTAAAGGGAAACAGGCAATTGTTCTAGATATGATTCTTTAATTAGCATACAATAAGACCCAAAAGGTTTTGGCACAGATACGAAACCAGAGAAAGAAACACATTTATATTTCAATTTCTCAAACTTTTATTAAAACACACTCATTTTTTAAAATTATATCATTTAATTTCAACACAACAAAACAGAACAGAACAAAAAATAAATAAGGGCCAACAGAATCATGACAAACTGGTATAAAGGCCAAAGTAACCGTGGGCTTATGATCCAGATTTCAAGTTTCACATACATCTATATCCACATCGTTGAAATGCAAAGGGTCTATGACCCATCATCGCAAGTTCTAAGTCAGTCATTCAACATGGTGCTCATTAAAAACATATTCACATGTGCAGATTAAAAAATTCTGTTGTTTCTTTTGTTCGACTACTCTGTTAAACAAAATGTAAGGCTGTTCTTGAATGCCTCAGCGTCAGCTATATCTAACAGTTTTGACAGAAGCTATATTTGTAAGCGTTGGTTGATGTTTAAAGATTTCTGAATTTTCGTTGGTAATATTCCCTTGTTGTCCTATTTTGTTGTTGTACATAATCTTGTATATTTATGACTATTTTATGATGTAGGGCTTTACAAAAATGCAAAGCCTTTTAATTTTTCGTCTGGTCCCTAATAACAGTATTTTTAACACATTTAGTATGTTAGTTACTAATCCAGGTTCTCTAACTTACTTTAACTAAATCTAACATAAACAGCGCAGTAGTTGTCCTTTTCTAGATTTGGACATTTCAATCTCTAAAGGAAAACTCCATACTAAAATTTACAACAAAAGAGACTGACTTTTCATTCCCTATTGTTAATTTTCCTTTTTTAGACTGCAATGTTCCTTTGGCTCCATCATACAGTCTTTATATATCCCAACTTGTTCGTTATGCCCATGTGTGTAGTGATGTCATAGATTTTAACAAACATAATCAATGCATCACTGGTAAATTATTAAGTCAGGGATTTTGTTACCATAAATTACGTAAAACTTTTACTAAATTCTTTCATAGATACAAAGATTTGATTAGTAAATTTGGCTGTACCTATAGAAAAACTGGAAACTAGAAAAACAGATACATTTATTTTTGGCATTGCACAAGTCATGTGTGTCTTCTTTGGCTGTCCATGACGTTTATACTAAATCCCTGGGATGTGTTTTAGTTGATTTTAGTCTTAGATGCATGATTTTTTATTATTTATTGTTTTTGGCTTTTAACTAGTTGTCAGTAACTGCGTCTCAGTACTCTCAAATCGTACTTTCTTGTTTATTTGACCTGTTGATACTAATTGTAATGCTTTTTTGTTATTCAATGTTTACTTATTCAGGGTTATATCTGGTCTATATACCAGCTTTGAAAAGTGTTTGGTATTACTATAAATTTTCACTTCTTCGTACTATGAACATCAAAATTATTTATTTTGTAAAAATATTTCCTTCCTCCATTTAAACTGTACACGTATACCTAACAACAAAATTATTTTCATTTACCTGTGTTTAAAGTAATTGCAAATGGCTGATATTTTTGTTCAAGCATATTGTTTTTCTTAAATTGTTTAACATTTCACAGCGGTATAACATGTTACTTTAATTATTCTTCCCTTAGTTTAATTATTTTGTATTTACATAATGTATCATAGAACAAATTTATTTGTTCACTGGTGTTAATATGTCTTTTGATTGAGTTAAGCCATTTCAATAGATATTTTATAGTGTGTTTTTCTATGTTGTGATGTTACACTATTGTTTCAGATAAGGGTGAAGGTTTGGTACCATTGAACGTTTAAACCGCTGCAATTGTTTGCACCTGTCCTAAGTCAGGAATCTGATGTTCAGAAGTTGTCGTTTGTTGATGTGGTTCATAAGTGTTTCTTGTTTTTATGTAGATTAGACCGTTGGTTTTCCCGTTTGAATGGTTTTACACTAGTAATTTTTGAGGCCCTTTATAGCTTGCTGTTCGGTGTGAGCCAAGGCTCCGTGTTGAAGACATTACTTTGACCTATAATGGTTTACTTTTATAAATTTTGACTTGGATGGAGAGTTGTCTCATTGGCACTCATACCACATCTTCTTATATCTATCTCTAAGTACTGTACAACAGGCTGATCCTCTTTGCACCATTTTTATCTTTTTATGTGGCTTTTTAATATTTAAAGAAAAAGAAATACCTTGTACATTTGTTCCAGTAATTGGGGTGGATTAATTTACTGATAACAATAAATATTCTGAGTTTAAAAAAGGTATCTATATACTGATTTAGTCTTAAGGTTCATGTGGACCCTTCGTCTAAAATGGCTGCATTTTCACCTCAAAATTTACTCTGAGTACAGACAAACCTGTGCATCTGGAAAAGTTTTAAGGCATAGCATGCCCTAGATAAATAAAATTCAAATATATTTTATGTTTTAGAAAATTAAAAACTTAACCGGATTTTGCAGTGCACTTTTTTTCATTCCACCAGAAGGTGCCAAAATAAACAAAGTTGGGAAAGAGGTTTGAGAACTTCCCCACAGGTAATAATTGAAGTGAACTGTTTTGATTGACATGGACAATAGATGGACAATAGATACCTGACAATAATTGGTGATTTAAACTGTGTACCTGAGTGGACCATATCAAGTGAAACTCAACTGTTTGTTAATTTTATCATCTTCTGCAGGGACGAAAAAAAGTGCACTGCTAAATCCAGTTAAGTTTTTAATTTTCTAAAACATACAATGCATTAGAAGTTTATTTATCTAGGGCATGCTATGCCTTAAAACTTTTCCAGATGCGCAGGTTTGTCTGTACTCAAAGTAAATTTTGAGGTGAATATGCAGCCATTTTAGCCAAAGGGTCCACATGAACCTTAAAATAATATACAAACTGGTGTTTTCAATCCCATAATTTATGTCTATATTATGTTTTACAGTATCGTGCTCAACTTACAATTGGCTTATATTTGGAGCTAGCCATTTGTGTTGTGTCTTTCAAAGGAATACTTTCGAAAATGAAAATATTAGTAATATTCTTCAAATAACTATTAGCAGACAGCTGACTTGCAAAAGCTAATTTTTTTCATCAGCGTTTATGGAGCGCTTAATAGCGGAATACTTAAATGAATTAATGTCAAGCACAGTTAAGACCTAGAAGTCATATTTTGTTCGAAACTGTCGCACCTGCAGGAACAAGTTAGTCCGTTTTCGGTATCAAAATATAAAGTTCTTCACACAATTTTATTTTGTCACATACAAGGAAATTTTTACGTATAATATCTTTTTTTCAGACATTTCCATTAAAAACGACTTCCGGAACCATGGAAAATATGTAAACAACATGGCTACTGTAAAGACTATCGATGTCACTTCAGGTATGTATATTTAAACTTATCCTTTGCTTAGGTAAGTTTGAGCAGACTTCAACTGTATGATGTTAAACTTCAGAAAATTTGTGTTTTGTTCTGTGTTTTGCCTAGATATATCAAGCTGACTGTGAATTTTGTGTAAGTGTTTGCTTTTTCATGTACTGTCTTCATATTTTGCCACTTTTATATGTTCCAATACAACATGATCTTCCAACTGGTGCTTTTTCCCGAAAAGTTTGATGTCACAAAGCAAATAACCTCACATCACAATGTCTTAAGACATGTTTTCCCTGCATGACCACCAAAAGACAACTATATGGTAGGATTTCTTCAGTGGCGGATCCAGAACTTTTCATAAGGGGGGCCCGCTGACTGACCTAAGGGGGGGTCTCCAGTCATGCTTCAGTGATTCCCTATATAATCAACCAAATTTTTCCCACAAAAGGGGGGGCCCGGGCCCCCCTGGATCCGCCTATGTTCTTTCTACAACAGGTTGGGCCCAAGTCAGGAAAAGTGGAATACTCCACTTTTCCTGACTTGAGCAAAACCTGTACAATATCAATATGAATAAGAAGATGTGGTGTGAGTGCCAATGAGACAACTATCCATCCAAGTCACAATGTGTAAAAGAAAACAATTATAGGTCAAAGTACGGCCCTCAACATGGAGCCTTGGCTCACACCAAACAGCAAGCTATAAAGGGCCCCAAAATGACTAGTGTAAAACAATTCAAACAGGAAAACCAATGGTCTAATCTATATAAAAAACGAGAAACGAGAAACACTTATGAACCACACCAACAAACGACAACCACTGAACAACAGGTTCCTGACTGTATATTTATGAAACCTACTGTAGAATAAAGGCACATACTGTTGGCAGTGATAAGTAACATTTTCCACATCTAGAGCTCAACATAGTCATCAACAATAGACAGAAGGCATATAAATTCAAGAGCTCAACACATAATCATCAACAATAGACAGAAGACATCTAAGTTCTAGAGCTCAACACATAGTCATCAATACATTGTAATAATAGACAAAAGACATCTAGAGTTCAACATATACATGATATAGTCATTTACAATAGACAAACGATATCTAGAGCTCAACATACACAATATATAATATAGTCATCAACAATAGACAAACGATATCAAGAGCTCAACATACACAATGTATAGTCATCAACAATAGACAAACGATATCTAGAGCTCAACATACACAATGTATAATATAGTCATCAACAATAGACAAACGATATCTAGAGCTCAACATATAGTCATCAAGTCTAAAAAAACAAGTTGTGAATAGATCTTGCATCAAATTTAAAAAAAAGACAGAATCATTTCGTTCAGTTGAAAGCTGCTAAATGACTATCATATACATGATATAAATTAGTTCAACAATATTAATGGATCTTATAAGCAAGCATTTGTTTTCTATTCTTCCAATTTGTTTGTGGATGCTTTTCTTGTTTCAGATACAATGTATAAACATGTACCTACTTATAATTCTTATAATTTAATCGCCTGATATTCTGTATTTTTCTTCAATATTTTTTATACCTTCTCACATAAATTTTCATTCCAAGGAATAATACAAGAACAAGAACATATTTTATTACCAATTAAGGTAATTAATACATGTACAGCCAAATAGAATAAAACTGCTTGTACTTGTGTATACATTATACATGTTGTCCAGTCAACATATTTTATTTTTTCCTGTTTTGGCATGAAACAAGAATATAATACTTCTATATGTTTGGTATAAGATATGATGAGAGCTGTTTGAAGTAAAATGTACGTATAAAACTACATGTAATAGAATAATGAAGAAACCTGTTTACTTTGTCTTTGAATTACAGTGACTGGGTTGCCTCCAAAACCAAATCATATGATACCAAAGTTCCATAACAGAAGTAACCTTTTCCCATCAACATTTACAAATAAGTTGTATGAAGAAAAGCAAATCAACTCAAGTCAAAGACAAGCATGGTCAGCTGATCTTCGAAAAAGATCTCAAGTAGAAAATATTTGTGTAGACACTAAATATAATTTGGATGCAAGTAAAACTACGGTAAAGCAAGTGAAAAGTGTCCCACGTAGAAGACCTTTCAGTGCAAAAGCCAGATTAGAGAGTTTATCATCAAAGCCACCAAGAACAAAGCTTGCACATGACAATGTATCAGTGGAGTCAGTTCATGGTTCATCAAAAAACACATGCATGGAACTAGTACCAGTTGGTGGTAAAGAGGTACCAGTAGTTGACATTGGAGACAATGCACCATTTCCTACTTATCATTACTTATTGAATTCTAAAGAAAAATATGTGTCAGATGATACAAAACCTTTCCTCCCTGGTTTGGCTGACAATAGAGTTCCTCCACTGGCCCTTAACCAGGCCTCAGAGGCTCCGGTCTCAATCACAGCTGGTCCATCAATAAAACCAATGGTACATGGTCTAAATTCTCATCAGGTTATTTTTGGGACAGACAATGATGGACAACCACAAGATATAAAATATGACCTTAGGAAACCAAAAGTTTTTATAAAACAAGAAAGGTTTGTATGAATTTGTTAAAATTATCAGATAATAGCTGTTCAGCTCAAAATTGTACTGCAGTACTAGTGATCTCTTAAATAACAGATGAACAGACTGAATGTTAAAGAATTCATTGTTAAAGATAGAAATCAACATAATGTCACAAACCCTTGTAAGGTATCAGCTATTTTCATTGTGTGATTGTCATCAAGTTTTACTGTCATACATATTGGTCTGTATTAAATAATACATATTTGGTACTTGAAGTTTCTTTAGATAGGTAACATTTGAAAAAAAACTGTGCCTTGGTAAAATAAAAGTAAAAATAATAAACTTAAAATAGCAAATTTTATTTTAGTAATTCATTTTTGTCGAGCCTGTCGCAAAGGCAAGACATAGCGATCCTACATTCCCTTGTCGTCGTCGGCGTCCTCAAATATTCACTCTGTGGATAAAGTTTTTGAAATTTTTATAACTTTCTTAAACTATCCTGGATTTCTACCAAACTTGGACAGAAGCTTGTTTGTGATCAAAAGATTGTATCCAGAAGTAAATTTTGTAAAATAAAAATCCTGTTTATCAACTTTATCTGTATTTTACTCATAAATCGACTTAGTTTTTCTGCCAGTTAACATTACATTCACTCTGTGGTTAAAGTTTTCAAAATTTTAATAACTTTCTTAAACTATCCTGGATTTGTTCCAACCTTGGACAGAAGCTTGTTATTGATCATAAGATTATAGTATCCAGAAGTAAATTTTGTAAAAAAAAAATCCTGTTTATCCGTATTTTACTCATAAATGGACTTATCTTTTCTGCCAGTTAACATAACATTCACTCTGTGGTTAAAGTTTTTCAAATTTTAATCACTTTCTTAAACTATCCTGGATTTGTACCATACTTGGACAGAAGCTTGTTTCTGATCATAAGATAGTATTCGAAAGTAAATTATGTTAAAAAAAAAATCCTGTTTATCCGTATTTTACTCATAAATGGACTTAGTTTTTCTGCCAGTTAACATTACATTCACTCTGTGGTTAAAGTTTTCAAAATTTTAATAACTTTCTTAACTATCCTGGATTTGTACCAAACTTGGACAGAAGCTTGTTTATGATCAAAAGCTAGTATCTAGAAGGAAATTTTGTTAAAAAAAGTAAAAAAAAATTTCCTGTTTTTCTGTATATTACTTATAAATGGACTTAGTTTTTCTTCCAGTTAACATTACATACAGTCTGCAGTTAAGTTTTTAAAACATTTATTAGATTCATAAACCATCCTTGATTCTTACCAAACTTGAACAGAAGCTTCTTACAATCAAAAGATAGTATCTAGAGGAAAATATTTAATAATTATTTCCCCATTTTTGTTGAGCCTGCGACTAACAGCAAAAGTAGGCGAGACACTAGGTTCCGCGGAACCCTTACGAATTTTGAAAGTCATATATGCTAATAGTATGGCCGAGTGGTCTAAGTAGTTACTACTGTAATCACTAGCCAGTCAACACTGAGTTTGTGAGTTCGAACCCTGCTCGTGTGGATGCACTCGACTCCATTCTTAATTGACTAGGATTGTCAGTTTTCCTATCGAAGGTCGTGGTTTTCTCTGGGCACTCCGGCTTCCTTCACCAATAAAAACTGGCCGCCACGAAATAGCCCAAAAGTGCTTAAAAGTGGTGTTAAAACACAAAAAATCAAATCAAATCATCAAAAACTGCCTTGACCAAAAATTTTAACCTCAAGCAGGACAGACAGACGGACGAACGGACGGACAGACCTAAAAACATAATGCCCCTCTACTATCGTAGGTGGGGCATAATAAATTGGCATGAGAAACATTGAAATATGAATGGATTAAATAAAGTTTAAACAGAAGAAAAAATTGAAAATATATATATGGTTAAAATAAAGTTGTTTTTTGCTGTCAGGAATAAATTGTTGTTACTATCAATCAATTATGAATGATAAATTTTGCCAGGATTATTTGTTTGCAGTCATTGAATTACATATATATGATATATGAATATTTCTGATTTTCATCTATATAGAGAACTTGCAGTCAATGTACAGGTCATTCTGTGTTATAACATCTCGATTGGCTTCATTGCTTTACTAAACTGTTCCGGTAACTGAATAAAATGACTGATTTTCAGCTAATCTGGGAATACAATTGTTTACACTTCACGTATCATTTGATGAAAATATCTTTTGGAGAACAAATTATATGAAAGTACATTTAATACTGTTACATGGTTGCCAATTGTTTTAGTTATATTAAATTGAGAGATGGATCAACAATTTTGATTTAAATGGAAATACATGTATCTGACTCTAGACAAAGATATCAGAACGTTCAATACTCAAGTGAGTCATAAACAGCAAAATTTACTCTCATTATCAAACACACACTCATATCGATAAAATGATCATGTCAGTTAACAAAACAAACAATTATCAATGGTATGCAGCTTATATGAAAATGTATTTCTAGCAACAGAGGGTGAAAATCAGTTATTCTATTTACAGAAATATGCCTAATTGTGTTTTAACTATTAAAAATTTTGATGCCAGTAGCATAAATATAGAAAATGTAAATATAATACAAGTGTAAGGAGATCATATTGACTTGGCTTTATGAAAGTAATAATATATATGTGTACGTGTTGGTCAGGTTAGGTTGTTAGTGTTTGTATAAAATACTTATCAGTAACAGTGAAATTATGTGACAGCTTTTGCAGATTTTATTGGAAATGGTGAGAAATATCTATTTAAAATAAAAATATTTAGTTGAAGATAACCACAAGTATATATTATCCCTTGCTAAGTTTGTATTCAGTGTTCTTGAAAAAATAGTATACAGGTAGTGCTGAAAGGAGAAATTTATAAAAGGGAAAATGAAAATGTGTAATACTCATAGCTAAATTATGTTTAATTTTAAGATAATTTTTCAAATAACTATTCAATATTCATTATTAAACATTCACATAGAAATCTCACATGATTTCATAATTGAAATGCTTATTGGATTTGCATTATGCACTGCTACTTCATGAAGATTAAATTCATTACAATAGTTCATTCATTTATACTGCACATGTAGAATTTTAAAATTATTTATTCTGACTTTGTGTTTTTGCTAGGTCGGCTAAACATTTGTACTAGAATTTGTTTAATACTGCAACAATATGATTGACTTTTAGACCTTTGCCATCAACATTAGAACCATTAAGACCTTGGTTAACAGAGGATAAGAGTATACCAGGCATCAATGACTGTATAATATTTCTACCATCCATGGACAATTATAAAGACTTGCCAGAGGTACCTCCACCACATAGTGTTCAAGATGATCTACCATATACAACAAAACTACCAGGTCCACAGCAAATAGTAAGTCTTTCTATCACTTTTTTTGTTTCAACTGTAGAGAATTAGAGTGTGTCTACCCTCAGCTATATAAACAAAGGAAGACAATTTATAATCTCAAACAAAAAAACGTAGGGAGTTATTTGATAGATATTTGTTTCACAAGCGAACTAGCACTTCTCTTTCAAATCTCACCACTTCTCCCTACCAGATTCAAAAAGAGAAGTCACTTCTCCCTATGATTTTGAAGTAGTGTGAGCCCTGCTACATGTATGGTGGTTCTCTCCAGGCACTCCGGCTTCCTCCACTAATTAAAACTGACAGCCACGAAATAACACAATAGTGCTGAAAGTGGCGTTAAACACCAATCAATCAATACATGTAATTCTCAACCAAATTTAACCTAAGGGAGATTATTGATACTTACCTGGTAATATTTCAGCAGCTCTGTAATTCTTGTATCACGTCTATGACCTTTTTAAAGAGCAAAACTTATCTCACATTAGAGAACTTATAAGCAATGTCACAATGAGAAAGGCTTACCCTGTCAACCCAACAGGTCATGAAGTTCCTACTGTAACTACTGTTGCATCTAATTTACTTCTGGTAAGACAACCAAGCATAAAAAATGTCAAAGGGAAGCACAAACGAAATGACCAATTCTACATATAGATATAAGTCACTCAATACTATGTAAAGCTCATTCTGACCATTCAGTTGTCAAATAGGGTTACAATCTGACTCACAGCTGATATTTATCAATATTTAGAAAAACAGAACACAGATAATCAGTAAATCGCCTTTTGCTGAACTCTGAGCCAAATAATCTTAGGTAGATATTTGATAATACAATGTATCCCTTTTGCCTGGCTTTTGACCTCTTTATATACATTTACGGTTTTGGGTAGATTTTAAAAAGCGGCAATCTACTGTGATTGCAGTTAAATATGTGTGTATTCCCTGTTTGTAAAACTAATTTAACATATATTAAAATACTACATGTATCTTAAATCTCATTTATGGAATTCTTGTGAACGAAGCATCCGCAGATATTTGAACTAATAAACATATCACAAAAGACACAGAGTCAAGTTAACAAAACTGAATAATGCAATATGAAAGAATGCTTGCATCTTTAATCCAGTATATAGATAAAGGCAACAGTAGTATACCGGTGTTCAAAAGTCATAAATCAATTTAGAGAAAACAAATTGGGTTACAAACCAAAATCGAGGGAAACACATCAACTATAAGAGAAAAACAAAGGAACAACAGGAACTCTGAAGTGCAACAAAAACGAATGCCAACACACATAGAAATGAACTATTTGATAACAACTGCCATATTCCTGACTTGGTACAGGACATTGTAAGAAAAAATGGTGGGTTGAACCTGGTTTCATGGCATGCCAAACCTCCCACTTTATGACAATGTTAAAAAATATCGCTAAAACACTACGTGACAGAAATACAGCACAAACACACGCAACAACATTCATAACAGAGAAACGCATAAACAAATAATATAATAGTCAACACAACATATACAAACCACAGAACAACAACAAAATTATTCTTAAAGCCTACTTTGTAGTTTTCTTTGTGAATTTTCAAACTTATACTAGTAGTTAAAGGCTTGTGTAAAATGTCTTAAACATATCAACATACTTTCAGGCAACAAAGAAATATCATCATCCAGCTTTTGTAAGTATTGTCATACTCAATTAAAATGAATTGTGTTTATTAAGGTTATGATTTGTGACAAACAGGAAAATTTTGGTAAGAGTAAAACACAAAATATTGAATAAATGAAATATTGAATACAAAGTTTTAATTGTTCACATTGTGTAAATGAAAATAATACATTATAAATTTGATGCATCCGAAGTGCTTTTCTAAATTTACCTTCATCAGGAAAGCTCAAACCCAAAAAATTGAAAGCCAAGGATGTTTTAGTGCATGAAAATCTAAAAAGAAAAGCCATATTCGTCTATATCCCAACTTACCTCAGGGTGTTGAAACCTATGTTTCTTAATAATTTCCAAATTTATCATTTATGCACATTTCTATAAGTATATATATTATGATTTATTCAAAATTTTCAATACAGGATAAGAAGCATGTTGAAGATTGGGTGTGTAATCACAGTCGACCAGGGTCATCTCAAAGAACTGATCATCAGTAAGTCTATATTTATATATTGTTTTCTATGCAACAAAGGTAGAAACAGGCATATATTACGAAACATATATGTAAGAATGAAAAAAGAAAGAAAAATTGAAGTTGTGTCTTAAGCTTCTTTTTGTTTTTTTAAGAAAAAAGGAAAGATAAAACAGCTTCCAATATATTCCCTGTTGTTCTAAAGTTCAAATAAATTTATCAGTTGCTTAGAATTAAATTTATTAATTTTTTTAAAAGTATGACTTTATGTATGCACAAATGTAATTCCTTAATATGCAAAAGCAAATATGCACAAATATACATCAAGTTAACATGTCATCTTATCTGATTTTCGCACTGAGTGTCAAACCTCTAAATGACATTCCTTGTTCTACCAATAATATTATATATATCTAGTTTATGTATAATTTTCATTTCTGTACATACAATAAATACACTTTTTGTAATGTCACTATTTATATATATTTTATGAATTCATCATTTATTCTAATATCAAAAGAAGAAACAAAAAGAAGTGAGTAGTGTTTATAAGTTATCTGGTCAGAAAGCAGTGTGGCAGTAATGCATTTTATTTGCCACTGGAAGTTAAACAGCCACCATTCCATCCATCAGTGTGGCAGTATAAAATGTTTTATTATTGCTAGAAAGACATTGTGAACTTTCTTAAATTGAAGAATAATACACTTTTGTCTTTCTCTGGCTTCTTTTTGCAACAAGTATTCATAAATTCCACAAACAGACAGAGGCAGAGGTTGCACAATTGCTTAGGCCACTTTGTATTTTGTTTTTAAATCAAGACTTAATGTCAACATAGATATGAAATTAAAATTGTACTATGTTATATGTGATTTACGAAATTTGATTTTGCCAGAGTGACACAGATAACTTTTATGATTTTGTAACAAGCTAGAGAACTAGAAATATTTCCATTACAATAAACAGTTTGTGTTTGAAAATAAGAAACTATCATGAAAAGTAAATCCATGGTAAAACCATTCCAGGTTATGAAACAATGAGAATAATCAAAATTTCTGTTAAACTGATTTATTTTCAGTTATAAATATTTATTAATTCTAATTAAAAAATGATAACAACTATTTTAGAAATGTTGTACAAATTAACAGAACAGTTCTTTCATTGGTGATATGTGTTAAAGGCATCCATTTCAGACAGACTTGTTCTAATAGTGTTGTTGGTGGTGGGTGTTAAAGGCATCCATTTCAGACAGACTTGTTCTAATAGTGTTGTTGGTGATGTGTGTTAAAGGCATCCATTTCAGACAGACTTGTTCTAATAGTGTTGTTGGTGATGGGTGTTTAAGGCATCCATTTCAGACAGACTTGTTCTAATAGTGTTGTTGGTGATGTGTGTTAAAGGCATCCATTTCAGACAGACTTGTTCTAATAGTGTTGTTGGTGATGTGTGTTAAAGGCATCCATTTCAGACAGACTTGTTCTAATATTGTTGTTGGTGATGTGTGTTAAAGGCATCCATTTCAGACAGACTTGTTCTAATAGTGTTGTTGGTGATGTGTGTTAAAGGCATCCATTTCAGACAGATTTGTTCTAATAGTGTTGTTGGTGATGTGTGTTAAAGGCCACCATTTCAGACAGACTTGTTCTAATAGTGTTCTTGGTGATGGGTGTTAAAGGCATCCATTTCAGACAGACTTGTTCTAAAAGTGTTGTTGGTGATGTGTGTTAAAGGCATCCATTTCAGATAGACTCTGTTCTAATAGTGTTGTTGGTGATGTGTGTTAAAGGCATCCATTTCAGACAGACTTGTTCTAATAGTGTTGTTGGTGATGTGTGTTAAAGGCATCCATTTCAGATAGACTCTGTTCTAATAGTGTTGTTGGTGATGTGTGTTAAAGGCATCCATTTCAGACAGACTTGTTCTAATAGTGTTGTTGGTGATGGATGTTAAAGGCATCCATTTCAGACAGATTTGTTCTAATAGTGTTGTTGGTGATGTGTGTTAAAGGCATCCAAATCAGACAGACTTGTTCTAATAGTGTTGTTGGTGATGTGTGTTAAAGGCATCCATTTCAGACAGACTTGTTCTAATAGTGTTGTTGGTGATATGTGTTAAAGGCAACCATTTCAGACAGACTTGTTATAATAGTGTTGTTGGTGATATGTGTTAAAGGCCACCATTTCAGACAGACTTGTTCTAATAGTGTTGTTGGTGATGTGTGTTAAAGGCATCCATTTCAGACAGACTTGTTCTAATAGTGTTGTTGGTGATAGGTGTTAAAGGCATCCATTTCAGACAGACTTGTTCTAATAGTGTTGTTGGTGATATGTGTTAAAGGCATCCATTTCAGACAGACTTGTTCTAATAGTGTTGTTGGTGATGGGTGTTAAAGGCATCCATTTCAGACAGACTTGTTCTAATAGTGTTGTTGGTGATGTGTGTTAAAGGCATCCATTTCAGACATACTTGTTCTAATAGTGTTGTTGGTGATGTGTGTTAAAGGCATCCATTTCAGACAGACTTGTTCTAATAGTGTTGTTGGTGATATTCGTTAAAGGCATCCATTTCAGACAGACTTGTTCTAATAGTGTTGTTGGTGATGGGTTTTAAAGGCATCCATTTCAGACAGACTTGTTCTAATAGTGTTGTTGGTGATGGGTGTTAAAGGCATCCATTTCAGACAGACTTGTTCTAATAGTGTTGTTGGTGATGGGTGTTAAAGGCATCCATTTCATACAGACTTGTTCTAATATTGTTGCTAGTTCAGTTATGTTATGGTTATACAACTTATAAAACTCTTTGTGTCTTTATTATTTCTGATAACCAATCATGTTTATATTATTTTGATAAATATATTATGTGATTGATATCCAAATTTCTTTTTTCTCAAATCAACTTTAGAATTTTTTTTTATTAACTGTGATTGATGAAATATGTGTGGTATTATTTCATTTGAATTGAAAAGATAATTTTCCTATTTTGAGTCAATTGATGCCTATAGGGGTAAATTCAGTAAAAAATCTCCCATTGACTTTAATGCTAATCTACGTCTTGAATTAAATTTATACCTGATTTACCTTTAGAAATTGGAAGCTTTCATATATCATTCATGAAAGTACAAATGTAGCCCTATCTTTTTTCAACAATAAAAACATAGGGTCATGCGGCATTTTTGGGCATTCACATGGCCTTGTTTACAAACACTGTAGATTCGCACTTAATTCCTTTACTGACCCCCATTACTTTTCAATCCTGTAGTAAAAAAATTTAGTACATTCAGCATTCATTTTTTAATTTTTTTTAACTCTAGTTTTGATCCATCTATCAAAAAATATTTATTACAAACATTATCTACCAATCAGAAGAGCACAGGACTTCAGTTTTGTACAGAAAGCTCTCCCCCAAATGGGCGGTCCCTGATGACGTATATTTATTTACTGAATTTACCCCTATAGGCAAATATTGCTGTTGTTTAGAAAGTTCAGTTCTATGCAATATAACCAGTGACTTTATATATAAATAAAGAAATTGTTAGTGTCTGTAGCAATATATGTTTAATTTTTATTACAGAAACTATCATACAAGATACAGAAATGTTGGTGACATTAGAGAAGAAATCATAGAATTAGAAAATTTAATGCAAGGTTAGCATGTACAGTTTGCAGGTGTATTTTGCAGAGTTCATTTGAAATCCTTGAAATTTGAAAGAGCTTAAACATAAATTTTAGTACAAAATTCACAACTTTAAAGTACTGGTACTTGAATTTTCCAAAAAATGATCTGGAAAAATTTGAAAATTGAGAAGGCACAATGTTAGTTCAATGAAGACAAGCTTCTTTTCGAATTTGTCGATTTTAGAAAAATTGTTCCAGACAATTAGTTAGTCAAAGTTTGAAAAGTATATCAAGCTTTTTTATTGGATCGTTACAAAATTTTTGCTCTATGGTTGGTTCAATGAATTCAAGGTCCTTTATGAGTTTAAAAAATTTACATGTAATTTCAAGTGTATACAATCTTTTTACAAGTTTATAAGTTGAACTGTTCTACATGTACATGCACATTTTAGAATTAGTTTCTAATTGTGAAATAGTGAAATTTGAGCAAACGACATTCTGTACCAGCATTTTAATCAGCCTGATCATTCCATCGTTTCTATGACAGTTCGTATAATCGAAAAAATATACCACAAGACTAACAATCCTCAATTTGCAACGCCTCTCCGTAGACAAAAAGAGGACTACTGGATTCGACAATTGGGAACTGCGACACCATATATGGTTGCAATGACAAAATTGATGGTATAAGTATTCTATCTAGTCCTTCCTGTAGCTCGGTGAATGAGATGAATATTTTCAACTCTACTCCTCGACGTAGATGCAGTCATGGTCATCGTCATTATACATCACCTACTTTGCATGATGTCTCTATTAATGACTTGCTGCCATTTATACAAAAGCCGTTAGGTATTCATCACATTCGCACGAAACTGTATTCATTACCCCTTTCAAAACTTCATTCTCTGTTCAATTTATGTTTGGAAACCACTGTTACAAACCCTAATTCAAACCAATACAAACTTACAGCTATCATTTCGGATATTGCAAGTCACAGACTTTTCAAACCAGTTCGCATTGGAAAAGATGAAAACGAGAAAAGATCTTTTCTTAAACTTTCCTTTGCCAACAAAGGTCTCGATGGCGTCAACTTAGGCAATATCCTTCATCATAAATTAGTTCAGTTGAAAATACCTCCTTATTTTAAAGATCAGTCTGTACCAATAATTTCTTATACCTATACCAAACCAATTGCAACTAAAATTTTCAATTACAAACATATTTTGCAGGATCTCAACATTGACGACCAAGTCTAAACCTCCTGATTGCACCTGTGCTAGTTCCCAATTCACATATAATCCGGCTGGCCATGTTATTACCGGAGACCTCAACATTGTCAATAACACTTCCCTGCGAAATTTGTGAGCCTAAATCCATCAATTGGAAATACAACTTCAAAATACTGATGGATTCAGTCGAGGATTATGCCAGGCAATGGGCTAAACAAGAGAAAGAAGATGTAGATACCCTTTCGGAATGGATTAAGGCTGTGAGGTCGTTGATACAAATCCGAAATTAAGAAACTAAATGGGCATATCAATACCCACGCTACATCAATTTTTAAAGACCCAAATGTTGCAAAACACTTGTCCTACCTCCATGACAAATATGTTGTTGTCCCCGCAGATAAAGCCCTAAACAATATCGTTTTTGTGTGTAAATATCATTACATAAACTGCTTGATAAATGAATTAGGCATTGACAATTCACTTGGAAACTCAACATATACCCTCATGACACTTACCAAAGAGGAAATCCTGGATAATCATAGGTCTGTTCTATGTTCCTTTGGAATTTCAACCAAAGATAAAGAACTGGATCTTCCATCACTGTATTGGATACCTAAACTACATAAGTGTCCTTACAAACAACGGTATATTGCTGGGTCTTCCAAGTGCTCCACGAAACCTCTTTCTAAATTATTAACATCTATTTTATCAGCAATCAAAGCCGGGCTCCAAAGTTATTGTGAAAATGCCTATTCTAGAGGTGGCGTGAATCAGATGTGGATACTGAAAAATTCCAAAGATCTTTTAGAGTACATACAATATAAGACTCTCTCATCTTGCAATAGTATTAAAACATTTGACTTTTCTACACTTTACACAAGTATTCCCCATTCCAAACTAAAAGACAAATTGAAAGAGTTGGTATTACTTTGTTTCATTAAAAAGAATGGCGAACGTAGATACAAGTATCTTGTCTTGGGAGGGATAAATCCTACTTTGTAAAGAATCACTCTGATTCAAACAAAAAATTCTCTGAAACTGACATTATCAAGATGCTTGATTTCTTGATTGACAACATATTTGTTATGCTTGGAGGATGTGTTTTTCAACAGACTGTCAGAATTCCAATGGGAACCAATTGTGCCCCTCTTCTTGCCGACTTGTTTCTTTATTATTATGAGGCTGACTTCATACAGGAACTTCTTAGGAACTTCTTAGGAAGAAAGATAAGAAGTTAGCAATATCCTACGTTCCGCTATATAGATGATGTTCTCTCACTAAATAATACAAAATTTGGTGACTATGTTGAACAAATCTATCCCATCGAACTAGAGATAAAGGATACTACAGATACAGTTAAGTCTGCCTCATATCTTGACTTACATCTAGAAATTGACAATGAGGGTCGGTTGAAAACAAAACTTTACGACAAAAGAGATGATTTCAGCTTCCCAATTGTGAACTTTCCATTTCTATGTAGCAACATTCCAGCAGCGCCTGCATACGGAGTATATATCTCCTAATTGATACGATATTCCCGGGCTTGTGTTTCCTATCATGATTTCCTTGATAGAGGATTGCTGCTCACAAGGAAGCTATTAAGCCAAGAGTTCCAAATGGTGAAGTTGAAATCATCCCTTCGTAAATTTTACGGACGCCATCACGAGTTGGTTGACCGTTATGGAATAAACGTTTCACAGATGATATTGGATATGTTCCTTATGTCGTAACTATAATACCCTGCCCTTTTCACGAATGAGACTTACCGAATTAGACTATTTACCGGATTTGTAATAACATAAGCAACACGACGGTGCCACATGTGGAGCAGGATCTGCTTACCCTTCTGGAGCACCTGAGATCACCCCCAGTTTTTGGTGGGGTTCGTGTTGCTTAGTCTTTAGTTTTCTATGTTGTGTCATTTGTACTATTATTTGTCTGTTTGTCTTTTTATTTTTGGCCATGGCGTTGTCAGTTTGTTTTCGATCTATGAGTTTGACTGTCCCTCTGGTATCTTTCGTCCCTCTTTTGAGGTTTATGTTTTTTTTCTGTTAAAAACAAGTTTATGATATCATTTCAGGGTTAGGAAATTTAGATTCAGATTGTGGAATGGTGAAATTCCAGGGGGAGATAGACAGATTCAGACAAATGTACAAGGACACAATGAAAATGGTCCCAGAGAGGTGAGTACAGTATCATGTTATTGAATTATTCATTAATTATAATCTACATGTCACTACTGCTCTTCATTGAAGAGAAACAGAGGGTACATGATTTTTGTCTCGCCTGCGACAAAAGTTGCAGTATGAGAGACATATTTAGGTATTACTATCCGGCAGTTGTGGCGGCATAAACTATTTGTATAAAGCTTTAAAATTTCAGAAGGTAGTTGACCTGCATGCTTCATACTTTGTATGCAGATATCTTATGTAACAAAGTTTCCGTCTGTCATATGCCCATTGTCCTTGACCTCATTTTCATGGTTCAGTGACTGCTTGAAAAAAAATTAGTTTTTTTGTCATGTGATTTTCTCACTTATTATGAGTAATAGGATAACTATATTTGGTATATGGGTTCCTTGCATCGTCTTCATGTCCGTCATATAGGGTTAACCTGACCTTGACCTCAATTCATGGATCAGTGATCAAGGTTAAATTTACGTGATTAGGTCTGTTTCTCAGATACTACAAGCTGCAGGTCAACTATATGTGTTGTATGGAATGATTGTAAGGGGTACATGTCAGACTGGCAGGTTTCATCTGACCTTGACCTCATTTTCATGGTTCATTGGTCATTGTTAATTTTGTGTGTTTTGGTTGTTTTTCAAGTACTATAAGCAATAGATCAACTATATTTGGTTTATAGAATGATTGTTAGGTGTACATGTCTGTCTAGCCGATGTCATCTGACCTTGACCTCATTTTCATGGTTAATTGGTCATTGTTAATTTTTTGTGTTTTGGTCTGTTTTTCAAGTACTGTAAGCAATAGGTGAACTATATTTGGTGTATGGAATGATTGTAAGGTGTACATTTCTGTCTAGCTGGTGTCATCTGACCTTGACCTCATTTTCATGGTTCATTGGTCAATGTTAATTTTTGTGTTTTGGTCTGTTTTTCAAGTACTATAAGCAATAGATCAACTATATTTGGTTTATGGAATGATTGTTAGGTGTACATGTCTGTCTAGCCGATGTCATCTGACCTTGACCTCATTTTCATGGTTTATTGGTCATTGTTAATTTTTTGTGTTTTGGTCCGTTTTTCAAGTACTGTAAGCAATAGGTCAACTATAATTGGTGTATGGAATGATTGTAAGGTGTACATGTCTGTCTAGCCAGTATCATCTGACCTTGACCTCATTTCTGTGGTTCATTGGTTAACATTAAGTTTTTTGTGTTTTGGTCTGTTTTTCGATTACAATAAGCAATTGGTCAGCTATGTTTGGTGTATGGAATAATTGTAAGGTGTACATGTCTGTGTAACAGTTTTTATCTGACCTCATTGTCATGGATCTTTAAGAATGTTAAATTTATGTGATACTTGTAGTAAAACCTTTATCTTTAAGACTTTCAACATAAAATCAATGGTCAGTAAAACAGGTGAGACATTTCAGCGTGTACACTCTTGTTCCAACTGACTTCTACTGATTTTATGTGAGAACTTTTAAGTATAAATGGAAGTGTGTCATTATTTACCATTTCTCAATTAAATATTTCTCTTCACTTCATATTTATAAATGTTATGATTAAGGACATAGGCAATTCTGGATGCATATGATTAGCTAATTTCAATAAGAAGTGAAGAGTTGACGACAGTGATCATTCTAATTCTACTATGTTGCAGGTAACTAAAGCAAGTTTGTTTACAGAAATGATGGGTATCCTTTTAAATCTGTAGTTATAACCTAGAACATTTGACTTGTTTCTAAATTCATATATTATATTATTCATATATTATTTACATTTCAGATTACTTCACTCGCCTAAAGATCCTGACACAGTGAGTTCATTTTATATATTAGAACAAACAGTTTTAGTCCAATGTGTAATATTAATATTGTGAAGTTTGTTGCATTTATATCCAGTTTTAATCAAAATTATATTTAAATATCAAACAATCAGAAAATATATTTCTAAAAATTTAGAATTTATTGTTTTGAATTTTTAAAAACAAGTTATAATATCATCAGAAATGTTAATGTAGTTCCTGTACATAGTTAAGCAATATTACCAGCAAAACTGAACAGTTTTTGTTATTGTAACTTCACCCTATCCCTGTTTTTACTTTAAATTTTGACTTGACAGCAGACTGCACTTAGTCTAAAGTTGTATTATATTTCTATACATCTATCATTGTCTATGGAGCCTCAAGTATGCATGATCATAATACACATAAATGAAAAAGTTGTACATATAGTAGAAATACTATATTAGGATATTTTAACAGAAATTGTAAGTTGAAAGTGGACTAAAATTATTATTCAGTTTGAATAATTTAATATGAATAAAAACACATATTTTCTGATAGCATGTTTTTCCTTTTTGAAAAGTTAAATATAAATTGTTCAATGTTCTACTTACTGTAAATTCAAAAATTATTGCGAGGTTTATATTAATGCGAATAATGCTACTGGTAGAGTATTGCAATAATAAGAACTCGTATTCTGATATCCGATTCATATATCTGTATGAAGATTATCCTGAAATTGCAATAATTAATCGCACGTTTTTGTCCATTCTTAAAAAAATTGGAATGATAAATACACACAATAATTTCTGAATTAACAGTATTTAACCCACTTTTTTATGCCCCCTCTGTAGCGGAGGAGGCATTAAGTTTTTACCCTTGTCCATCTGTACGTACGAACGTACATCCCAAAATTGATTTCCGTTCTCTAACTTGAGTTTGCCTCAACCAAATGTTATGAAACTTATACACAATGCTTATTACCACAAAACACAGATCAAGTTTGAATTTTGGTGGCATCACTTTAACCGTTCTAGAGGTATGCCCCTTTATAAATGGAAAAATTGCAAAATGTTTAGTTTCCGTTTTCTAACTTACGTTTGCCTCAACCAAATGTTATTAAACTTATACACAATGCTTATTACCACAAAACACAGATCAAGTTTGAAGTTTGGTGGTGTCACTCTAACCGTTCTAGAGTTATGCCCCTTTTTAAATGGAAAAATAGCAAAATGTTTAGTTTCCGTTCTCTAACTTAAGTTTGTCTCAACCAAATGATATGAAACTTATACACAATGCTTATTACCACAAAACACAGATCAAGTTTGAATTTCATGTAATTCTTAAAATTGGAGTTATCTTCCTTTGTTCATGATTATAGTTGAATCAACTACAATTAATGCTTTAAACAATGCAATGTTTAATTTTGACTTCCACTGATAAAACACAGATCAAGTTGAATTTGGGTAGTGTCACTTTAACCATGATTGAGTTATGCCCCTTTATAAATCGGAAGATTGCAAAATTTTTAGTTTCCATTCTGTAACTTAACTTTGCCCAAACCAAACATTACGAAACCTATTCACAATATTCATTACCACAAAACTAAGATCAAGTAAAAATTTTTTGTTTCCATTTTCTAACTTTAGTTTGCCTCAACCAAATGTTATGAAACTTATACACAATGCTTATTACTACTTTATACAGATTAAGTACGAAATTTGGTGGCGACACTTTTACCATTCTTGAGTTATGTCCCTTTATAAACATAAAAATTGCTGAATTTTCGTTTCTGTTCTCTAACATTAGTTTGTTTCAACCAAATGTTATAAAACTTATACACAACCGTTCTAGAGTTATGCGTGTTTACAAATAGAAAAATTGCTGAATTTTTAGTTTCTGTTCTCTACTTAAGTTAGCCTCAACCAAATGTTATGAGACTTACACACAATGCTTATTAACACAAAACTCCGATCAATTTCAAATTTGGGTAGCGTCACTTTTACCGCTCTTCAGTTATGTCCCTTTATAACTATATGATATGCAAGCGGGGGCATCATCTGTGTCCACTTGTTCTGTCTGAAATAAGTTTTTATAAGTACTTCAACGTAGGATTAATTCTACAAAATGTTATATTGCACTTATACATCCTTGGCTTTCAAATATTCAGCTTTAAGGGTAACTGATGAAGGTAAATCTATTAAGTGTTGTTTTCATTATGTTGCAACACTACAAATTATCTCAAACTTTTCTCCTGATACATTTTATGTAAATTACAGTTTGGTGTCAAGGAGTTTTTGAAACAACATGTAGATATAATGAATGAAATACATAGGAAACACACACTTTGTCTGGAAGAACTGAGGATCATAGAGGCTGAAGCAGGAATAGATAGTAGTCGCAAATATTTCAAACATCGTACAGTACCTCCTGACACATGAGTCACATGACTGATTGTGTGAATTGTTAGTGCTAGAGTGTTGTCCCAGTAAAATGATAAGATGTTTTGTGTGGTGAATAAATTAGTGTTTGTAACAAGAAGTGACGAAACACTGAAGTAAATGAGGTATTCTGGAAGATATATGGAAAGGGGACATATCTTTATGTTCAACACAGTTATGTAGAAAGTTAACGTAGAAAAAGATTAAAAGGTAGAGACCAGACATTAAATAAGAAAAAGCAATTATGAAAGATTATTCAGATGAAGAAGCTGTAGAACACTTGTTAGTTTACCACCTGTTCAATAAGACATACTTCAAGGACAACACGAATAAGGTTACTTGTACAATAGCAAATACAAGTACCTTCCACAAGAAACTAAAGAGGGTGAAAAGTTAAGGAATATATGTCAAAAAGACAAAAAAAGTTGAATATTATATGAAGATGAATATCGCTTTAGAATGCAAAGAAAACATAACACGTAGTAGAAGAGATAGTCTAGTTTACACAAACAAAATTTAGCATTGCAGTGAAATGTTGTTAAATTTATAATCATCAAATACAATCATTGTTTATGTGTTTCAACATAAAATCTAATGCACTGATGATCACAAAAGTCAAATCAAGTTAAATTTCTTCATATCTTATTTGGAGAAGATGTTATAATGTTATTAGTAAGCAGCAGATCATTTAAAAGATGTTACAAGCTTCCAACAGTGTAGGAGAATTTTGTATTACAGTGAACTGCCATATCATTTAATAGTTATCACAAGCTTCCCTCAGTTAAGGAGAATTTTGTATTGCAGTGAACTGCCATATCATTTAATAATTATCACTAGCTTCCCTCAGTTAAGGAGAATTTTGTATTGCAATGAATTGCTGTTTGATAGAAAATCATCAAATACAATCATTGTTTATGTGTTTAAACAGAAAATCTAATGCATTGATGATCACAAAAGTCAAACATTTTAAATGTTTTTCATGTCACATTTATAGAAGATGTTATATTGCTTTCAGTAAACAGCAGAGTATTTGAAGTCTATTATTACTACTGATTTGAAAGAGAACAACATTATTTAGCATATGATGTACAAAGGCTTTTAAAGTTATTTACAGTCATTTTATACATCTGCTCCTTTTTTGAACCTTTTTATAAATAATCAGTATTACTGTCTTATATACAAAACACAATTCCACCAATGACTAAAAATATGGACAAAACGGCAAACCACTTCAACCAACTCACTCACGAATGAAAACACAACAAATCATTTTTATTTTCAAGATGGTTCCTCTTGGTACACATATAATGTAATGTGAAGTGAATAATTGCTAGCCAAAATACAGGGTACCAAGATTAATATATCTAGATCATCAGGGGTGGATTCAGGCGGGGGTGTGGCGGGCATGTGCCCCACCTCTAAAATTTGCAAAGCATGGGTTGTCCTCAGCTTAATAAAGTATCTAAAGAGACGACGAAAATTAATGTCATCGCATTCCATCCATTTTAACATTCAAAGTGTATATATATAAAACAGTAAGTTTAACAGAATCAACGTGATTACTAATTAACTGACCTACGGTTTATTTAAGTTCTATAAATATACTTCAAAGGAAGGTGTCAAACTTGGTTGCTGCATTTGATGACAAATATTATAGGCTTTTGGCAGTTAAAGTAAAAACAATTGTTACATTGTAGTTGCGGTTTTTATAAACAATTTCTTTGATAATCGAAGTTCCAAAACATCCCCAACTCACTTTCCCACAAAGTAGGTGAATGTGCCCTACCCATGGTTGGGTTGGTTATTTCATCATGGCACGGCCAAGAAAACAGTCCAGGTTAGATTCTTTCTTAATGAAAGATAGAAATACTGGTTCAAGCGAAAGGTTAGTTTATTTATTTGTATCATTATTTAATATCTCTGTGTCTATATATATATTTCTCACTTGCAACCTAAAAATTTTGCAGAAGTATGCACAAACGGTCAAGGCCTGGACAGCACACCTAAAAACAAAGGTGATTACTAACTTGTACAATGACGTGACATGTCACATTATTTTGAAAGCTGGTTAAAATTTTTTTTCAATGATAAGCATTTAAGGTAGCAAATGTTCTTGCTTGAATGCTTCTCATGAAAAAAAAAGATCAAAGGCAAAAAAGCTTAAAAGCTATTGTGACCTTCAGATGCATATTTCGGTGAGTTTATTTGTTTTGCTGCTGTCTCATTGATGTTTACCTCTCATAGAGAGAGGCGAAAGATACCAAAGGGACATTCAAACTCTTTTGAGTCGAAAATAAACTGAAATTGCCATGGCAAAAACCTTTTTCATACACACATGCATAATGTTTAATGTACCTGTCCATATAGTTACCGTGGAATTGGCATTAGATAAAATAGTCAGTATAGTATACACAAAAAGATTCAATTAATATCACCAATGCTTGTGATGAGTGAATGACATTACAACAGAGTTGATGCTGGTGAGTGATATTGATAATATTCTGATTTATGAACCTTTTGTAATACCTATGTAACAATCAGCAAGAGACTTTTAGAGTTAATCTCAAAAACTAGTAATCAATCTGAAAAATCACCAGTATAATAGTGAAGTTTAAATTAATCATCTTGTTTGTAGTCTTGTAAGAAGTTAAAATTGTCTAATTAACTTGCTGGAGCATGTTTTGTTCCCAAGGGTATCATCAGCCCAGTAGCCAGCAATTTGTGTTGACATGAAATCTTGATATTTTTTTTCTGTTAATTTCCTGTTTTTAAATTTTGAATTATTTGAAACACTAAGCTTTTTCTTTTTCATTACCCCCAGGCATAAATACGATACAAACCAGTAAAAGTCTGAAATGGCCTATATCTGTACTCGACTGTACTGATTTTTACTCGACCAGTCTGAAATTTACTTGATATTACTCAACTGTAGTCTGAACCATATTTAACAGTCTGAACTTGTACTCAACCTTTACTCACCCAGTACTTAACCATTTTATACGAGTCTGAACCATACTCAACATAGTTTGAACCATACTCGACCTAGTCTAAACCATACTGGACCAAATCTTAATCAACCTAGACCTATTTTTATACGACCGCAAAAATTAAAAATTTTTTGGTCGTATATTAGTATGACGTTGGCGTCGTCGTCGTCGTCGTCGTCTGGCGTCGCCCGGCGTCGTCCGAAGACACATTGGTTTTCGCACTCTAACTTTAGTTTAAGTGAATGGATCTCCATGAAATTTTACCATAAGGTTCAATACCACGAAAGGAAGGTTGGGATTGATTTTGGGGGTTATGGTACCAACAGTTAAGGAATTAGGGGCCAAAAAGGGGCCAAAAATAAGCATTTTTGTAACTTCCAGACAATAACTTGTGTGTAAGTGTATGGATCTCTCTGACATTGTACCACAAGGTTCCATATCACAAAGGAAAGGCTGTAATTGATTTTGGGGGTAATTGCCTCAAAATTTTAGGAATTAGGGGCCAAAAAAGGGGCAAAAAACAAGCATTTTTCTAGTTTCATGACAATAACTTGTGTGTAAGTGTTTGGATATTTCTGAAATTGTACTACAAGGTTCCATGTCACAAAGGGAAAGCTGGAATTGAGTTTGGGGGTAATTGCCCGAAACGTTTAGGAATTGGGGGCCAAAAAGGGGCAAAAAATAAGCATTTTTCTAGTTTCCAGACAATAACTTGTGTTCAAGTGTATGGATCTCTCTGAAATTGTACTGCAAGGTACCATACCACAAAGGGAAGGCTGGGATTGAGTTTGGGGGTGATGAATCATAAGGGGGTTCAAAAAATTTGGGGGGGGATTTTTTTTTTTTCTTTTTTTTTCTTTTTTTCCTTTTTTTTTTCTTTTAAAATTTTCCATTTTAAGTTGGTTATTTCTGATTAATATTTAAAAGCAAATAATAATGATATGGTAGGAGATACACACCAAACAGGATGTGTAAATTATTATCTAATAAGTATTGTGCAATAGCAAGAAATTTTCAATTGCACAGTATTGCACAATAGCAAGAAATCTTCAATTGCACAGTATTGCGCAATAGCAAGAAATCTTCAATTGCACAGTATTGCGCAATAGCAAGAAATATCCAATAGCACAATATTGCGCAATAGCAAGAAATTGTCAATTGTACAGTATTGCGCAATAGCAAGAAATATTCAATTGCACAGTATTGTGCAAAAGAAGATACTTCGTATAAATTGCTTATTTCTTGATCAATTTCAATGGGGTTTTATTCTTGAATTCTTGGGGTTCTTTAATATGCTGAATCTAACCGTGTATTAAGTTTTTGGATTTTGGGCCCCGTTTTTAAATTGGTCCACATTGAGGTCCAAAGGGTCCAAAATTTAACTTTGTTTGATTTCATCAAAAATTGAATTATTGGGGTTCTTTGATATGCTGAATCTAACCGTGTATTTAGATTCTTAATTTTTGGTTCCGTTTTCAAATTGGTCTACATTAAGGTCCAAAGGGTCCAAAATTAAACTTAGTTTGATTTTAACAAAAATTGAATTTTTAGGGTTCTTTGATATGCTGAATCTAAACACGTATTTAGATTTTTGATTATGGGCCCAGTTTTCAAGTTGGTCCAAATCGGGGTCCAAAATTAAACTTTGTTTGATTTCAACAAAAATTGAATATATGGGGTTCTTTGATATGCTGAATCTAACCATGTATTTAGATTTTTGATTTTTGGGCCCCGTTATCAACTTTGTCCACATTGAGGTCAAAAGGGTCCAAAATTTAACTTTGTTTGATTTCATCAAAAATTGAATTATTGGGGTTCTTTGATATGCCGAATCTAACCGTGTATTTAGATTCTTAATTTTTGGTTCCGTTTTCAAATTGGTCTACATTAAGGTCCAAAGGGTCCAAAATTAAACTTAGTTTGATTTTAACAAAAATTGAATTTTTAGGGTTCTTTGATATGCTGAATCTAAACATGTATTTAGATTTTTGATTATGGGCCCAGTTTTCAAGTTGGTCCAAATCGGGGTCCAAAATTAAACTTTGTTAACTTTGATTTCAACAAAAATTGAATATATGGGGTTCTTTGATATGCTGAATCTAACCATGTATTTAGATTTTTGATTTTTGGGCCCCGTTATCAACTTTGTCCACATTGAGGTCAAAAGGGTCCAAAATTTAACTTTGTTTGATTTCATCAATAATTGAATTATTGGGGTTCTTTGATATGCCGAATCTAACCGTGTATTTAGATTCTTAATTTTTGGTTCCGTTTTCAAATTGGTCTACATTAAGGTCCAAAGGGTCCAAAATTAAACTTAGTTTGATTTTAACAAAAATTGAATTTTTAGGGTTCTTTGATATGCTGAATCTAAACATGTATTTAGATTTTTGATTATGGGCCCAGTTTTCAAGTTGGTCCAAATCGGGGTCCAAAATTAAACATTGTTTGATTTCATCAAAAATTGAATTCTTGGGGTTCTTTGATATGCTGAATCTTACCATGTATTTAGATTTTGGATATTGGACCATAATAGGTGAATGTCCAATTTAAAATTTTTAAGTTCTTAGACCACATTCATTCTGTGTCAGAAACCTATGCTGTGTCAAATATTTAATCACAATCCAAATTCAGAGCTGTATCAAGCTTGAATGTTGTGTCCATACTTGCCCCAACTGTTCAGGGTTCGACCTCTGCGGTCGTATCAAGCTGTGCCCTGCGGAGCATTTTATTAGTTCTGGCGTCTGTCGTCGTCCTTCGTATCGTCGTCGTCATAAACTATTTCAAGAATCTTCTCCTCTGAAACTACTGGGCCAAATACCTTCAAACTTTAACTGAATGTTCCTTAGGGTATTTAGTTTATAAATTGTAACCGAAGTTTTGATCCATCAACAAACATGGCCACCATGGCTAAAATAGAACATAGGGGTCAAATGCAGTTTTTGGCTTATATCTCAAAAACTAAAGCATTCAGAGCAAATCTGACGGGGTAAAAATGTTCAATAGGTCAAGATCTATCAGCCCTGAAATTTTCAGATGAACCGAACA